GGGTCCCCAAATTTGACCCTGAGTCAGGGTCTTACAGGTCAAAAAGATGATAAAATCCTAATCCCTGGTAGCTATGGATGTGACCTCATTTGGAAATAGGAGCTTTGCAGATGTAGTCAAATATAGATGAAGTCATTAGAGTGATCCCTTAATCTAATATGAGGGGAAAATGGCCATGTGAAGACATAGACATAGGGAGAATGCTGTGTAAGGATGGAAGCAGAGATTGGAGCTTTCACCCACAAGCTGAAGAATTCCTAGGACTTCTAGCTGTAACCAGAAGCATGTAATAGATTCTCCCTCAGTGCCCTAAAAAGGATCAGACTATGCCAACACCTTTCTTTCTAACTTTCAGCCTCTAGAACAGAGAGTTTCTGTTATGTCATGCAACTTGTGGTACTTTGTTGTGGCAGCCCCAAGAAACTAATACACAAGGACTTGAGTGCAGGTGCTGTTGTTGTTGTTAAGTACGCTCCAGGCTCAACATGGAGCCCAAAATGGCTCTTGAATTCACCACGCTGAGATCAAGAATTGGATGCTTAACCTACTGAGCCACATGGACACCCCATCAAGTGGTTTAAAGAAGAGTCTAGTAACCATTGATAGAAGGGTGGGGAAATGAGACTGGGAAGAGAAGGACAGTGAGAGAGTGGGCTGATGAGTAGGTTAGCTTTGCAAGTGGAGCTCATTCCTTTTATGGATCTCTGGGAGACAATGTGGAAGATGCCTCAGAGTCATCCTACTTCTGAGGAATAAGGGCACTGGCATATTGATTAGTATAAATATTGTTGTATCAGTTTTCGATGGCTGTTATGACAAACCATCACAACTTTGGTGGTTGAAAACAACAGAAACTTATTTTATTTTAAAGATTTTTTTTTTTTTTTTTTAGAGGAAAACTCCATACTCAATGTGGGGCCCAAACTCACAATCCTAAGATCAAGAGTTGCATGTTCTACTGACTGAGCCAGCCAGGCATTCATAGAAATTCATTCTCTCACAAGTCTATAGATCAGAAATCATTAACACTGGAATCAAGCTGTCAGCAAGGCTGTACTCCCTCCAGAGGACCTAGGGGAGAATCTGTCCTCTTTCTGGTGGCTGGGGCACTTCATGACTTGTGGCTACATCACTACACTCTCTGTAGTCACACTGCCTCTTCCTTTTCTGCCTGTGTGAAATCTCCCTCCTCCTAGTTCATATATAGACACATAGGGTTCCATTTAGGGCCTACTTGTATAGTACAAGATAATCTCCCCATCACAAGATCCTTAATTACACCTTTACTCATATAAGGTAATATTCACAGGTTTCAGGGATTAGGGCCTGATATCTCTGGAGGACAATTTTTAGCCTACCACAACTGTTACATTTATCCTTCAACTTCAGTTTGTTACTGGTTGAAGGCTGCTCTCAGGGGTATTCCTTGGCACTTCTGGCCTGCTTTGCAGGGGTTGTGAAAGTCTTCAAGTGAAAAGCTTCAAGCACTTTTAGAGGACTTTTTTCCCGTATGTGTGTAGTAAGAAGTGTTGAGAGGATGTTGATGGGATACCAACAACATCTGCTATTTCTTATTTTGTTTTTTGGTATTATTTTGCCTTTTAATAATTTTAATTGCATATTTAATCATTAATTATAATTAGGATTATTAGCTATTTTAACATAATTTCCTTATGGACCACAATATAAATTGTTTGCATTACCTGTGTGATCTTGCTTAGAAAATATTACTTCATATATCTGAACTTTGTCCTTTCTATAAGGATCCATTTAAGTATACATTGTTCTGTCATTTCTTCCCAAGCTTTTCTTTCTCTTTTACCATCTATACAATCTCTTCTATTAATTTCTATTTGGCCATGGATAACTATCTTTATTAACTATACATACATTTTTCCCTACTACATTTTGACACTGATGAAGGTAGAGGCCATGATATATGTATTTTCAGATTCTAGATGCCTGAATTTTGGAGATCTACATTTATAATCTGCCACCATTTAGTAATTTCTCCTAAGGAAATATGACACATCTACTTTGAGCCTATTATGTGCTTTTAGTTTCTTCAAAGTCCCTTGCTACATCTTAGATGAATTATCTAAGAACACCAGAACTATCTGTAAGCTACCAGAAGCCTTATTGTTCCATGACCATTTAGTGATTTTTCAAATGGGTTTGTTTATAAAGAATGATTAAGAAAGCCCTGGCTTGTGTCCCATGATCTCCGGAATATTGGGATTCTAGCTGCGGGTAAATGAAATAGGGAATATTTGATGGAACAGGTACAAACGAAAAAAAATAGTTTGGTATTGAACATGGTCATTTGAAGTTCCATGGTTACTATGTGGAGATGTCCATAAGGAGGCAGCTATGACACTGAAGCTTGGAAGGAGAGGTATGGACTGGACAAATGATTTGGAAATCTTTTTGCAATATGTAGATGGATGAAATCACACTGAAAGAGCAAGTAGAATGAGAAGTAGGAAAGTGGACCAAGAGCAGAAGCCTGAGAGTCACACTGAAGAGGTGTGAGGAAGAAGGAATGGAGGTGGGACAAGAACCTGGGAAGAGGCTGTTAGGAGAGCAAAGGCCATTGACAGACTGCAGTGTGAGGAAGGAGAAATGTGTCGCATCAAAGACTGTTAAAAAACGTTAAGAGGCACCTGGGTGGCTCAATTGGCTAAGTGTCCAACTTCGGCTCAGGTCATGATCTCACGGCTTATGAGTTCGAGCCTCCTGTCGGGCCCTGTGCTGACAGCTCAGAGTCTGGAGCCTGCTTCAGATTCCGTGTCTCCCTCTCTTTCTGCCCCTCCCTTGCTTGCACTTTGTCTCTCAAAAACAAATAAACATTAAAAAAAATTTTTAAAAGGTAAAAAGAAATCATATAGTTTATTGCACACTTAAAAAAGAAAAATAACAATTTGGAGGTTCTCGGTGACCCTAATGAGAGCAGTTTCAGTGGAATGCTATGGGCAGACCCAGATGGGCTCTTAACAGACTGCTTAAAAAGTCTTACAGGAATCCCTGGGAAATTAGTTTGCGGTAGCCCAGTGACCTCCCTTAGCCCAAGTGTCCAGTAAATCTCTGGAAGATCCAAGAGAATCTAGAATCCAAATTGAGTTCAGCAATGGGTTGAGGTAATGTTAAACGACACAAACCTGAAGACAATATTGCGAAATTGAGAAACCATTAAGATTAAACTAGTAGGAATCATGTAAGCTTCCATTTTCAAGTTTGTGTAAAAATAATAGGTTGCTCAAATTCCAGATTGGAGGGATTTAGCTTGGCAACAATTGCTTAAAAATGGTCTAGAGATTCAAGTTGATTATAAACTTAAAATGGGCCAAGCATATGATTTGATTCCTAAAAAAGCTAGCACAGACTTAGGCTGTAATAATAGAGGAAGCGGAGACATCAGAAAACTAGATTTTTGGAAGTAAGGACAAGCATGAAAGGAGGAAAATGAAACTGCAATTAAATTAAAAGGGGGTAGTCTGGGACGCCTGGGTGGCTCAGTCAGTTGAGCGTCCAACTCTTGATTTCAGCTCAGGTCATGATCCCAGGATCGTGGGATCAAGCACCACATCAGGCTCTGCGCTAGGTGTGAAGCCCGCTCGAGAGTCTCTCTCCCTCTCTAAAAAAAAGTAGAAAGAGAAAAAAAAAAAAGAAATAAGTCATTAGGAAAAAAATATGGAAGAGATCTGAATATATTAATAGGTTGAGGGGGAGAATCTTGTGGAGGGGGAACTGAGAGAGAAGGGATAATTAGTGATACAGGAGTTTGATGAAGTTGGAGAAGTTGGTTTTGTACCTAAATGGGGATGCCTCACTTGGAGAGACTGGTGGAAGGTTGGAAGGATGGGAGTGACTGGAGATCACTGCTATGATTGGGAAGGAATTCAGGCATTTGGGAAGAACACAGGCTAATGTTTTCAATTTGCTTGGTGAAGTAATACTCCAGTGGGACCGGCTCTACCATTTCTGAGAGTTTGTGTGGACGGAGAAAGCACAACGGGGAAAACTGGTGAACCTGGAAGGGAGGTTAAGAAGAATTCCAGATAGAATGGGATTCTTGGTCTCTGAAGCGGGATCCAGAAATTGGCAGGTTTCTTCTGTCTCTTTAGCACCACCATCCACCAGGGAGCTGGGACTTATGAGCCTCTCCTTGCTTCTCCCACCTGGCTTAGGGCTGCGGTGCCTGGACTTTGTTGAGATGTTGCTCAGACTTTATTCCTTTAAAAAATAAGCTGAAGTGGAATTCTTTAACTTATCCAGGAAAAAAAAAGTCTTTGAGAGACAAACATTCTGGAAAACAGATCCTTGCAATACATAAATCTTCCTGTTAGAAGTAATGACTTGGAATTAATAAGCAGACAGTAAAATTCACGCAGAGAGTTGTAAAATATGGAAATGCAGGGTCTCACCGATATACCTCTTTATCAGACAGTGGTTGAAATGAAAGCAAGAAATGTTTGAACATAAAACATCAAGAATTCGCGACTTTTGAGTTCTGGAAGGTCATGAGAAGTCATTCGCCATTCCACAAGCACGCCCAAAAAGCCCGTCGAGGGGCAGGCATTACCCAAAAGGAATAAGGCTTTTTCGGCGCTCAAGCCCTGACGGAGGAAAACTAACTGCACAAGTTAGTATCTATGACAGAAAGATGAGGTAAGCTACGCGAGGTTGGCACAACATACAGTAAGGTGACTAATAAAAATCAAGCCCTTTCGTTCTGAAGGGTGGAGCCCGACTACTCCAAGAGTGGAAGGGAAATCTGGCGAGAGGACAAGAATCACAGACCTTGCGAAGTTCCCCCGGGGCCACCCGCCTTCTGCCAGCGCGTCTCAGGAACACTATCCGTTCCCGTGCGCGCTCGCCGGCGCGCCACCTGCGCGGGGCCGCGAGAGGGCGCGCGGCCGAGCCTGGGTGCGGAAGTCCTGCCGCGATTTCCGGAGGCGGAGGATGGGGAGGAGCCCGCGGTAGCTTCCGCCTTGCCCGCAGTCCTGCCTTGGGCACACGTGTTACCCCTTTGGGATTTTTGGATTACCTTTATTCCTAGTGAAACTGTAGAGCCCGGACTCCCTTAATATTTAAGGATGAAGGCGGTAAGTGTCCTGAGAATCCCGGTCTCCGCGGCTTAGAACTCTTTTGGCTGACAGTCGCTGCTGATGTAGTTTGGGCGTGTGTTTTTGCTCTTGTATTGGGGGCGGTAGCGTAGATTCGGGGCTCCCTTCTGGTTCTGTTTGCTGTCAGCTTCCTGGCCCTTAGATCTGGCGCTTCCTTCATGTCTACTGTGCGCGTGGTTGGCTTCAGGGGGCCGCGATGTGACAAGCAGGGAGTCTTGTTTCCGTAGGGTGTCGGATATTAAAAGGTTCTTCGAGACTATCTTTCGAACCCCTTGTTTCACAGATGAGCAACAGGGTCCTGCCCTCAGTGAGTTTATGATGTGTGTCATGGGACTCGATACGAGTCCATTTTTTTCCCCCCTAAAGGGTAAGGAGTTAGGAAAGTGTGATTTGCCCCGGTTCTCACAGAATGAGGGCTCAGTCGATTTGGATTTCTGAATAAGGGGTTACCAGCAAATGTTGGAATCCAAAGACCCAAATTCTGTTTTTCCCATTTTAGTTTAGGGGTCTTTGACAAGTCATATAATCTCAGCCTTAGCTTCTTCGTCAATAATTTGAAGGTAACAGCAATCACTCCTTAACTAGGCTTTTGAAGGGAATACATATGTTGGAGAACTTTGCAAAGGGTAAACCGATCTGTGAATGTCACTTTTATTTTGAAGACCGCATTTTGCTGTGAGTATGCGATTTAAATTTCTGGCTGTGCAGTACTCCTGTTCCTGTTCTTGTTTTCCAGAGAAGAAATAAAAAACAGATCCCAAGCTTTCGGAAGTTGCTAAAAACTAGTAAAGTGAAACTTGAAAACAAGCTAAAAAATAAGCAATTTAAACAACAAAGCACTCTCAAGAAGTACCGAAAGGAACAGAGGAAACTAAGGCAAGCTGTAAAAGATGCTGTGTCTAAGAAACCAATTCCACTGGAAGACCCAAGGGAAAAACGACCAGGTAATTGTGAAAGCATTCGTGTACTGTAATTTCTATTGATTTTTTTAATTAAAAATTTTTTAATGTTGATTTATATATTTTGGGAGAGAAAGAGACAGAACTCAAGCAAGGGAGGGCCAGAGAGATGGAGACAGAATCTGAAGCAGGCTCCATGCTCTAATCTGTCAGCACAGAGCTGGTTGGGGGCCTGAATTCACAAGCCGTGAGATCATGACCTGAGCCAAAGTTAGACGCTCAACTGACTGAACCACCCAGTTGCCCACCATTGATTTTTTTTCTTAAATGTTCTTCATAAAATAACATTGCTTTCTAGTAATTGCTATTGTTTTCAGATCTTCCTCAGAGCAGGTAAGGATAATGGTCCTGTATGCTTTATCACAGTCCATTTCAGAAAACATTTCAATATAGTATTCGTTGTGAGAAGGAGCTAGTCTCTACTTTTAGTTTGTCTAGAAAGGAGATCTGAAGATAGAATATTTGGGAAAACAAATGGAGATTAGCTGTGTAAATAAATGTTGGGGAGCATGCCAGTGCTGCCACTTTCTCATTCCATTAGTAGTTAGCTAAGGTAAGAACATAGCTTTTCTCTGGGGCATTCTTCACAGTGTTGCTAAAATTCACTTAGTTTTCTAACCCTGTGGCTTTCTTTTCATTTGAAAACTTGGAGTGAAATTGAACTGTAACTGTCAGGGTTATTCTTTTGTAAAACTATCCAAGAACTCCCAAGTACTCAAAACAAGTAAGGAACATGGCCATTTTGAGGCAGACCAGTTGTTCTACAATGTTACTGGTACTTTCAGGGTAATCATATTTGAGTGTACCTGGCTAGTCAGTCTTCCCATGTACATCTACATCTCATTCTCTTAATCCTGACCTGTTTAGTTTGATCCCTTGCTACATATTATTGTGATGTATAAAAGGTTATTGGGCTGGAAGTTAGGAAACTTGGGTTTTTCTCTCTCTGTTTAAGATTTTATTTTTAAGTAATCTCTACACCCAATGTAGGGCTTGAACTCAAAACCCCAAGATTAAGAGTCATATGCTACCCTGACTGAGCCAGCCAGGTGCCCCTTGGGTTTTTCTTAATTTTGTTACTAGGAAAAGTGGCTTAAGTTAGTCACTTAAATCTCCAGGTGCTTCATCTGTTTTGTTTTGTTTTTATTTTTTATTTTTTTTTATTTTTTATTTTTTTTTAAATGTTTTATTTATTTCTAGGAGAGAGAGAGAGAGACAGCGTGAGCAGGGGAGGGTCAGAGAGAGAGGGAGACACAGACTCCGAAATAGGCTCCAGGCTCCGAGCTGGCAGTCAGCACAGAGCCCGACGCGGGGCTTGAACCCACGAACCACGAGATCATGACCTGAGCGAAAGTCGGACGCTTAACCGACTAAGCCACCCGGGCGCCCCTGTTTTGTTTTGTTTTTAAAGGCAGTGGTTGAGTTTGCTTTTTAGGATCTCTTCTATCTAAATTTCAGTAGAATTTTGAAAGTGTTAAGTTGATAATTACATATAAAAAGCAAAATATTCATTTTTACATGTTGAGCATCTAAATGAAGTCTGTCAGACAGTTGGGTTTCAGAGTATAAGGTTCACATGAAGTACGTGGGCTGGAGAGAATAGCTTTGGGAATTTTCTGCATATAGATGGTAATTAAAGACTTAGACTTGGGTAAAATTACTGTGAAGACTGTATAACATGAGAACAAGAGAACCAAGAAAGAATTTTAAGGAACCCCAGCATTTAAGAAATAGATGGAGGAGAGATGCCTGGGTGGCTCAGTTGGTTACGTGTCCACCTAGGTCATGATGTTGTGGTTCATGAGTTTGAGCGCCCTGTCGGGCTCTGTGCTGACAACTCAGAGCCTAGAGGCTGCTTCAGATTCTGTGTCTCCCTCTCTCTCTGCTCCTTCCCTGCTCACACTCTGTCTCTGTCACTGTCTCTCTCTCTCTCTGTCTCAAAAATAAACATTAAAAAAGGTTAAAAAAAATATGTATATAAATGGATGGAGGAATAAAACCTATATTGGGATTTGGGGAGGAACCAGAGAATTAGGAAGAAAACCAGAACTGTACCGTGTCTTAGAAATCAGGAGTGTTTCAGGAAAGAAGGAAAGTCTTTATGTTCCAATGTAGTCTACAAAATAGTTAATTTTTAAAAACAAGATGAAAAGTAGTGTGTATTGATGTTTTCGCTTAATTGTAATTAGAGGATATCACCGCATGTATGAGATGCTTACAGCATTTGAATAAAAAAGAAAATACATATTTATAAACTCATATTCACTATCACAGAATAAGATTTTTAGAAAATAAGTGGAGTTTCCTTTGACCAACAGTCTTACTGTTAGGAATTCAGCCTATGATTATAGTTGAAAAAATTTGCCAAGAATATATTTCCAAGCATGCTCATTGCAACATTATTAGTAATAGCAAACAAAGAAATAAAAATGCCACCATGATCAAAACTTGAAACTGTTCTTTGACAAGGAATTGTTAAATGATGTAGATGTTGTTTACCTATGATGAAATACTATGCAGCTGTTAAGACTGACAGTTTTATTCTATATATATGATCTACATAATCTATGCAGTGAAGTAAGATTGACAAGTTGCCCACTGGAACATGACTTCATCAACTAAAAATGCTGATAGAAAGAAGTTAACAGGGATGTCTGGGTGGCTCTGTCGGTTAAGCGTCCAACTTTGGCTCAGGGCATGATCTCCCGGTTTGTGGGTTCAAGCCCCGCATCGGGTTCTCTGCTGATGGCTGGCTGGGAGCCTGGAGCCTGTTTGGGATTCTGTGTCTCCCTCTCTCTCTGACCCTCCCCTGCTTGTGCTGTCTCTTTCTTTCTCTCAGAAATAAATAAAACATTAAAAAATTTAAAAAAAAGTTAACAGATTAGAGAATTTGAAGGGCTAAGGGAGGGAGGGCTTCAATGATAGAATAAGTCAGGAGAAAACAAGAAGGTGTGGAATGTGGCCTGTGGAGGGGGTGGCTGAAGTGGAATGGAAGTGAAAGTCATTGGGAATCAGAAGGAGGGAACAGCTAAATCACTGGTTCTCACATGGTCTAAAAGACATTGCAGAATGTATGGAGCCATTTTAATTTTTGGTTGTTACAGTGAACTAGGAAGCCTCCTGGCATTTAGATTTCAGGGGTTGGAGATGCTAGCATTTTGCCTAGCTCGGGATACCCCTGTAAAACAAAGAACCATCCTGGTGTGCCTGGGTGGCTCAGTCGGTTAAGCCTCCAACTTTGGCTCAGGTCATGATCTCACAGTTTGTGGGTTCGAGCCCCTCATCAGGCTCTGTGCTGACAGTTAGCTCAGAGCCTGGAGACTGTTTCAGATTCTGTATCTCCCTCTCTCTCTGACCCTCCCCTGCCCATGCTGTCTTTCTCAGAAATAAATTAAAAAAATTAAAAAAACAAAAAAAAAAAACAACAAAAACCAAAAATCAAAGAACCATCCTCCCACTGTGTCATTAGTGCTTCCATTTAGAAACCCTGGGCTAAGGTGCTAGGAAAGCATAACTTTTCCTCTTGTCGACACAAAAACGCAGAGTTCTATACTTTTAATACTTCTGATTTTGTTGTATTGGAACAGGTAAAAGGATTGAGAGGGAAGAGGAGGAAGAAGAGGAAGCCCTTCCTTTAGATATGATGGATGAAGATGACTTACAGTTAATGAGAGACTTAGGGCAAAGAGCATCTTTTCTAACAAGAGATCTTTCTTCTAGGTAATACTTCATTTAGATTATAATCATTTATGTCCTTTTAGTGTTAAAAACTTGGTTCTGGATTTTATAAGGTGGTTAGTGCAAGATGTTCAGCTCAGAACACCATGTTTGCAAAGAGTAAACCTTATGACTCGGGTTTATTTCCTAAACAAAGGAAGTTCATGAATAAAACAAACTGGTTTTATTTAGTGTACATCTTTATTTCTTTTGAGTCTGAATAGTGAAGTAGAGTGCCCTGGGGAAGAATGCAGCTCTGTTTGGGGAATTGGCAGAACAGTCCTGAGTTCTTAATGGCTGTGATCTCAATCCTTGTTACCCTGTTAGGTAGGTATTCTTCCCATTTACAGAGGAAACTGATGCTTCCTGCATTCACAAGCAGTGGATCTGAAATTTAAACTTAGATCTTTTTAACTCTTCTAAGTCTGTAACATGGTTTTTGGGAAAGTAAAAAAAATAGCACCTTATCACCCTTGGCTCTGTGGAATAGTCTTCAAAAAGGATCTGCTGTAACTTTCACCTGTTTTGCATCTGAAGGGGAAACTAGATGCAGTCATAGTTTGAGCCTCTGTGATAGACTATACAATTCATTCACTCATTTACTATTTGAGTGCCTGCTATGTGCCTGGTCTAGGTGCTAATATCTATATACCTATTAGAGGTTTGGCTAGTAGTTTATTTTTCTTTATATTTCAGCTGCTATGTTTCTAGATTCCATTTTTACATTAAAGCTGGATTTTTTTTTTCCTGCAGTGAACCTGTTCATGCCAAGAAACGAAAGCATGAGCGTGTTATAGAAAAATATGAAAAAATACCAAGAACTCTGCAAACTGCACCAGAGAAGGAACTGATTCATTTGCTTCCTATCAAGGATAAAAGTGGTATAATCCCACAGACCAGAGAGAAGCCAGGTGAATCTGATTAGCCAGTGGATTAGTAAAAATTTTAGCTGCTTACTAATATTACCAAGATTTAATTTTATTTTTACTTTCACCCATACCTACAAAATAGGGATGGCTGCAATTAGTCATATAGCAAACTTGATGATTTTGGCCAGAAATACAGATGGTTATCTCAGATGTCTGTTGTATCATGGGTATAGCTGAAGCTGCTAATGTTGAGGTGGTTTTTCTTTTCAGAGTTGTTTTTGTTTTTTTGTTTTTTTTTTACCAACTACGATTGTTTCTAATTCTTTTTTAGCCTTTTTAAAACATGTATCTTTTTTCTTATGAAATAAAACATAGGAAAGTCCAGAAATGAAAAGTTGCAAAGTTATATGGTTTATTACCCATAAAACTACCATCCAGGCAAGAAATAAATACTGCCAGCACCCAGAAACTTCCTTTGTGCTCCCCTAAATCACTAGTTGTTCCCTCCTCACTATAAAGTAACTATTTTCTAGAGTTTTATGATAATCTCTTTCCTTTGTAGTTTTATCACTTAAGTATATTGTTATGTTTTTAATACACATATTTTCCATATAGTTACTGACAGTAACCAAGATGAAGAGGATGAAGAAGAGATGGAACTTGAGGAAGGTAATGATGTATCTTTATAATTACTAAGTTGTTAATTGAGAATTATAGTTTTTTGCTTAATAGTAAATATGACTCAATTTTAGATATAGTCTGAGACTGCATTTTAGAGTACTGGTCATTTCAAAGTTATTTTGAACTTTTTCCCACATGTTAGAAGTTTCACCTTGTGGAATTTAATTTTGTTGCTCTTTATTATGGAAAATTTTGTGCAGTTAAGTTTGTAATGTCTAGGCATGCATGAAGAGTCTCGTAAATTATTATTTGATTTTTCTTATAATTTAAAGTGAAATACCTGCCTGTAAATAATTAGGAACTTTTAGCTCTGAATTAAAAATGGTTCTGTGGTATGAAATCATTTCACTTATTTCTTAGAGCAATTATCCTCATATATGTCTGCTTTAGGTCTTTAAGTGTGGGTTTCTAATAGCTAAGATCATTGCAATCAAAACTAAACTGAGAGAACATATTTTTTTGTTTGAAATTCTCTGTTTGGAATTTGTGATAGAACAAGCTGGTTAAATTTTACCTTTGCTTAGCAAACCTCATTAATGGTGTAAAGGAGATTACAGGTCAGCTGTTTAACTGTTTTCAGTCACCCCTCATAGGGTTACAGATTATGCTTTTGTGTTCAAACTAGTTCCCTAGGAATTTATTTTCTTAAGGTGGACATATTTTCTGTAGTGCAGAGGACTGTATAGAATTGATAACAAGGCTATACTTTAAAAAAATAGTAATTAAAAATAAAATAAAATTTAGAGAGAGAGTATAAACAGTGGAGAGGAGCAGAGGGAGAAAGAGTCTTAAGCAGGCTCCATGCTCAGTGCAGAGTACATCACGGGGCTAGAACCCATGACCCTGGGATCATGACCTGAGCTGAAATCAAGAGTTGGAGTCTCAACTGACTGAGTTCCCAGGTGCTCTTCTGTACTTTTTTTAAAAAAACTAAATCAGGCTTCTTTTTCCTTTAATTAATAGGAATTATGCACAATAGTTAAGAATATAGGCTCTTGTGGGGTGCCTGGGTGGCTCAGTTGGTTAAGTATCTGACTTCAGCTCAGGTCATGATCTCACGGCTCTGTGCTGACAGCTTGGAGCTTCAAGCCTGCTTCAGATTCTGTGTCTCTGTCTCTCTCTGTCTCTGTCTCTTTCTCTTTCTCCCTCTCCCTCTCCCCCCCCCCACTCATGCTCTCTCTCTCCTTCAAAAAAAATAAATAAATAATAAAACAGAATATGGGCTCTTGACCCAGGCCACTGGATTTGAATTTCATTTCTGCCAGGTTTATGAGTATAAGCAAGTCACTGTCCCTTTGCCTCATTTTCTGTGTGCAAAATGGGTATGATGATTGTACCTGCCTCATAAACTTTTTTTAAAGTTTATTTATTTATTTTGAGAGAGAGAGAGCGCGCGTGTGTGTGGGGAAGGGGCAGAAAGAGAGGGAGAGAAAGAGTTTCAAGCAGGCTCTGCAGTGCTGAGCCAGACACGAAGCTCAAACTCCTGAACTATGAGATCATGACCTGAGCTGAAACCAAGAGCTTGGATGCTTAACCGACTGAGCCACCCAGGTGCCCCACCTCGTAGCGTTTTTGAGAGGATGTGTAGTAATCTTGGCCCATGGCAAGTGTCCAATCAAAGTTATTATTATGTATTACTATAAGAAAATTATTCTGTTGATTAACTTTTTGGATACTTGAAAATTAAGAAATGTTTAAGAGGGAAACCCAATTTGTTTCAGAGATCATCGAAGATCCCATTCGAGAACTGACATTAGAAGAACATTTAATTGAGAGAAGGAAGAAACTACAGGAGAAGAAAATGCATATTGCAGCCTTGGCGTCTGCCATATTATCAGACCCAGAAAGTAATGTAAGTACTGCTCATTTCTTTGGGCTTTTCATATTTGATATGGTGTAAATATCTAATATTTTAAGCCTCCTTTATTATCTGTAAGCACACACAAAAAGGGAAAATGTTAAAACACAGTGACTGATGGGACATCTGCTTGGCTCAGTTGGTTAAGCATATGACTTTGGCTCAGGTCATGATATCATGGTCTGTGAGTTCAAGCCCTGTGTTGGGCTCTGTGCTGACAGCTCAGAGCCTGGAACCTGCTTCAGATTCTGTGTTTCCCTCTTTCTGCTCCTCCCTCCCTCATGCTCTGTCTCTTTCTTTCTCTCAAAAATAAACATTAAAAAATAAAACCAAAAAACAGTGACTGAGATAGAATAAGAGTAGGCAGAACTTTAGACTAATCTCATCCGAACTTCATTTTTTTCTGTAATCTTAGAAAAGTCACAAACTCTGAATCTTATATTTTCTCACCTCTAAATGAAGATATTGAACTTAATATTGTAACACTGAAGGTGATAAGTGTAAAAATTAATTGGATAAGTGAGAACGAACCTACCTGGACATTTGCTTGACTGATTGGTAGATAAGGAATATGCTGCATAAAAGTCAGTGAGATTAGTTCAAGAGTACTTGCAAGTGGAAAATATGATAAGTAAAATAGACCAGAGAGTTAAAATGAATTATCAGTGGGCCATGCGAACAGTGGTGATGATGGTCATAGTTATAATATATGGACTCAAGAAACCTTGAGTCCTGTCTGTTAGACTCTGGGTAAATCTTTTTACCCAAGACTCATTTTCTTCATCTCTAAAAAGAAGATGGTACCTATTTTAAAACTTTGTTGTGAGGATTAAATAATCAAACATACATGAAGTCATGTAAAGTGATACTGTTATTCCTGTTGTATTGGAGTCTCCAGCATCCTACTGTGCATATATTTGTTTATTGAACAATAAAGTAGATTATTTACATTTGTAGCAAAAAAACTTCATCTGGTTACATTCTGGAGTAGTACTTGCTCTTTAACAAAGTGAGGGGAAGACCTGGAGCAGAAATGGGGAGGGGAAATTTGGCATATTTCTCACTTGCATTCTTTCATTTCATCATTATAAAACCATAAAGACAAGACTGATGATCTTATTTTACAGCTGAAAAGCTGTGCCTTAAAAAATTAAAGTGATTTGTTACAATTTTAAGAGGTGCTGAATTGGAGCCTGGTTCTTGCAGGTCTGGAGCCTCACGCTCACACAGGGACAGCAGATAGGTGGTACTATGTACCCTCCTCTCTGCCGTGGCAGATGTTGCTTACCAAGCAGTGTTGCTTGTCGAGGTGTCCAGCAGGCAGTAGAGTTTAGCAAAGCAAGCACGTTCATTGAAACCAAGTTTTTACTTCTGCATTACTTCATACAAATGATTTTTGAATGAGTCTTGTTGAAGCTAAAGTTCCTGAGGACATGTTATCTTTAATTCCTGATTCGTTTGTATATATGTGATTAATATATTTGAGTGGTATATGTAACATTTTAATTTATTTCAAAAAGTGTTTCTAAGGAAACAGGATTACATGCTTTAAGAAAACCCAATGAAAGAATTTCAAAGAATAGAGAAATTAATAAATATAAACTATTTTTTAAAGTGTGTATCTCTTCTAACTACTTAACAAAAGTATGGTTTAGCTTTAGTGATTTATCTTTTGGTGGCATTAGCAGTATCTCCAGTTGGGTATGGCTTGACTAGACCCCATGAGTCATTGTATGGATTCCACTTGTGCCAGATGTGAGGCTGTTGTCTTTTGTTCGTAATTGTTTTGTCATGGTTTCTCTGGCCTTATAAGTTATTTTTTTAACAGATTAAAAAATTAAAAGAGTTACGTTCCATGCTGATGGAGCAGGATCCTGATGTGGCTGTTACTATTCGAAAATTGGTGATCGTTTCCCTGATGGAGTTATTTAAAGATATTACTCCTTCGTATAAAATCCGGCCCCTCACAGAGGCAGAAAAATCTACAAAGGTAATGCTGGATACAGTCACTACACAAAATGGGCTGGACATTTTGGAGAGCTGGAGATGGGAGAAATAATAGTGGTTTTTTTTGTTTATCTTATAGGACTGGGTACATATTAGCCATTCACAGTTTGTGTTCATTTAAGGATTTTAATGTCTTGATTTTAAAAAATGATTGGTCTTTTTGGTCTTTTCAGATTCGCAAAGAAACCCAAAAGTTAAGAGAATTTGAAGAAGGCCTGGTTAGCCAATACAAATTTTATTTGGAAGATCTGGAGCAAATGATTAAAGGTATATTAAACATTTTTAAAGTATGTAGCATACTGAGCTTTGGTCAGGAAAGTGAGTTCCATATTCTTTGCTCTGTGGTGAGAGTCAGTATAGTGTATTGTCAAGAGCAGAGTCTAGAGTCTGACTTTCTTAGGTTCAAATCTGGGCTCACCACTTAACTACCTAGTGGTGGACAAATCATTTAATCTCTCTGTGCTTCCATTTTTCTGTTTATAAAATGGGAATAATAGTACTTAACTTCATAGGCTTGTTGCGAGAAGTTAATTTATAAATAAAAGGCACTTCGAACTGTGCCTGGCCTGTATGTGATCACCTGTATGTGATCACTGTATGTGATCAGCTATTACTGTTATTGTTGCTGCAGTCCTTTCCCTAGTAAGTAGTTAATAGGTTTCTTGAATTTGTGAATGGTTGGAATTTATTCTGCTGGTTATTATTTGGAGAGGGTAGGTAGGGGAGAAGGATGACTTGAGTAGATGAAATTAGTGCCTTGAAGAGGGACTTAGAAGTCAGTCATACTGGATGATAAACTGGTCCTTCAAACCCTTACCTCTTTCTCTTCAGAAAAGGAAGAGCATAGGAAAAATTGGAACATGAATGGAGAAGGAATTCGGTTGCCTAGGTCAGGTGCTTTCACTTGACTCAGTTGGGCTCCTTTACTCAGTGCTGGGCCTACAGGTCACCCCCATGCTGTCTCAGCTGGAACAGGACTACCGAATCCTGTTGGTCCAGTAAGGGCAGGAGGGAGTATAGTGGAAGTAGGGGTGGGTACCATAGATGTTGCTTCTATGCTCTGGCATCCCAGCTGGAGCCTACTTAATAGCATACATTGTAAGGCCTAGGAACTTTGTGTAGACCAGCATTATCCAATGGAAATGAGACCCCTACATCATTTAAAAAATAAAAGTATGTAACCACACTAAAAAAAGTAATAAGCAATGGAATTACTATGTATATATTCAAATTATTTCAACACGTAATCAATTAAAAAATTTTTTGTGAAGATTATTTATTTTGAGAGAGAGCACATGTGTGCATGAGTTGGAGAGGGGCAGAGAGAAGGTGAGAGAGAGAATCTCAAGGTGCTTATAGGAACTGTCAGCACAGAGGGGCTGGAACTCATGAACTGTGAGATCATGAGCTGAAATGATCATGATCAAGATGCTTAACCGACTAAGCCACTCAGGCGTCCCAACATGTAATAAATTTTAAAAATTAGCAAGGTATCTTACATTTTTTTAAAAAATTTTTTTAATCTTTATTTTTGAGAGAGAGAGAGAAGATAGAGTGCAAGTAGGGGAGGAACAGAGAGAGAGGGAGACACAGAATCTGAAGCAGGCTCCAGGCTCCAAGCTGTCAGCACAGAGCCTGACATGGGCTCGAACTCATGAACCATGAAATCATTACCTGAGCCAAAGTCAGACGCTTAACCGACTGAGCCACCTAGGCATCCCACATTCTTTTTTTTGTACTAAGTTCAAAATCTGGTGCATATCTCACCCAGTATATCTGAATTTGGACTAGCCACATTTCAGGTACTCAATTGTCCCATGTGGCTAGTGGCCTCTGTATTGCACCATGGACGTGTAGGCCTTTTCTAACCAGCTTGAACCATTATGAAGTCATCTTTTTTTTTTAAAAATTATTTATTTTTGAGAGAGAGCGCGCGTGCGCAAGCGGGGGAGGGACTGAGAGAGACGCGGGGCTTGAACCCACAAACTGAGATCCTGAACTGAGCTGAAGTCAGACACTCAACTGACTGAGCCACCCACGAGCCCCTATGAAGTCATCTTTTTAAATTAAAAAAAAAAGGTAAAATAGGTATAAAATGTATCATTTTAACTATTTTTAAAGTGTATTGTATGGTGGCATTAAGTAAATCCACAGTGTTGTGCAGGAATCACCACTATCCATCTCCAGAACTTATCCATCTTCCCCAGCTGAAATTTTGTAACTATTAAACATTAACTACCCATTTCCTCTTGCCTCCAACCCTGGCAGCCACCATTCTGCTTCCTAATTTGAATTTAATGTGGATTTGACTACTCTAGGAACCTCATAAATAAAACTATGTAGTATTTGTCCCTGCGTGACTGGCTTATTTATTTCACTTAGCATAATGTCTTCAAGATTTTTATAGCATGTGTAAAAATTTCCTCTTTTTAAGACTGAATAATACTCCATTGTATATATATATATATATCTATATCATATTTTGTTTATCCTCCATTCATTATGAAGTCTCATCAGCTTTAAGTAAATAGAAGATATGATTCTTATGAATATGGCCTGTGTAAGGAAAACTCATACGTGAGAAGCAAGTTTAAAACAAAGGCACTATCATTCATACTGTCTTATTTCTGGTTGTATATGATGTAGAGGGAGGTGTTGAACCTACTGTAGAAAAACCATATTTTTATATTTAAGATGCTATGTTATAGTAGCAGAGTATGTGTGTAGAAACTTCTAGAAAAGAGGTATTGTGACTTACTGGCTATTTTGAAGGAAAATTTAAATCTCTTCTGGCCCTCCTGGGTAAAGATACCATAGTGAGCATCAGCAAGAAGTCAGGAGAAACGATGTGTTGGATTCTCAGAGTTTTCGGAACATGGAAGTGATTGGGGTCAGAATCTGGAATTTGCTCATATTCACCAGCCAGTTAATAGATGATTGGGATTTGAACCCAGGCTTCTTGACTTGTAGTCTAGTGTTTTGGGGAAAGTCTGCTCGAGCCTAGCCCAGGGATTCCTTTAAGGTATTCAGTTCCCTGTCTCCCCCAACCCCTTTATCCCTGAGATCTTTTTCCCCTAATGATAACATCTTTTAGTATGTATAAAAAGCCAAGAAGGTTCTTAACATCACGGTTACAATGAGGCCACGGATGATGGCAGATAAATTTTAATGGTAACCATTGTACTTGTGTCTCAGTGCAGACACAACTCAAGAATATGTCTAGTGTATTGAGTTGTCATGTTATTACAGATTATTGAAAAAATGCTAATTAGTTGAAGTTTAGATCAACGAGTGAAGTAACTACATGTATCTTTTGGTTAGATTGGAAGCAAAGGAAACTGAAGAAAAGTAATGTAGTTTCCTTAAAGGCATACAAAGGACTGGCAGAAGTGGCTGTGAAGAGCCTGTGTGAGCTGTTGGTGGCGCTGCCTCATTTCAACTTTCACAACAACATCATTGTACTGATCGTTCCTCTCATGAATGACGTGTCAAAGTCGGTGGGTTGCATTAAGTGTATGTTGTTGTGGGCTTTGTGATTATAATTATTTTTTCTCTTTGAGAATTCTTCTGGAGCTATGATTTATTACTGAAATAGGGTCATTTTGTTAAACACGGTCTCTAAGAAAATTCTTTGAACAGAAACATAGTGTGGTGGTTCTGAGCAGGAGGTGGTTCTGCCCTCTGGGGATCATTAGGCCTGGCTGCTCGCAGTTTGGTCACAACTGCCTCCCAGGGCTACTACTGGCATCTAGCGGGTCAGGACTGGGGCACTTCTAAACATCCCACAATGCACAGGACGGCCTCCCCCAGTGAAGAACTGTCCGGCCTACCATGTCAGTGGTGCCAAAGTTGAGAAACGTTGGCTGAGTGTAACATTTTCTTTTTCAGATATCTGAATTGTGCTGTGAGGCAGTAAAGAAACTGTTTAAACAAGATAAATTAGGCCAAGCTTCCCTGGGTGTAATTAAAGTGATTTCTGGTTTTGTGAAGGGCAGAAATTATGAAGTTAGACCAGAGGTAAGCCATTCTTTTCTTTGCATTTTGTTTTTACATTACAACAGTTATGAAGAATTTTATTCTTTGTAGAAGTGTATAAAGTAGAAAATTCCCCAGGTATAACTCCTAATAATTTATTGTGTATTCTTCTAGATGTTTTTCTATATAAATATATCTACTTGTTTACATGTATTTTTGTCATTCATGTAAGAACCTCCTTGATCCCAAGATTATAGATTCTCTCCTTCCAGAAGAGTGTTAATTTTTATATTTAAGTATTTAATCCACTTGACATCTTTTTGCATGTGTGAATGGTATGATTGCAGATCTGATGTGTATATGTACTTTTTTGAAACAGATGGTCAGTTATTCCAATACCATTTCCCTTTTGCTACTGATTTAAAATGCTGCCTTCATTTTTCATTAAATCTTTACACAAAATTTTATTTCTGAACTTCCTGTTCTGTTGATTCAGTAAATCCCCCACATGTAATGTACTGTTTTTAGTAACCAGAGCTTTATATGTAGTACATAGTTCATCTGTAATGAACTGTAGTTCACCTAATTTCTGGTAGGATGGTACTGATCAAAATGGGTATTACTGATAAAAGCCCTGGACCTTCTTTTTTTTTTTTTTTTTATTCTCCAGAATATTTTAAATTACTTTTATGTGTTATTTTAAATGGAATTTAGAGTGAGCTTCTTTTGCTTCCTTTTCCCAAAATAATCCACACAGAGAATCTGATTGGAATTGAGTCAAAGTATAGATTAGTTTGGGAGAATTAAGATAGTTACAGAATTAATTTTTTTCTATTCAAGAATATATCTATGCCATTTATTTAAGGGCTTCTTAAAGAAGCCTTTTTGTGTTCTTAAGTGAAATTTTATAGTTGTCTTCATTTGGGTCTTAGATATTTTTATTGACTTCATTTTTAGTCCTATAGTTTTGATTGCTAAGGTGATTTTTTCTAGAAGTGTTTTATTCCCTATTTCAGGTCTTTCTTTGCTACCTAATCCCTTTCATTTCTCAAAGCTGGTAATTTCAGCTGAACAGCTAAAATGATAAATATTGGGCTTAAGAGAAAATATTTAGTGTTTTTACTCAGAACTGTAGAGTGATACGATACTAAGGCTTGAACATGAAACTTGCTCATAGGGAAACACTTCCATTTTAGTGATGCTATAATATAAACCACATTCTTTAATTTGTTGGGTTTTTGTTTTTTGGGGGGTTTTTTTGGTATATATTTAGGTTGTACGATGCATTTTTTTTTAAGGTATACAACATGATGATTTAGTATACTATATGTTGTGAAATGATTACCATGGTCAAGTTAATAAACACATCTGTCGTCTATTCCTTTTTTTGTGATGAGAATACTGAAGATTTACTCTCAGTAAATTTCAAGTTACACAATATTATTAACTATAATTACTATGCTGCAAATTAGATCCTCAGAGCTTATTCATCTTATAACTGAAAGTGTGTATCCTTTGACATTTCCTTGTTTCCCCCATATCCTGGCCACTGCTATTTTTAGTATGCATTTGACTTTTTTAGATTCCACGTTTAAGTGAGGGCATACAGTATTTATATTACCATGTCTGGCTTATTTCCCTTAGCATGATGTCCTCTGGGTTCATCCCTGTGGTGACAAATGCCAGGATCCTTCTTTTTAGTGGATGAATAATATTTCATTGCATGTATATAGCACAGTTTCTATATTTATTGATCTGTTGGTGGACACATAGGCTGTTTCTGTATCTTCAATGTATATTATGAATAATGCTGCAGTGAACATAGGGGTGCAGATATCTCTTTGAGATACTGATTTCATTTCCTTTGAATATATCCCCAGAAGTAGGATTGCTGGATCGTATGATAATTCTGTTTTAATTTTTTTAGGAGATTTCATGCTGTTTTCCATGGCTGTACCAATTTGCATTCCTATCAGTAGTATACCAGGGTTTCCTTTTCATGTCCTAATACTTGTTTTCTCTTATTTTTTTTTTAAGTTTATTTATTTATTTATGTAATCTCCACACCCAGCGTGGGGCTCGAACTCAACCCCAAGATCGAGAGTTGCATGCTCCTCTGAATGAGCCAGCCAGGTGCCCATATTAGCTTTTTGATAATAGCCATTCTAACTGGTGTGAGGTGATATTTCATTGTGATTTTGGTTTGCATTTCCCTGATGATTAGTACTGTTGAGCACCTTTTCATTTGTTGTATGTCTTCTTTGGAAAAATGTCTATTCAGGTCTTTTGCCCGTTTTTTAAATCAGGTATTTGCTTTTTGCTGTTGAGTTGTAGGAATTTCTTGTATATTTTAGATATTAACTCCTTGTTAGATATGTGGCTTACAGATATCTTCTCTCATTTGGTAGGTTGCCTTTTCATTTTGTTGATGGTTTCTTTTGCTTGCAGGAACTATTTAATGTAGTCCCTCTTGTTTATTTTTGCTTTTGTGCCTGTGCTTTTTGGTGTTCTATCCAAAAAAATCATTACTAAGACCAACACGAAGGAGCTTTTTCCTTCTGTTTTCTTCTAGGTTTCAGGTCTTATTTTTAAGTCTTTAATCCATTTCAAGTTAATTTTTTGTGAGTGGTGTAACATAGGGGCCCGGTTTCACTCTTCTGCATGTGGACGTCCAGTTTTCTCAACACTGTTTATTGAAGAGACTATCCTTTCTTCATTGTGTATTCTTGGTGTCTGTCTTTTAAAGTTGACCATCTTTAATCTGGAGTTATTATTTTTTATTTGTGAGTGATACTTTATGAGCACATAAAATCCCTAGAGAATACTCCAGTTGATCTTTCTGGTATCTAGGATGACTTCATGTTCACTGTTTATGCTTTTCTTTCTTGTTTCCATTCTGTGCTTTAAACTCTGTAGACTGAAATACTTTGCTTTCTTCCAAATGTATGTATTAGAACATCGGAATAAAACAAATGTGTAGCTCTCAAGTGTTTTTTCCAGGAATGCTGCTATGACTGCAGGAAGGCAGGAGAGTGTTTTCTCCCAAAGGAAATTAGGATTTTCCCTTTTGTCTTTGTGTTTGGATGGTTGCTGTAGTACACAAAACACCAATTTCCAAATTTTGGATTTTTTGAATGGCCTAAGGCAGTGGTTTATGGTCCCTAGATGAGCGTCAGCTGGGAATTAGAAATAAAAATTATGGGGCCCAGAATTCACTCCAGACCTAGTGAATCAGAAACTCGGAATAGAGCCCAGCTGTTTGTTTTTTAACAAGTCCTCCAGATGATTCTCATGTTTGCTGTAGTTGGGGGCCCATTGGCTTAAAGGAAAATAACATCTTAAAATTAATAACATTGGTCTACATGTTTGTTTTCTTAATGGGGGGTAGGAAGCTGATGATTAGAAGTGTTGACTACAAAATGGAGTCTGGTTTGGTAAATTAAAGTTGGTTTGGAAGTAATGTAACTTATATCCTTTCCTTCCATACTGGCCCATACCTTTTTTTTGGGCTATTGACTGATCCCGGGGTAATGTGTTCTCTCTTCCTTATACTCCTTACAGTGCATCATAATTTTATGTGTATTTAGCCAAAAATTATGTCCTTTTATAGACACAAATTGCCAAATATGTTTAGCAATAGCATGATAGTATTTTGTATGAAATGTGATAAAAGAGATGTGTCACAGTTTTTTTCTTTTTTTTCTTTTTACAGAGGAAGGGATTAACATTGTTAAATGCTTTTCTGTAAAGGTTTTGAGGGCAATATAAATATTAAGCTGTATATTGTGTTTTCTTCATATTAGATGTTAAAAACATTCTTGTGCTTAAGAATCAAGGAAGTAGAAGTGAAAAAAGATACAGAGGACATTAATAAACCGAAAAAGTTCATGACTTTCAAGGAAAAGAGAATAACTCTTTCAAGAATGCAGAGAAAGGTTTGGTTGATTTCCTTTTTTGTTTGATTTGAGATTAAAATAGTGTAGGCATAGGAAGAGATCATAGTTAAATATAAATATGTTAAAACCTAATGTTTACAGAATTTTATTTTTTCTACTTCTTGCAAAGAAATGTCTTATTGAATTAATTAACAATTCACTGGCAGAAAGAGCAGTAGCTGAAAAGATGTCCTTGCTGTGCTGGCTTTTATTTTTTTGCTCTTTAGATGGCCTTAGATTCATTGTGATACACAGAACACTTCCTTGACAGAAAGGCGACATTCTTATACAGTTGGCAGCAAAGTGGATTTTTGGTAATTGAACTACATTTCTTTTTTGGCTTATATTTAAAACTTAAGTTGAAATTCCAGCCCCTTGCTTATTTAGTACAAGACCTTGGTAACTTTTTTTTTTTTTTTTTTGACAAATGGAGCTAGTAATGGCACCTACCTCGTGGGTCACTGTACATTTTAATAAGATGATGTATGTAAAGCACTTAGCAAGTGTTTGACACTGGGGATGCTTTATAAACCTTAATCACCACCACCACCACCATCACTATCATTATTTCTCAGAACATTTCTAAACATCTTATTAGGGTTATCAAATTGCCTATAAAAACAAAACAAAACATTTTCAGGGGTATCTATTTTTGAATATGTCTAATAAAGTTTGAAAATAGGACAGAAGTACCAAAATAGATATAATAATTGCAAACAAATGAAGGTAAATATTTTAATTATTTATACCATACTATTCTAATATAAATTGGAATCCGTGTTAGGAATAGCATGAATGTAGCTGTGATGGGGAAACAAAAGACCCACTAAGAACATGGCAGCTCCTTAACTTTGCATGCAGGAAGGAAACTCTTGTCAGTTGGTCCCCTGCATCTCATGTAGCTTAGCAACCACTGTTTGCTGCTTTTACAACATAAGGAAGTGGAAAACACTGATATTTTGTTGAGTTTCTATAAAGTATCTGGCTTTATGCGTTGTATGTAAGTGTGTTTAGGAACTATTGCTATGACTCATTTCCATGTTATAGATGATTTAACAATAAGAATTATTTCTGGGCTCAGTGTGTTCTTCCCTTTTTTTCCTCTTTTGAAAAAATTTAAGTTATGGAAAAACTACAGAGAATAGCATATCTCATGTGTCTGCCATTCACAATGAGCAAACATATAGACTTAATTTGTTTTATTTTGAGATTTTTTTTTTGATCTCTTAATTTTTTTAAAAATTTTTAAAAAATTTATATCTAAGTTAGTGAGCATATAGTGCAACATTTCAATTTTGTTCTTGAAACCATCAGTGATAGAGTTAGAATCCCTTCTGTTCCTCTCCCCAGTCTTGTTCCTCTGCCTTTCCCTCAGGAGGCAGCCACTGTCCTGAGTTTGGTTTGTGTATACTGCTTCTCCAGGTCTGTGTACTTTTGCTTATATCTGTGTTCATAGACCGCCTAGGGTATGTGTTTCAGAATATTTATATATTATGCCTCTCTGAAGCTTTTTCACTCAGCACTGTATCCTCTTGTTCTTTCCCTGTTTCTTTCCAGTGGAAGAAGGCAGAAGAGAAATTAGAGAGAGAACTTCTAGAGGCAGAAGCTTCAGAGAGCACTGAGAAAAAACTTAAACTGGTAAGCAGTTTCACATTCTCTCATGCTTGTAGAATGTTTTGTTAAAGGGTTTTAACTTGAGATTATTGTTTCAATTTGTAGTTGTATAATCTTGGTTTATTTCATGAGGCTTCCATATGCAAGAAACTGGCATGATCAGTGCTGGTCTTAGGAGATGCCACAGTGCATGCCTTCATTCTGTTTGAAGCTCCTAAGATTGGGTTTTGGAGAGGGTTGGGAAGGGACAAAAAAGGGTGAGCTTTGAAAGTCATCTTTCTGGTAACTCGGGAAAATATACAAGGTTATACTAAAGTCATTTTATTTCTTTTGCCAGCACACGGAGACTTTGAATATTGTGTTTGTAACCTACTTCAGAATATTGAAGAAGGCCCAGAGGTCACCTCTCCTGCCAACAGTTCTAGAAGGTCTTGCCAAGTAAGGGCTGTGTAGGTTGAAGTCTTTTAGATTCCTTGTAAATTAAAAAAGACCAAAAAAATCATGAAACTTAAACATGGTGACCCCGTGACCTTCTCAGTTCTCTCCTTCTTTGTCACCAGCCTTTCCTTGAAATTGTTCATAACATTCTTTAGTTTTCTCATCTTGAACTTTTTATTTTTTAAATCTCCTTCGGTAATTCCTTCTTTCTACTTACCAAGCTCTGGGGCTCCCTAAGGTTCATCTCACGGTTCTTTGTTCCTTTTGTGTTGTGGTGAGTTATCCACTGTTAGTTTTGAGTGGTCCTTGCAGGCAACTTTTAAGTCTGTCATATCTCTGCCTGCACCTCATTTCTCGAGTCCTGTATAAGAAAAGAGAGCTTTTGGTATATTCCAGTGAACCTTTGGGGGATGTGAGCTAGAATAATGGTTTTTGTGATGGATTTCCAGTTATTTGAGGTAGTATCCTATAGAACAGTGTAATAGAAATATAATGTGAACTAGCTACATAAAGTATTCAGTTAGCCACATTAAAAAAGTAAAAAAAATTGTGAAATTAATTTTGATATATTTTATTGAACTCAATTTATCTAAAATATTATTTTGACATATATTCAGCATTATTAAGGAGTTACTTAGTATTTTTTCCATAAAATCTTCAAAAACTGATGTATATTATACTTATAGCATTGTTCAATTTCGACTAGCCCCATTTTAAGTGCCTAATAGTGTGTGGCTAGGCTGTCATTGTTGGACAGCACAGCTTCAGAAATAGGGCTGATGGTTGGAAGATAGAGAAAAAGCAAGTTCCGTTTAGGATAAGACATTACTTTCTTTATTTTTTAAATGTTTATTTATTTTTGAGAGACACACACACACACACACACACACACACAGAGTGTGAATGGGGGAGAGGCAGAGAGAGAGACAGAGAATCTGAAGCAGGCTCTAGATTCTGAGCTGTCTGCCTAGAGCCTGATACGGGGCTTGACCCCACGAACAGTGAGATCATGACCCAAACCAAAGTCGGATGCTTAACTGACTTGAGAGCCACCCAGGTCCCCCTATTTAAAAAAAACTTTTTTTAAAAGTTTATTTATTTTTGAAAGAGCCAGACAGAGTATTAGTGGGGAAGGGGCCGAGAGAGAGGGAGACACAGAATCCGAAGCAGGCTCCAGGTCCTGAGCTGTCTGCATAGAGTCTGACACGGGTCTTGAGCCCACGAACTGCAAGATCATGACCCAAGCCAAAGTTGGATTTTTAACTGACTGAGCCACCCAGGCACCCCCATAAGACATTACTTTCTAATGACTGGAACTATTTGACAGTGGGATTATAAAATTGGGCCTTGTTATTAAAGGATTCAAAGAGAGGGCCTACTGTTCGCTTTTCAATGACCAGTTGCTTTATTTAAAAAAAGTTTTTAGTCATACTTATTTTAAAAATTCAAATGATGCAGGGGCACCTGGGTGGCTCAGTCAGTTAAGCATCCAACTTTGGCTCAGGTCATGATCTTGTAGCTCGTGAGTTCAAGCCCCATGTCAGGGTCTGTACTGACAGCTCGGAGCCTGGAGCCTGCTTCAGAATCTGCGTCTCCCTCTGTCTGTCCCTTCTCTGCTCGCATTTTGTGTCTCTCTCTCTCCTCAGAAATAAACATTAAAAAAGGTTTTAAAAAATTAAAATGATGCAGAAGAATATAAAATTTAAAACACAGGGTCACCTGGGTTGCTTATTCGGTTGTGCATCCAACTTTGACTCAGGTCATGATCTCTTGGTTTGTGAGTTTGAGCCCTGCATCAGGCCTCAAGTTGGCGTGTGGAGCCTGCTTGGGATTCTTGCTCTCTCCTCTCTCTGCCCCTGCCCCTCTCATGCTTTCTCTCTCTCAAAATAAATTAATAAATGTAAAAAAAATACAAGTTTGTACTTGTAAAAAATTATAATTATGTACTTAAATACATAGGTCAGTCTGCCCATCTTTTGTCACACAAATGGAATCTTATTATGTTTGCAACTTTTCTTTTTTGATAAAATGGTTACTCTGAGTATCTTTCCATGTTTTGGCATGATTACATCCAATTTTTTTGTTTTGTTTTTACATTTATAACACTTTATTTTATGGATCAGTAATACTTTTATTTGACCAGTCCCCTGTGCTGCACTGGAAATATCTTCATGCCCTTGTGTGCATATATTGCCAGGTCAGAGGGTCTGCTCATTGTAAATTTTGATAAATATTGCCCATTTGCCTCCACAAAAGATTGTACTAGTACATAGGGAATGTACCACTTCTAAGATAGATATAATGTCAAAGGCTCTTGCACTAATACTGAAGAGATATATTGACTTTTAAGTACTTTAGCGCCTACTATTTTATAGTGTACAGAGCACTCTCACATTTAATATTTCAGATGATTCTCCCTCTGTTATTGTATAGTGTGATCTCTGTTTTTTTCTAGACATAGAGGCCCAGGACTGATAAGTGACTTACCTAGGATTGTATAGGTAATTAATGACAGAGCCTGAACTAGATACTAGGCCCAATATTCTCATTTTATTTTTAAAGTTTTCATAGGATCCATATTCCTATAAATAACAGACTCTTCTTTCCCATTTCCTGCCCCCCATTTTCTTAGAACCTGATTCTTCTGGCCCCTTTATGAGTTAGAGCAGCATGGAGTAGTTTCCTTGGGTAGTTGTTTGTTCTTGTTTTGTAGGACAGAAGTATTTCTGAAATATTATCATTTTGTATAGTGCTTCATCTCTTTTATGCTGGGTGTTGTCAGAAGGCCAATTTGAGTTAATGAAAAATTTCAATAATCCCCACCATCTCCATTGTGACTAACATTGAAATAAGGAATATTAAAAATATGGTTTTAAAGTCAAGTTTAATTTCTAACTGTTTTATTTCTGTTTTTGGGTTACCTATTAACTAAGCTCTGTTTGATTCTAGGTTTGCTCACCTTATAAATGTCGAGTTTTTTGATGATTTATTAGTAGTACTGCATACTCTCATTGAGTCTGGTGTAAGTAACTCTATTAATGAATTACTTTTCAAGATATAAGTGGTAATTATTATTCTTAATATCTCTTTTCCCCCTTTTTTCCCCAAGGATCTGAGCTATCAAGAAAGTCTTCACTGTGTGCAGACTGCTTTTCATATTCTTTCTGGCCAAGGTAAGATATTTTCTTTACCTTGGGAGGCTGTAATATACCTAATTGTTGTTTTTTGTAATTCAAAGGTGACATTCTGAATATTAATCCTTTGGAGGCTGTAAAATACCTAATTGCTGTTGGTTGTAATTTCAAAGGTGATGTTCTGAATATTGATCCAATGAAATTCTATACACATCTATATAAAACACTATTCAAGTTACATGCAGGTATGTACATTTATATATTGTGTCTTTTTTTCTTAATCTTTTTTAAGTTTATTTATTTTGAGAGAGAGAGTGAGAACAGAGGTGGGGCAGAGAAAGAGGGAGAGAGAGAATCCCAAGCAGGCTCCATGCTATCAGCACAGAGCCTGACATGGGGCTTGAACTCATGAACCGTGAGATCATGACCTGAGCCCAAATCAAGAGCCAGACGTTAAACCGACTGAGCCACCTAGGCGTCTTTATATATTGTGTTTTTAATAAATACTTACCTTTTAAGAATATCTTGTGACTGGTATTAGAGTCCATGAAAAATGAGAAATTGAAATTGGCATATAAAATGCTGGCCTCTGGTGTCACACATCTGTGTTTAACCTCATGTAGAAGTTGGAGAGAGAGAACTTCTGGAACTGACTGGAGATTTGATATAACCACTGCATCTCCTGAGCAGTCTGGCACTACTTCGTTAGTTAGGGAGAGGATTTGGGACAGGGAATGACCGTTCATCTTGGGTTTTTCTGGAGTGCAGTGAAGCTGTGAAATGGAAAAGCAGCGAGAACAGCCCTGAAGCGTATATCTGCTGTTGTAGGTGCTACCAACGAAGGTGTCGAGATTGTACTCCAGTGCCTTGATGTCATGCTAACTAAGCGCAGAAAGCAGGTTTCTCAGCAGAGAGCCCTTGCCTTCATCAAGCGTCTTTGTACCCTTGCTCTTCATGTTCTTCCAAATTCAAGCATTGGCATTTTAGCAACTAACAGAATATTAATGCACGTAAGTAGAGATACAAACGAGTAGAGCTAAGCTTTGGTAGGTGCGACAAGACAGTGCTATCTTGTTTGCATCCTTTTCCCCATTTACGTTACTGCTGTGATAATGGCAAAATGGCAAAATCCAGTGAGAAAAGAAGTACATAAAAGTACAAAAGGAAAGCATCTCACCCCTGCTGACACTCTCCGAAGGGAACCTATTTTTACCCTTCGTTGGGTCCTTCCAGCAGACTCTTTTATTTGTATATAAACACATACACCACATGCACACAGACAACACAGTTTTTTTTTTTATTGTGTACATTATTCTGCATTTTTTTTTAACACTTAATTGTTGGACACATTTTTGTGTCAGTACAAATATAAAGTACATGTTCTTATAGCTCTTCTATAAGCAAGAAATCAAAATAAATTTAAGTAGAGATAAAAGCACACAACCCAATAACATTCTTTACTAGTACTAATTTAATTAATTCTTTTTATGTGACATTTTTGCAGACTTTCCCAAAAACAGATCTGTTGCTTGACAATGAATCTCAGGGAAGTGGGGTTTTCCTTCCTGAGCTGGACGAACCTGAGTACTGTAATGCCCAGAACACTGCTCTTTGGGAATTGCATGCGCTGCGGGTAAGAATGCCCTGTTTTTGTGTTAGCAGTATTTTTCAGTGTTTCCCCAAGTGGTTGCTATTGCCAGTCCTTTGTATATTTTGTTCTGGCATGGCCTTTTAGAGAATTCCTGTGAGAGTTTGTTTGTTTTAATTTTTTTCTAATGTTTGTTTATTTTTGGTAGAGAGAACGTGCATGCAGGGGAGGGGCAGAGAGAGAGAGAGAGAGAGAGAGGGAGACCATAATCTGAAGCAGGCTCTAAGCTCTGAGTTGTCCACACAGAGCCTGATGTGGGGCTTGAACTCACGAACTGCGAGATCATGACCTGAGCTGAAAACGGCCACTTAACTGACTGAGTAACCCAGATGCCCCTAGAATTCCTGTTTTAATAGTCTACATTTCACTTTGCTCTTACTATTCTTTAAAATGTTGAGGTACATTTTCTAAGGAAGCAGAAAATGACAATTTTGGGCGGATGCGGTTTAAAAGATTTATTGCAGTCTTTCCCCATAATTGTTCAGAACGGAAGATCGATATTGGGTCTGACCTGAGGAGACTGACATCACCCCGGTTTCACCCCGGTTTGTGTTGTGATCTGATGGTGTGGATGCATAGGAGAAGGCTCGGAGCAAATACGTTTCAGGAAACCTGTTGTAAACTAACTTTTTTCACTCTAGAAGAGAAATTGCTTTTTGATTTTTTTTCTTTTTTTTTTACTGTAAAAGCAAGACTAAGCTACGTCAGTGGTAACTTGGTCATCAAACAGATTTATGTTGTCATCCTCTGAGCAAAGAGAATATTTGTCGGGATATGCTTATTGTGAATTACATATATGATTTAAAAGTGTTTATTAAGGAAAATCATTGCTGCAGCTAGTGTTTCATAAAGTACTGACCTGTGCAAACTGTGGTCGTTCTTGCCCTTCAGAGACATTACCATCCCGTCGTGCAGAGGTTTGCAGCTCACCTGATTGCCGGAGCACCTTCTGAAGGCTCGGAAGCGCTCAAACCAGAGTTGAGCCGGAGGTAATAGTCAGCACTGCCTTATTATCAGACTACATGTTGTAGTCGAGTGCTCTTTGCTATGAGAAATCTGCTCTATAAAGTAATAGATTTTAAAATATAAAGTGCCAGGGGCGCCTGGGTGGCTTAGTTGGTTAAGCGTCTGACTTCGGCTCAGGTCATGATCTCACGGTTCATGGGTTCAAGCCCTGCGTCGGGCTCTGTCCTGGCAGCTAGCTCAAAGCCTGGAGCCTGTTTTGGATTCTGTGTCTCCCTTTCTGACTCTCCCCTACTCACGCTGTCTCTCTCTCTCTCTATCAGAAATAAAACATAAAAAAAATTTTTTTTTTTTAAATATAAAGTGCCAGTTGATCTGGATTTGGTCTCACTTCACCTTCTTGAATTGTTCCAAGTAGAAAACATGTCGCCTGTAATTTTGTAAGCGTGTTTTTGTTAATTTGTTTTTGGAAATCACTTAATGTTTTTTTTTTGTTGTTGTTCTAAAAAATTTCACACAGGGGTGCCTGTTCTCTTACTTTTAATGTTTATTTTCGAGAGAGAGAGACTGAGCATGAGCTGAGGAGGGGCAGACATAGAATTGGAAGCAGCCTCCAGGCTCTGATCTGTAGCATCAAGCCCAGTGCGGGGCTCGAACTCACAGGCTGTGAGATCATTGGATGCTTAACTGACTGAGCCACCCCGGCACCCCTGTTTTTATTTATTTTTTTAAGTTTATTTGTTTTGAAAGAGAGATAACAAGTAAGGGAGGGGCAGAGATGGGGGTGAACAGAGGATCCAAAGCTGGCTCTGCTGATAGGCAGAGAGCCCGATGTGGGGCTCCAACTCATGAGTCTTGGGATCATGACCTGAGCTGAAGTTGGACACTTAACTGACTGAGCCACCCAGGTGCCCTCAGCCTTTTCTTTTAAAAGGGAGAGGAAGGAGAAAACATTGTCAGTTTTCTTATTCATGTTCCTTTTATGGCATGTTTTTGTCTGAGACTTTGAATGTTTGCCTCATTTATGCCAGAAATTTCCTTCTCTGGAGGGAGACAGAGGATGGGTTTATTACAAAAGCTTGAGAAAGGATACTCCTGGTGGTCTTGCCCTGATCTGTTGTAGGCCTTTACCAATTTCCTTCAGTGAATGTGAACCAACCCCAAATCACTAAGGATTCATTTCCACCCATGGGTATGGACATTTAATCTAGGCCAATAACTGAAGGATTGAGCTGTTTGAAAGCCATGGAGGATAACTTCTCTGGCCTCCCATGACTTAGTTACATATTGTTCACATAACTGGTTGAGTTGGGATTTGATCACATTAAGCTGGAGGTCTTCTGCTCAGCCTTATCTTTGTCTAGCCCTGTATTTCTAAATGCACACCAGATCTCTCTGAGGTGGATTTAGTTGGATAACATTGTCATTACATGGGAATTTAGGATTGATTTTATATGAATGTGTTGGTTTGTTGGTTTTAAGAGCAGGATTATGTTAGCCCTCACTGTATGTTTAGAATAATGAGTCGTCCTCTTTGGGTACGGTCTAATTATTTTTAAGTTCTACAGATACAGTGATGTCTTTACTTTTCTTCTGTGATTATAGATCTGCTACAGAACTTTTTGAGACTTACAGCATGGCTACAATGACATTCAATCCTCCTGTTCAAGCTTCAAGTTCCAAAAGGAAGGTATGTGATAATTTTCGTATTTTTTTTAAAAAATGAAATAAAAAACTAAGGATGTCTCTTATTAAATGATTCCAACTTGCTTAATTGTGTTATAGGTACCTTTTTTTTTTTCTTTTTCCTCATGTTTAGGAGTTGACAGTAGATCTGTGGGTTTGAGATTCTCTGGAGACAGTCATGAGACTGTTTCGTTCAGTATAGAGATGTCTAAGACCCAGCACATGTCAGTATTATGTTTCAAGTGTTGGCCTGGGGTCAGCTGTTACCATTTTGCTCACAGATTGGCTTTTCTTCCAGGCATAAAAACTTTTAACATGAGGTACTTATAATATTTTTGCAGGATGAAGTTTTACAAGGGGATACATTTTTGAATGAAGATTTAAATCAATTAATCAAAAGACATTGCAGTGAAGTCTCTACTCACATGCCTCTGGATTTCAGCAGATACTTGACAACATCACTACAGAGATAGAAGAGTGAAAGGCCCATGGGCTTTCTTGTATATTTGTATTTGTTTAGATGCACATAGAGACATATTTTTAATTTAGGACATTCTCTTTTTACATAAAGAAAGCTTCCTAAGAAACTTAACAGCGTTGGCATAGTTACCCTTTGCATGGCAACAGGGTTCTGCCCCAATTCTGAAAATGTCATTAAGGAGAATTGAGAGCCCCCTACCCCCCGTATTTGGAAGTTTCTTAATTATGGTGCCTTTTTAAGACTTAATATACATCTTAAGCTATACTTAAAAAAAAAAAAAAAATCTTTAGAGTGAATTTAATTGAATTTGTTGCTAGATTAAAACGAGGGCATAGAGCACAGAAAAATCAAGACCATGAGATTGCCTTTTACCATTCAGCTACTCTTAATGACCAAAACTTTTTTTCCCCTTTTTTTTTTTTAAATTAATGTTGTGGTTTTTTTTTTTTAATGTTTTATTTATTTCTAAGAGAGAGAGAGAGAGACAGCGTGAGCAGGGGAGGGTCAGAGAGAGAGGGAGTGACAGACTCTGAAACAGGCTCCAGGCTCTGAGCTGGCAGTCAGCATAGAGCCCGACGCGGGGCTCAAACCCACGAACCGCGAGATCATGACCTAAGCGAAAGTCAGACGCTTAACCAATTAAGCCACCCAGGCGCCCCCTTTTTTTTCCCTTTTGATGTTTATTTATTTATTTTGAGAGAGAGAGAGAGTACAAGCAGGCAAGAGCAGAGAGAAAAGGAGAGAGCAAATCCTAAGCAGGCTCTATGCTATCAGCGCAGAGCCTGATGTGGAGCTCAATCCCATCAGCCCCCATGAGATCATGACCTGAGTTGAAATCAAGAGTTAGACACTTAACTTGACTGAGCCACCCAGGCACCCTGACCAAAAACTCCTTCTAATGAAATAAATACATATTTTTTGCAACACTGTAGATGGAAATAAGAAAAATTCTATATTTGAGTGAATATATTTTTATGAAGATTTTTGAGAAAAGAGAAAATAGCTTGAAATTGGACATCATTGGCTCTTGCTGGATGATACGCTTCAAGAAGTAATCAAATTTGATCTTTTAAAAAAAAGGATGAGAGTGTTCAGTATGGCTACTTACAAAGAAAGGTTGAATGTAATTCTGGTTTCTTCAAACTTCTTCACATTTTCTGATGTGCTCTGGAGGGTGATGGGAGAAGAACTGCTCCTGGGTGGAAAAACCAGGTCTAAGACTTAACTCTATTTAAGGGTAATGGTGCCTACTGAAGGGCTTTTCTTCTTCTTTTCCTCCTACCCCCCTCCCTCTCTCCCTTCCTCCCCTCCTCTACCCCCTCTTCCCCCTTTGTACAGATATAATCCTCTTCTTTATGAATATAATTAAAAGCAATATTTTACCCAAGATACTGTGTTATTCTAGGAATGACCTCTGAAATAAGTTTTTGTTACAACCAGGTTATAAATATTCTCTACTGTGAATAATTGAATAAAACAAGCTACCTTTTTTCTGCTTCCTATTTTTTTTTTTCTGTTTTGAGAGAGAGAGAGAGATGGGGGAGGGGCAGAGAGGGCAAGAGGGAATCCCAAGCAGGCTCCACACTGTCAGTGCAGAGCCCTGATGCAAGGCTCAGTCTCAAAAATGAGGAGATCATGACCTGAGCTGAGCCACCCTAGAGCCCTGGCCTGCTTTTTTTTTTTTTTTTTTTTTTAAGTTTGTTTATTTAAGCAATCTGCACACCCAGCGTGGGGCTCGAACTCATGGTCCTGAGATCAAGAGCCGCATGCTCTACTGACTAAGCCAGCCAGGCACTCCTCTGCTTCTTGTTCTTGTGATAATTTTAAAAAAATGCACAGCATGTCCAACTAAATAGATCTCTATGTCTTCAAAACTATAAAAGCCAATCCCTTTGTTCTAGAGCTTAAAGCCCTTTTCCCCCCTCATAAAGTAAGTGAAAATAGAAAATGACTTAATTGATATATTATTTTTATATATATTTGTATATGTGGTTTTTAAAAAGTTTTTTGTAGGCTTGATTATTTAATGAAAATGTACAATTTAATATATAAATATTTGCTTTTAAACCACATTGTAGATATAAAACCAAGTCCATAAATGTTATGAATAGATGTTTGGACGACCACATGGTCTTTCCCCATCAGTGCACAAATGGCCAATGCATGTCACAAATCATTTATTTTCCAAACATATACAAATACATTTATATTTCACTTTGGCAGCAGAAACTGTAGTTCAGGTGAAAAACCAATTTTGAAGTAAAAATTCATCAACAATTTCATACTTGTATTATGTTTTTAACCTTCTAGTTACACATATAGAGAATCACAGTGGGACCATAAAATTATACATCTAGTATTTGAATACCCTTTATGAATTTGAGAATGAAATTCTCTAATCTATTTGTGCATAAACTCACATGGCCTGTGTTTTCATTCTCAGAACTATCATAGTAACACACACACACACACACACACACACACACAAACACAAACACACACATCCTGAGGCTATAACTAGCTTACAGCCTTGATATATTTTTTTAACTAGACCAATATCGAGCACCTACTATGTGCTTAGCACTATGCTAGGCACTTAAAAGTGAAGTGCGGTAATAATGAGTGTAGGACACAGCTTCAGTCTTCCATGGTCTTGCATGCTAATTCAGGTCATTCACACAACATGAAAATAAATGCAACATTACCTAATTCAGTGTCAGAGTGAATTATTTCAAAGTTCAGAGACTTAGGAAAGATTTCATAGAACTACTTGATCATCTGGTTGAGCATAGCATATTTTGGATCTAAGAGATGAATAGCTTGGTAATCATGGAGATTCAGTATTTAAAAAACACTTATTTCAGGTCATCCCATGTCCAAATCCTTAGCCATCAGCCAAAGATTCCTTTTAGGAAGTTGATACTTAGAGATGGCTAAGAACACATAAAACGTTGACGGCACACCGTATCATGAGTGCTGGATTTGGTGGAAGAGGCAATCTTCCTTTTCTACTAACTTTCCAGAGGGTCCCGTGTTCACCTCTTCTCACTTTGCTGCTCATGTGACAGAAGCAACTGGGAGGGGTCCAAAGCAGCCATATAGAGAGCGTGTAGGCTGTGGGCTGCCTCCCACCCCTCTGAGTTGGAGATCTGACACCAGCCAGGAAAATCCTACTCTTCTCTTGGTGTGGCCGAGTTGTGGAGTTTCGTGTGGCCGAGTTAATTCAGTTTTACCAGGCAGAAGGCAAACTTACTTGTCAGAATTAAGCAAGGCCGGTGGTTGTCCAGAGGAGGACAGGTCTTCAGAGGTACTGGCTAGGGAGGGAGAACAGAGTAAGGGGAAGATGTAGTTTGAGGAAGGAGTGGGTGTGTGGCAGCAGGGGGCCCGCTTCATTAAAGAGCCTCCAGTGTTTCCAGAGCCATTGAGATGGGAGGCCTTAGTAAGAAAGTGAATTTAGTTAAAAACAAGGCACCCGTAACTCACTTTTGTTGCTGTAATTATTACCCCCAACTGGAGAATTTATAAATAACTTACTTGCAAAGGATGACATGAAAAGAACGGTTCCCTCAAGAGGACACTTTCTGCTCAAATAGTATTGTAACTTCCTACAGATTTGCCCTCAAACTTAGCCTCAATTCCTTAACCATCATGCAGCCTAACATTATTTTGTAAAATAACCAATTCCAGATGAACAGGTGACCAAGAGGAAGTTAGTCTACTTCTTTCAGCATCACTGACCACGCTGGATTCTTATCTAATCCTTTCTCATGTGCTCTATATATTCTGTAAAGTTGGCATCACCTAACGGAGTAACACAACTTATGCTCCTTCTTTTTTAGTGAAGCATCTTCAAATACTTTTCCTCAAAACTTTTTAATAAACCTAGCTTACATACTTAGATTCTTTTTTAAAATGTTTATTATTTTTGAGAGAGAGACAGAGCATGAGCAGGGGAGGGGCAGAGAGAGGGGGACACAGAATCTGAAGCAGGCTCCAGGCTCTGAGCTGTGAGCACAGAGCCTGACCCAGGGCTTGAACCCATGAACCCACAAACCCAGGATCATGACCTGAGCTGAAGTTGGCCTCTTCACCAACTGAGCCACTGAGGTGCCCCTATTTACATTGCTTTCCACATCAACTTACTGATAAAAAGTTTGCTACCCAGAGTTTTAGTAGTATGAAAACTGAAGTATTAGTGGGTACAGTCTAGGTGGCCGTTTTCTATTCATTGTAAATAATAGGGTAATTTCTTTCATTTGGTATGCCAGCATAATTGGATGGTTCAGATAAGCTACAATAAAAATTTCATATTTTTGGCAAACACCAGGTTGTTCCAGTTAGTTGTAATAGAGTAAACGCTTTACATTTGAGCAGTGTGTCCTTCCTAAAGTCCCGAAGATTCAAATAGAGGAAGTGCTTTCACCTCAAAAGGTAATGAACAGCCAAGTTGGGTTCAGCATAGGCAATATATTCACTTGTAAACCCTGGCCTCACTTCAGTCTCAGGAAGTTTCTGATTCAGGCTGCAGCCAAATCAACTATGTTAAAGATGGTGGGGTGAGGTGGGGCTGGAGCTTAGAATCAAGGCCAAGTGATAAAACTCTATAGAGAGATCAGTATTGCTTCTCATCTCTGCACAGGTTTTCATTTTGACTCTAGCCATTTAGGCCAGTAATTCAGTTTTCAATACACGGTATGCCAAACCAGAGGAAAAGATGCCAAATTTATAGAAGCATGATAAAGTGTTTCTGGAATTTTATTTTAGTGGGCATTTGTTGTGCATTTGTTATAGATTATTTGAAGAGAAACCTGTAGCACTGTGCAAACTTAATCAAACTGGAATAGCCTGAATTCTGTTGACAAGCAAGTGGTCACTGCTCTACCATTAAGACTTCGAGTAAGACCTTCCAATAACATGAAAGCTGTATGGTGTTATTTTTTTTTTAAGTTTGTTTTTATTTGAGAGAAAGGGGCGCCTGGGTGGCTCAGTCACTTAAGCCTCTGACTTCGGCTCAGGTCATGATCTTACAGTTTGTGGGTTCAAGCCCTGCTTTGAGCTCTGTGCTGACAGCTAGCTCAGAATTTGGAGCCTGTTTCAGATTCTGTATCTTCCTCTCTTTCTCTGACCCTCCCTTGCTCACGCTGTCTCTCTCTCAGAAATAAATTAAAAACAAAACAAAACAAAAAGTCGTTTAAAAAAAGAGAGAGCATGTGTGGGAGCAAGTGGGGGAAGGGCAGGGAGAGGGAGAGAATCCTCCACATTGTCAGCACCGAACCCGATGTGGGGCTTGAACTCCCAAACCATGAGATCATGACCTGAGCCAAAGTCAGACACTTAACTAAGCCACCCAGGCGCTGTGTGGTATACTTTTGACACTTCTGATTTTAGAGTATGTAAAGAACAAGGAACTATGTTACTCATTTTATAATTCGTATAAAAAGAACTTCTCAAAAGGTTAGGACTTTGTTTTATCATTTGAAGAAAATATTTTAATATCAGCAGAAAGATAAAATTTGGATTTTACTTTAGAGGGACACACATTCATTCCATTTTAAAAGTCATAATTCGCTTCATACCAAGAATAAGAATCGTTTATACTTACGTTATCGTTTTATACAGCAAGATTTTAAAGATAATTTACCTTAAATGGCAATTACGACTTGGATCAACAGCTCTTCAATTAATCAGAAATGAAAATGAAGGTTTTTTGTTTTTTTTTTTTTTTACATGAAACTCTGGTCTATGTCAGTTATTCAGAGCGTACTTTTTTTTTTAGATTTGTCTTCAAAAAGTGAGCTAGAACCACTAGTGCTTCTAAACCCATAAGCAATATCAAGAAAGCTATGTATAATAAATATATAAGTACAGTGTCAGTAAAAACCTTGCCAAATAAATAAATTTGAACACCAACTCAGTCTACTTTTACTTTAAGAAATGGTTAAATTTCTTGTTACGATGTCACAACTCAGAAGATATTAATTTATATACATCATTCTAAATTCAGTTTGTGAAAACCAAAAGTGGAATAACCTGTGAATACATAAGCAATAAACTTAAAAAAAAAAAAAACCAATGTCATCCTTTATGTAAAAAGAAATGTTAAAGCAGAGTCCACTGTGGTGCATAATATAGAAACTAAATCAGATTACTTTTTGATGACTTATAGGACATATTTACACTTGCAATGCCCTTAAGTTTCCAATTGTCAGCCATGAAATACATGACCACCCTAGCTTGTTTTCAGACCTCTGTGGCTCTTATTGCCAGTTTTCTATGTCAGGTCAGCAAACTATGGCCCTGGGCCAGATCCAGCCTGCTACCAGTATTTGTATGGCTCTTGAACTAAGAATAGCTTTTATATTTTTAAATGACTGGAAGAAACCCCAAAGAGGATTATTTGTGATCTGAAAACTATATGAAATTGCAATTTCAGTGTCTGTAAATAGTTTCATTGGAATATAGCTACGCTCATTCATGTATAGATCATCTATGGCTGCTTTTGCACTGGAACAGCCCATCTGAGTAATTGCAACAGAGGCCATATGGCCCATAAACCCTAAAATATTTACCATCTGGCCCTTTATGGACAAAGTTTGCTGACCCTTGCTCTAAGTCAGTTTTTGCAAGCTTAGCAATGTTTTTTTTCCAACTGCTGACATATGCAAAGTGGCAGTCTCCTGGGCTTCGCTGCTGCGTTCATCAGGAAATTGGTTGGTTGGTAGGTAGCCCTGTGCCATGTTGCTTGTCTTCAGTGTGGACCTCACACCATGTGTCAAGAAGGCTTCAGTTCAGAAATCCTCAGTTTCCAGTTTAAGTCTAATGAAAATAAGGAAATTATATTTGTTTCCACCATGTTCACTCTTTAACTTCTTACCAAAAGGTCTTCACCTGTAAAGTTGTATACATAGCTTTGTTAGTTTATTTATTTATTTATAATGTTTTATCTATTTCTGAGAAAGAGAGAGAGAGGCAGCGTGAGCAGGGGAGGGTCGGGGAGAGAGGGAGACACAGGATCCAAAATAGGCTCCAGGCTCTGAGCTAGCTGTCAGCACAGAGCCCGATGCGGGGCTCGAACCCACAAATCATTAGATCATGACCTGAATTGAAGTCAGATGCTTAACCGACTGAGCCACCCAGGCGCCCCGCTTTGTTAGTCTATTTAAAATGAAGGAACAGAAACATTTGCAGTATAGCCAGGGTTTAGTTTTGCTCAATCAACAGAAACTCGCAGCTCTGGTGGCTGGTTTTGAAGGAGAGGCTTGCTATAAACTCACAGTATCATAACATGATTCTCCTGGGTGGTGGAACATGAGCTTATTTCTGTTCTGAACACCACACACTTTAGAAAGATTTTTTAAATCACAAAATAAATTTCAACTTTTTAAAAGGTTTAGGTCCTTCAACTCTGCATTATTTCAGATACGAGTAAGGTACATAATTTTTCAGGAATTCTTAAATTATTAAAGGGTAACTTTTAAAACTTTAGGGGTAAAAATTTTAGAATAATGTTCTCAAAAGGCAGTAAAATCACTATACTTACCTTCTCGCGAGCACCAAAAGTCTCTCTTCTCATAAGCGCCCATTTTGGGGACACAGTTTGTAAAGGAGTTTATAACATGAGATACATGTTCCCATAGATGCACCCATGGCTGTTTTTCAAGAGAAGCTTCCCCAAGTTTAAGGAAAGCTGAGGTCAGCTGAATGATTCTGAATGTCTGCTTGCTACAGAAAAGTACAGTCCAAAGGCATACCTCTGAATCACCCCGCACCCCTACTCCTAACAATGCTTGTTATAGCAAGCTTATTCTTTTTTTTTTTTTTTTGAAAGCTTAGTCTTAAGTCAGATTTCCAGTGGAGCTATATTCTGATGTACTTCATGTAATCTCGTGACACAGTGAGGGCTCCATTGTGCAGAGCATAATTCCATTGTCAACTGTGGAGGTTATAATATAGGGGTATGTAATAACATCACATCTGTGATTCATTTGATGCTAAGTTCTTGACATGGAAAACATTTTAGATTTTGATTACTGTCCTTAGTGGCATGCTCCAGATTCACTACCAAGGTGAGCCATTTTCTAAATAGCTGGAGAGGCTCAACATTGATGCTTAATGCTCAAAGCTCACTTGGCTTTTGAAGAAAGCTGATTCTGCCCCAGCTGATTATCTCAGTAACCTGGGACAGAAAAGAAAGTGGGTCTGAAACTTTTTATGTATGTATGTATGTATGTATGTATTGATCAATTAATTGTAATCTCTGTGCCTAACGTGGGGCTCAGACTCATGACCCCGTCAAGAGTCTCACACTCCACCAACCGAGCCAGCCAGGGGAACCATGACCTGAGCTGAAATCAAGAGTTAGCCACTTAATCAACTGAGTCAGCCAGGCACTCCACACCTGGAACTTTTAAAAATTGGGATTCCAGATGTATCTCAACAGAAAATGAGTATTGAGCATTCTCAGTCTGGCATAGGTCAGGGCTTTGCTGTTCTACATGTATTCACTATTGTCTGGTGTTATGTGATGTGGATTCGCTGCTGTAGTTCTGAGCGTTCCTTCTGATGAGCCTTTACGTACAAAACCTAAACTCAAACCTCTCAGAATAGCTGGTTATGCAGATATTCTGAAGGAGGGAGTTTCCTGTGTTTGGCCCTGGCTGTTTTGGAAGAGCTTTGCACGTGTCGTGTGGGGCACTGGTTAAGAGCTTCTTCTTAAGTGTAGAAATACGGGCTCAGTGTACTGGACTACCTTCTGTGCTATTATAAATCAGATTAGGTCCTGTCAAAAGGTATCAGTAAAGTCTTTAATTGTGAGTATCTCCAATTTAAATAAATTCTTAATTGTGATAAAGACAGATGATCAACCTCTACAGTATAAGCAGCAATGCCTTCACTATGCTGTCGGTCTCATTAATTTTAGAACTACAGTGACGCAGGTAACAACTGGGCTTTAATAATCCCTTGGGTTCATTAGGAACTAAATGAAAAAGAAGTCTATGTTTGGTTTCCTCAAGTTCTTTTTTTTTCAAATTTGGGTTCTATATACAGTAATTTGTTTACGTCTACTCTGTAAATGCCAAGCAGTGGGCGGGCAACCAAAGGCTTAATTTACTGCAGTTTCAAGACAGAGGCTATTAGGTTATTTTGCTTTCTTTTTAACCATCACATCCTGGATGCCAGGTTTTTATTGTTTTAATTGAGACAGACCAAGGTGAGGTTGTTGAGGCTAAATCAAACTTAAAAATGGACACGGAACTAGAAATCCAAAGGAATGAGAGCTGAATGGCCCACAGAGGTCCTTTGAGAATGTCCGGGACAGTGAGCAATAATTAAGGCAGTTCTGTGTCTGATGAAATAAGGCTGATGTAGTAGGTTGCACAAGTTGGTTATCTCGGGGCCTTCGTTTGGTGATCTACAACCCCAGCAGGTCTAAAATTATAAATGTTAAAGGTATATAAACCTTCAGAGCTCTTTTCCTGTTTTTGGGTACAATTCCTATCTGCCTTCAGGGGACATCTTCCTACTGGGCCTTTCACAGTAATTAAGTTGGTCCCTGTTTCAGAATGGCGTGATGACTCAGTGTACCTGGGGAAAATGTTACAACCTTGGTTATTGTCGGTAGTCTATGGCATCACTGGATGATAAGCTGCCCATAGGTTTCTCCTCCTTATTTTGGATGCTTTCTGAGGCCAAAATCTGAGAAGGTGATGGGAGTCCTCGGGGTTGTTTAGTTGACTTGGTGAACTTCTTAAATTCACTTGCAAAAGAAATGCCTTTCCTTTTGTCTTCTCGGGATGCCTGTGGGAAAAAAAAGAACCTTCCATCGGTATGAAGTTAAAGCTGGGATCCTCAATCACATGACATGCTATCATAGAACCCTTTCCTCTTCCTCTCTAGTAAGTAGCGCTTTGGGAAGAAGTGCTGAGGGACACCCCTCTCAGGACTGCTTACTCACAGAGGGGTGGCAGGGACCGCCTTTCTTTTCACATAGTGAAAGTGGAGCCAAATGACTTTCTCCCAACTCTATCCCGTGGCTCAGAAACTTTCTTCTAGATTTCATGAGCTCCCAAATTTGGTTACCATGTGTAGCAAATACTTTGTGAAGAGAGCAAAAGAATCTTGAACATTACCTGCACCTGTTCCTTTAGCTTAAGGATGAATTTTCCTGCCCCTTTCCACTTGCTTTGGGCTTGAAACACACACTCCTGATCCAAAAGGACCCTCTGGGAGGACTTTGGGGTGGAAGACTTCTTGGTCGTGTCTTTCACCACCTCTTCCAAAAGCACATAGTCACTCGGGTTGGGATTGCTCAGAATGCTGTAGGAATACTTGGCTTTGCATAAGGTCTGAAAGATAAATTACAGTCAACTAAATACAGACATAGTGTCTCCGACACTTGCATTCATTCTGGATGAGACTTTAAGGCTTTTAGAGAAGGAGGGGATCTTTCAGATGGCCTTGTATCCTTCCTCATTTTACATCTGTGTACTTGTAGCTCGTAACATTCTTTCCCATAATACCTGATAGAGGTTCATAACAGACTATGATTTAGGTATTATTACCACATTTTTAGATAAGGAAACTTAAATGTATGGAGGTTAAGCAGATTCCAGAGGATGCTCAGCTAGTAAGTACTAGAATAAGGACTTTCACTGGATTTTCTACATGCACCAAAGCTCATAGATGTGAAGGTCACACAGACCATGAGGGACAGAAACCTGACCTTTAGGAGCCTCCCTGTCCCACCAGGCTGCCTCTTCAGTCTTGGATGTTGAAGGCATTTTAGTAATTTACCTGGCCTCACTTCTCATTTAGTACGAGATCATCTTTCACTTATACATTTATTTATTCATCAAATGTTTAGTGAGGGCTTTCTGTGTCCCAGATACAGTACTATCCTTTTGGGGAGATAAAAATGAACAAAAAACCCCCATGTCTGGACTCTCTTGGAGTTCAAACTCTATTAAGGAGGCAAATACTAACCACATTATCATGCAACAATAGCAAATAACACATAGTGTTTACCATGTGCTGGGCATTGTGCACATTACAGATACTTATGGACTTAATCTTCACAGTTCTGGGTGGAAAGTACTATTATACTGTTTCCATGTTATCTATGTAGTAACTTAGCACATAGTATATAGTGTGCTGGAGCCAACTGGAATGGACCAGTGAAATCAGACATGGTGGGAGTATCCACACAACAGAAACTGGCAAACACAAAAAGTCAATTGGAGCTTTTTTTTTCTTTTCCCCCTTAAGAGAGGCAGTTTACCAGCACATCACTATAGCTGAGGTACTAAGAAGTAGAGCTCGGGTCAATTGCACCACTAGGTATTTATCCAAAGGATACCAGAGTGCTGTTTTGAAGGGGCACATGCACCCCAATGTTTATAGCAGCGCTATTGACAAAAGCAAAGTATGAGAAGAGCCCAAATGTCCGTCAATAGATGAATGGATAAAGAAGATGTGGTATGTACATGCAATGGAATATCACTCGGTGATCAAAAAGAATGAAATCTTGCCATTTGCAACGAAGTGGATGGAACTGGAGTGTATTATGCTAAGTGAAATTATAGAAAGACAAACATATGACTTCACTCCTATGTGGAATTAAGATACAAAACAGATGAACGTAAGAGAAGGGAAGCAAAAATAATATAAAAACAGGGAAGGGGACAAAACATAAGAGACTCAAACAGGATTGCTGGAGGAGTTGTGGGTGGGGGGATGGGCTAATTGGGGAAGGAACATTAAGGAGGACACTTACATAACACTGGGTGTTATTATGTAAGTGATGAATCACTCAATTCTACTGAAATCATTATTGCACTATATGTTAACTAATTTGGTATAAATTTTAAAAATTAATAAATTTTAAAAAATACAAATTAAAAAAAAAGAAGACCTGGAGTTTGAACCTGGAGTAATTTGATCGAAAGTCTTCTGTACTGTTAACTGTTATGCTGTACCACTTCTCAAATGGGTATTTAATAAACACAAACCATTACAAGGCTTGAAGGAAGGAAGTGCAGTTCTCTGAAACCATGTATACACCAAGGAGTACGCCTTAGAGGAGAGAGAGGGCCAGAGAAGGCCTCCAGCATGTCCTCTATAGGATCTTTGAGAGACAGTCAACAGGGATTGGCTTAGGCATGTCTGGGACAATAAAATTACTACTCTGTGGAGTCCCCTCCTCAATCGGTTACCAACACTTCACAGAGAGCCAGATTCATGGTAGATATTGGGCAAGTATGTATTGAAGGAATGAACTAGTATTTCCCAACTATAAGAGGCACACTCTTCCTCTTCAGATCCTCATTGTTCTAGAACCTCACTCATAAAATGAGCTGACATCAGATCTGTCCCAGTGATTTACACTGAGGAGCAGACAGGCAAACAAGGGAGAAGCTTTCACCTGCTGAATGACGTCCTGCGCGGTGCTGACACGGGGTGCTTTGATGACCGTTCGAGGTTGCTCTGGAGAAACGTCATGCACTTGGACAAAGAAACTCTCCTCCTCTGAGCCCAAGACCACCTCTTTGTCATCTTGAATAATGCTCTTCTCCTCTAGGTTCTGTGTTAGAAGAGTATGCGTAAATGGTAAGATGATGTAGAGTAATAGAAAAACCTAGCAAAAATGTGAGCTGTATCTTGGCAATGTGGAAACTATATCATATTAGCTTTATATTTCATACACTAGTTAATATTTCATAAACTATTCTAAAAGGATATACATGCCTTCTGAGAGGAAGAAGGTAATGTAGGTATTTCTGCTGAGATTGACAGACTGATAAAGGTCTGGCTCAGAACATACCAGTAGATCTGCTCCTACTGCCTGTCGGTTTTGAGTCCAAGTCAACTGTAGGTAAATTTGGAAAAGGACAATACACCATTTTGCCAAATATTAAAAGCCAAATAAGAACACAGTAAATTACATTTAGGAGAAAGCCCGTCCATGCCCTACACAGGCCTTGAGCATTTAAGAAATGCCGGAGATCTGAACAACGAAATGTGCAAACTGTCATTCAGCCAGGCTGGTCGATCAGGAACTACAGCCAAAAGGCTGAACCAATGGCTGGAGGTGGGTTTCACAAAAACAAATGTTGACAGAATTATCAATAATTATGAGAATTGGTCATCAGCTTAATTGGCTTTTGGTGAATTGACTTTTAGCAAATTTTATACATGGAACTATCTGAAATATATATTTAGATATATCTATAAGCATAGGTATCATTAAAAACTTTTAAACAATATAGAAATAGATCAATAAAAAGCCAAACTTTCTCCATTATCAGCTTTTTCCCTTCTGTGTCTCATCTCACTCCCTACAAAAAAACCACTGTTGTTAGGTTATATATGCTTCTAAAAATCTGCTATGGATATCCACATGTATTTTTGTATATGTGAACACATATATACAATGAAACCCTGGAGTTACGTGAATTTAGATATAATTGTTAAGTGGCTCTAGTTTTATTTGTTTGTCTTTTAGCCCTATTCTCAAATGAAGGGTAGTTGGTTATCTTCTGCAAGGGGGAGGTCTGAAGTGGGAAAGGCAACCTCATCTTAGGAAGTGAGCATTTAGTAGGAAGGTCCTTCTATCTCCAGCATTCTTCTAGCCTCATCTCAGATCAAGCCACTGAAATGACCAAAATGGTGCTAACTAATCCAAGAAAAATCCAAAAATCGCTGTCACTACCCTGGAGGTTCCAACCAGCTGTAGAATTATCCCCTTTTGATATTGAGTCAGAATGGATAACTGCCACCAGGTGGCGCCAAACCGCAGCCAGGACCTGAAAGGACTGGTTTCTGGAGCTTCTGGCCAACTAGCCCCACAGGCTTACCTCAGTCATATCATTAATCATGCAATCATGGTCGCTACAATTTTCATGATTGACATTTTTGGACCCCATCTGTTATATTATGGGTACTGGGTTGGGGTGAGTTACTATTTTTCTTACATAAACTGAGATTGTACTCCATATAATGTTCTGCAACTTGTTTTTTCTCCCCACTTAAAAGATTGTGGTGTTCATTTCATGTCAATTACTAGAGATTTAGCTGTGTAATATGTCACTGTGTTGATCATGATATATTTAACCAGTTGGAGAGTGGGGTTGGGTGGTAATTCATCTGACATAATTTATAATCTGTATCTTGAAAACCAGGAAGCAAGCAAGCATGAAAAAAAAACAACCCAAAATTCTAACGGACACATAAAATATCTCAACAACTATGCAAAAAGCATTACTTTTAAGAGACCTCCTCAGAGCCTCACTCAGAACTTACTTATTTTTAGGGAATTTTCTGCCCCATTAGAAGGCACAGATTATGACCAAAACAATGGTCCTCACTTGTAGCTCTTTACAGCTTACTATGCATTTTTCTACATATTGTCTATATGTTTGGCATGAGTCTCATGTTAATCTTTTTCAATCAGGCAGGGTAGTTTCTATTACAGATTTACAAATTAGGGCACAGAGGTTTACAGAAGTTAAATGAGCTGTCCAAGGCATTTAACCATGTCCAAGGCATTTCTACCATTTGTGGTAGAGTCAGGTCTGTCTGATTTAAAATCCAGCAAGTGTCATAGGAAGGCATATTGACCACAGGAAGATGTGATCCTGACAGCCTGAGAACCTAGAAGACAAGAAAACTATAAAAGGCAGGCAGGCAGGCAGGCAGGCAGGCAGGCAGGAGAAGTCAGAGGTCATGGATAGCAGTTTGGGGACTTTGAATATATGGGCAAATTGCTTATTTATCTTACTAGTTCCACAGAATGAAATAAATGGAAATACTTACAGCCCAGATCTATCAACTATACCAGTGTCTGCTTGCACTCAGTAGTTGCTGAATTCATTTGTTCAGTCAGTAAATATGTACTGTGTGCCACTATGTACCAGGTCAAACAAGACACATTAAATGTGATGTGTTATCTTCGGAGATACATGTCAGTCATTTCAAAAATCTCTCCCTCACAAAGGCATAGACAGAGGGCTTGCTGTATTCACCCCATCAGAAAATGCTTGTTAGACTTCCCTTCTAACTATCCCCCTTTTCCTTCAAAATGCTTCTCTTCCACTAGCCCTTATTAAATATTTATTCCTGAGGTCTTATGGCCTATTTTCACATACATTTTAAGTTGCATACAGTGTCTTTAACTGTAAGACACTGTACCACTGAAGAGCCTGCCCACATACCCTCCTTCTCACTGCTTCCTGCTGTCCCCACGGTGCTGGGTGCCATGGTCCAGGACAGCTGACTCATCGTGAGCCCTGGTGGCACAGGATGGGGCAAGGACACTGACCTTTCAAGCCATAGATCCAAGTTCTTTCTACTTCTTACTTTGTCATGACTTAACCTCTGTGAACCTCAATTTCCTTATGTGCAAAATGGTTTCTGTTACATCATGAGATCATTCAAAAAAGTAGTGAGGACTTTAAACACTGCAAATCATTATGCAAATACATGGTTTGAAAATTCACTTACGGACATTATCACTTAGAGGATACTTTTTTACATGTAGCTAAAGAATGAGGCAAGATAATGAGAAACAAGAATGAATATTTTAGAGAGAAATCAAGGAAGGCTTCAAAAATCCAGCTAAGACCTCTGATATTTTCTCATAAAGCTATTATTACTAGAACTGCTTGTTACCTGTCTTTGCAATGTGTATGTCTGATAGGGAGAGGAAGTTGGGGAGACAATTACATTTTTTTGCTTAAATGGAGTGTCCTTTTATGTCTAAGGCAAGGTTAGGAAGAAAGGCCACGGCTATGGCTCCCAGAGCAGATGCTGGAGTTCTGTAGAGGATGCAGGCCATGTTCACAGGTAGGTCCTGAGTGAAAAAGCAGCACATGATGCTGAAAATTGGCTCTTTGACCCAACATCATGGATCACTGATGGGCATTTTGCCAACCAACCTCTATTCCGTGTCCAAAAGGAGCAGACTGTGTGCCCAGAACATGGCTTGGCATGTATTAGGTGCACAATAAATATTTGTTTAATCTAATTGTTGAACTGACTCCACTCCTTCATTATTGACATATCAGGAGGCCTGACTGTCTATGGTGTAGCAATGACTTATGCCATTTTAAAAAATGGTGGTAAATCTTAAAAGTTTATTCCAAGAAAACTCAAAAAATAAAAACAAAAACACACAAAAAAAACCAGTACTCCATCCACAAACTCGAAAAGGAACTAACCAATGTAGAGTCAACACACAGTTGCTGTATTATTTTCCTTCACGCAAATGATCACGGGAATGTTAGTGGCCATAATGCAAATTCTTACAAACTCTGACCAAGGCTGAGAAAATATTCTTGCTTTGTGTGGAGTTACAGAATATTTTCAAAGAACTACTGTTATTCTACCTAAAAGCGCAGAACTTTTTACTAGCTCAAATTTTAACAGGCATGAACAAGAAAGCAACCAATTCCCAAAGTAAAATACCAAGGGGACTGGCTGACACAGTCTTGTGACTCTTAGGACAGTGCCTTTTCGCCTATAAATCAAATCCTGGATCCATAGTCAATGACAACTATGAGGAATCCTTTGAATTCTTGCTCCCTTTCTTTTACAAGGTTATGATTTTTAGACTGAATTTCTGTAACTTCTATAGAGATAGCATTCTGAATACATGCAGAATAATAAAATCATTTTTCCACATTTACTTAAGGAGATTAACCTAAATCAAGTTGCAGTGATCAGAAATTCTAAATTGAGGGAGGAGGTCAGGGGGGAGGTGGTTAATCACACCCCGAGTTGTTACGGTGTGAGACAACTTACGTCCTGCTGGGTTTTTAAGACAATCCTGCCAACATATCCTTCCTCTGGAAACCAGCTGCTTAAAATCTGCATAATCTCTTCCTCTGGACCTATGACTCTCTGGAATGGTTGCTTCCTGCATTCATTCTTTTCTTTAGATAGAAAATATTTTTCTTCCATCAAAAAATAGTCTGTGACGATAGGTTTGGTATCTTGTTCAGTGGTCAGAATCTAAAGAAAAAGCAAAGGCAAAACTTTAATTCAAAATAAGCCTATTTTGTACACAGAACAAACTAATGGCTAGCAGAGGGGAGGTGGGAGGGTGGGTGAAATAGGTGGTAGGGATTAAACGGTACACTAATCGTGATGAGCACTGAGTCCTGTATAGAAACCTGAAACTGATATAACACCACACAAAACCAACCTATTTTCTCAGTGTTTACATAGGTTTGATGTGTAATTTATAAGTGAAACTTACTCTGCAGTATTGCATAATTCTTTTTGGAAGACCTAAGAACTCTCTTATGTCCAAGAAGGATTGTTTATGTTCATTCTGGGCAACGACACAATTTATTCATAATCCCCAGACGGCATAACTATTTTTCCCACAGCTGGAATGAGAGCTTCTACTGAATTGCAAACTTGAGGTTTCTCAATCCATGAATTCAGCTCTCTATAATCTTGTAACACAGGGCCAATGGCAAAGAACCTCACACAGCTTTTACCAGCACCGTCTCTTTTTCTCATGTTAGAAATACTTGTCTTCTAATCTCATCTGATCTCAGTTCCTGGGAATTCTCCTTTCAATTAAGTCTTGACACTGTGCCTTCAAGCTTGTTTTTCTTTCTTGGTTCCTTACCCCGGGCAGTCAGAGTGGCTGGGACAAGGCTGTGGAGCCAGACAGACCTGGGTCTGAGGTCTGCCTTTAATGCTTATTGGTTGTGAGGTGTTGGGCAAGATATTTAACCCCTTAGAGACTCCGTTTTCCCATCCATAAAATGGGAACAGTAAGAATAACCACCTCTTCTTTCTCGTTTTATGATTGAGGCACGGGCTAGAAAGCGTAACACCAGCACATACAAGAACCCAATAACACCAATTACCATCACACTCCTACAGGTTACTGACAATACGCTCAGCTACAAGCGGGGATGAGAAGGCTGCCACCATCTGGTCTGGATTAGGCAAACACCCTTCTCCTCGCCCCCACCAGTGATGCAATTACTAGAGTCACCACTTGGCACTACCTCATCTGGCTTGGAGGAAAAGTGGAATGAACAGGATGGTGAGGACAGAAGATTCTCAGGAAGATGCCACTCCCCTCACCCCAGTCCTTGGTCTGAAATCGGCACTGCGAGGATATTAGGTCACTGTGCCAAGCAGAGGTGGGGCTTCCAGTGTGAAGAGACAAGACATTACACATGGGGCTGCCTGTCCTTTTGAGGAGCTGCCCCTCTGGATGCTGCTTGGTTCCTGGCTTTCTCACTCTCACACATCCTCCCAGGGGGCAGTGTCCCTGCCTACAGAAAGCCACAGGGACCTCTGGGGGCGATCCGGAGCAGAAGCAGCACCGCATGAGAGGACTTAGGCTAGTGCTGCTGCCACAGGCTTTGGGGTAACAGGCTCTCATCCTCCTGGGTCAGGTCCTGCGGGCCTCTTTGCACCTCCAGAGGGTTAAGATCAAGTACCAGGGGAAGGGGAACAAGAGGGTTGCTCAACACGCAGATCAAGGCCTAATGCTGGAGGGGCTGACGATGTCTTCTTGGTCATGTGGTCCATCCTGATGCTCTAAAAATTTGATCCCACTCCTAGGATGACAAACTTCATTCAGCTTGCGTGCAAATTCTGACTGATTAGTAAGCTCCACATTAAGAAGGAGATGGGGCCCGGGTCTAGCCTTAGAAGAAAAGAATACACATGGTTGGAGAGCCACTCATTTTGGTCTTTATCCATCTTAAGCCCAGTGTTTTCTTATGTATTTGGAGACTTGTTAAAAATTCTTTTCTAGGGGCGCCTGGGTGGCTCAGTCAGTTAAGCATCTGACTTCAGCTCAGGTCATGATCTCACGGTTCGTGGGTTTGAGCCCCACATCGGGCTCTGTGCTGACAGCTAGCTCAGAGCCTGGAGCCTATTTAGGATTCTGTGTCTCCCTTTCTCTCTGACCCTCCCCTGCTCACGCTGTGTCTCTCTCTCTCAGAAATAAATTAAAAAAAAACAATTAAAAAATTTCTTTTCTAGGGTCGCCACGGTCGCTCAGTCGGTTAAGCGTCCGTCTTCGGCTCAGGTCATGATCTCACGGTTCATGAGTTTGAGCCCTGCATTGGACTCTGCTGGCAGCGTGGAGCCTGAAGCCTGCTTCAGATTCTGTGTCTCCCTCTCTCTCTGCCCCTACTCTGCTCATGCTCTGTCTCTCTCTCTCTCTCTTTCTTAAAAACAAACAATAAAAAAAATTCTTTACTACAAGTTAGCTTGTCTAACGGTACCAAGATCTCCCAGATCATTCTTATGGTGGGTCTCAGTGTTGCATTACACAAATAATCAAAAGGCAGATCATTAACATGGATTTTTGTGTTTTATATGTGTGTGTGTATGTTTACACATGCATTTATACACACACACACACACACACACCCATACATATTAGATGATGGATTCTCCCAACCATGGCCTCGGTGGACTTACTTGTTGGAGAAGCTGCTTTGCCTTGGTGCCTCCACTTATGGAGAAAACAGTAAAGGGCTCTGGACCTGGGACTCCATGCACCGTGACTCTGTGAGCCTGTGAACATTTTCTTTCTTCAGAATTAAACATCTGTCAAGGAAGATCACATGGTTTCTCATTCATTCTCATTCTCATGTTATTTCTAGGCTATATTCAGTACAGAAGTACTAGTTCAGAAGTCTGTGGGGGGACATGTAAATGCAAAAGAAAACCATTCTTTTATAACCTGATGCTTCTGTTTGTGGCTAAAGAGGCGATGGAGCATCTTCCTTAATCTATTGTCTAGTGAGGATATTAGCAGCATACCACCAAAATATTAATTTATTTTAAATAACAGTGACTCTTTCCATCATAATTAGGAGACTGATATTATCTGAAATGTATGTTAGTTCTTACTTATTAACTGACCTTCAACAGTGTCTATTGAGTTCCCTCTCTCTTCAGGGCCCTGGGTTAGAATTTTGGTTCATAAGATGATGAATAGATTATCATGGGCTTAGAGAGCTCACCACTCAGGCACACAAATAATTATAATATGAAAATTATTTCTATTTTAGGAAGAGCTGGGGAGATGTGTAACTCACAACTTTTGAGCATTTTGTATATTAATATATAGCCATTCACTCAAAATGCAAAATTCATTTATGAAGAGTTGATAGTGAATAGGACACTATGCATGGCCCTGGGACATTAACCCATAAAGAGGACTTTATCCCTGCCCCCAAGGGCACCCTGTGGAATGAATCAGAAAAGACAGTGGACAACTGTCAGCCGCATGCTAAGTTCCTCGAGAACCCAGAGGAGGGGGCAGATCTCAGGTTTGGAGGAAATCAGAGCACCTCCTGAAAATGGTATCATGTGAACTAAATCTTGAAGGTCCAGTGTGGTTTAGAAAATGGAGAGTGGCTCAACAATAGCCAAAACATGGAAAGAGCCTAAGTGTCCATCAACAGATGAATGGATCAAGAAGATGTGGTTTATCTATACCATGGAATACTACATGGCAATGAGAAACAATGAAATCTGGCCATGTGTAGCAACATGGATGGACCTTGAGGGTGTTATGCTGAGCGAAATAAGTCAGGCAGAGAAGGACAAATATCATATGTTTGCACGTATAGGAGGATTAGGAGGAACTTGACGGAGGAACAAGAGGGAGAAGAAGGGCGGAAATGGTGGGGGAAAGGGAGAGAGGCAAACCATGAGAGACTCTTGAATGCTGACAAAAACTGAGGACTGATGGATGTGGGGGGGAGGGGGGGGTGGGCATGGAGGAGGGCACTTTGGGGATGAGCACTGAGTGTTATGTGGAAACTAATTTGACAATAAACTATTTGTAAAAAAAAAAAAAAAAAAAAAAAGAAAATGGAGAGTGGGACAAGAACATCCCAAATCTTGCAGCCTGTGTGCGAAGGCTCAGAGGTAGCCTGAAGCAGGGGATTTTGGGAACCTCCACAAGCTCTGTGACCAGGGTGTGGAGGGGGCAGCTGGAGAAGCCAGCAGGTACACGATCATGCAGGCCTCTTCCTAATTGGCTGGAAGAGCTACCCTGACAGCAGAACAGTGACCCGAAGCCCTAAGTGTTTTGTTTAGCTTGTACTTTATTTTTATTTGGGGAAGGAGTTGGCTGTTTTGTTATGCTTGCACACTGTGTTTCTATTATTTAATGCATTTTATTGAGATATGATTTGTATGCCATAAAATGCACACATTTCAATTATATGGTTTAGCCTGCACTATATAGTTTTGGAAGTTGAAATCATTGCCAACAGTTATGTAAATCCAGATGTCCTGACTCTCTTGGAAACCAGAAGATCAGGCCACAATGTATGTCAACCAGCAGGTGGGGCTGAGAGCAGGGTAATGGCTGCCCTTTTAAATGGCCCATAAGCTCACCACTTTCCCAGAGTCTCTGCCCATCCATGTATACATTTTATTCTGAAAGCAACAGAGAACCAAGGAAGGATTTTTAACACAGGAGTGATGTGATCAGATTTAGGTTTTAGACAGATGTGTCTAAGTGGACAGACAGAGAGTTTCGGGCTCAGAGGGAGAGGCCAGTTTAGAAACTCTCCCTCTCTCTCTCTGCCACAAGTCAGAAGAGAATGGATGAGGGTCAAAGCAGTATTGATGGACAGAGATGTATTGAATTTGAAAACCACTAAGGAAATAGACTTATCAAGTCTTAAATGGGGCAGTGAGAGGGAGGGAGAAGTCCAGGATGATCTTCTGTTACTGGCTTGAGCAATGGAGGGTGATGACTTCAGAGGTTAAAGAACGCACATGTGCTACTGCTGCCTGGGACCCAGGGATGGCCTGGTGTGATACAATAAAAAATAAATATTTAGACTTTGTTCAGAGTTGCTGGCACGCCTCTCCCTTGGAATCTCTGTAGTGATGAGTGTTCCCTGCACATTATGAGATGGCTGATGGCTGGAGGCCCCTACACAGCTTCAGGATGGGAGTTGCTCACTGGAAGGACCAAGGTGTTATCAGATGGTGGGAACTTTGAGCGTCATCTTGGGCTTCCAGGGAGGAGGACATCACTGGGAGTTGAGTCAATCACCAATGGGCTATGATGTACTGAATTATGCCTTTGCAATATAGCTCCATTAAAACCCCTGAAAGATGGGGTTCTGAGAGCTTCTGTGTTGGTGAACACATTGAGATGCTGGAGGCCTGGCACCCCCTTTGCCCTATACTTCGCCCTGTGTATTTCTTCCATTTGACTCCTCCTGCATTGTGTCCTTTATAATAAACTGGCTATAGAAAAGCACATTTCTGAGTTCTTTGAGTCATTCTAGAAAATTCCTGAACCTGAGGAGGGATTTGTGGAAACCTCTTGAATTTACAGCTGGTCAGTCAAAAGTACCAGTGACAACCTGAGACTTTTCACGGACACGTGAAATGGGGACAATCCTGTGGGACTGAGCCCTTAACTCTGCGATCTGATGCTAACTCCAGGTAGACCATGTCAGAATTAAGTTGAAAGGCAGGACACCCAGCTGCTGTTGGAGTTGAAGTAGTGTCAGAAAATAGACAATGCATTTGGTTTTAGAAGTGTTGTGAGGAAAAATGGTTCATCCATGGCATGTGTAGAATCTTCAGTGCTAATAGGTATGGAGGCAAACAAAGCCAGCATCAGGCACTAAGCTCTGCTTCACCTTTGTAAAAGCTGATTTTTGCCCTTTGATACCCAGGCAGCCCTGTCCCTGCTTCCCAATCCTCTGCACAAGTAGAAGCAATACCCCCCTCTACCTTGGCTGAGAGCTGTTCTCAACTTTGGCCACACACTGAAGGGAAAAGGAGGAGAACCTGAAAAAATGAGGTCAGGATGGAAAGGGAGAAGATACTGATGAGATGAGGGCAAGAGCAGCAGAGAAGAAAGCTGGGTGATTTATGGGTGGCCATGGCAGTGGTCAAGCCAGTGCCATTTGTGAGCATATGGGGCACCTTTCCATAGGTTGTTAGCACTATGTTGAAGTATAGGATTGATACAACAGTGAACAGATTATATTAAACATGTAAAGAGGTAATCAATGGACACCCTTAAATTATTGTTTTTATTTTTTAAAGTTTATTTATTTATTTTGAGGGAGGAGAGGCAGAGAGAGAGAGGGAGAGGGAGAATCCCAAGCAGGCTCCATGCTGTCAGTGCAGAGCCTGGTGCAAGACTCAAACTCATGAACTATGACATCACGACCTGAACTGAAACCAAGAGCTGGATGCTTAACCTACTGAGACACCCTGATGCTCCTCAATGGACATCCATTTAAATTAACTTCTAAAGGGCAAGATAATGGAATCAACCAGTTAATTAAAGCAGTGGTACTTGTTTAAATAAACAATCCTGCATTACTGGGGTGGATGCTGGTCCAGTGGTTCTCAAACTTCAATGGCAAGGACCTTAGCTGGGGAACTTGTTAAAAGACAGATTCTATAATAGTAACCCTTTCTGTGGTGTTCCTTGCCCATTTCCAAGAGGGCCAAGTCTGCACCTCTCCAACCTTTGCTTAATTAGTCTTTTCCCTATGTTGTTATTTTGCGTTCATCAGCCTGGCAGGACTATAACGTACTCATTAAAAGTATGGGCTTTGGGGGTACCTGGATGGCCCGATCAGTTTAGCATCTGACTCTGGCTAAGGTCATGATCTCACAGCTTGTGAGTTTGAGCCCCACATCAGGCTGGCTGCTGTCAGTGTGGAATCTACTACAGATCGTATGTCCCTCCCTCTCTGCCTCTCCCTGGCTTGTGCTCTCTCTCTCTCAAAAATAATAAAATAAACATGAAAAAAAGAGTATGGGCTTTGGCACTAGAGTAACATGTTTATAGCTGTGTGACCTCAGGTATATTTAGCTCTGACCTTCCTCATCTATATGGAAGGGAGATGGTACCACTAGCTATTTCACAATGTTACTAAGAGAATCAACTGAACTAATATAGATATAAGGTGCTTAGAAAGGGTCAAGTGCCAGCCATTGTTGTTATTATTATTTCCATTGCTACCTAATTAATAACTCTAACTGACCAGGTTCCTGTGCCACGAGAAACCCTATCTATCCCCAGTGTAGCAGCAATCCCTGCAAATATGCTGAGTGAAATAGAACTTAATTACCAAAGAGGCCGGCGTGGTAGTGCTGGAGGAATTTTCTTCCATCCTTCTACTGTTTATGAATAAACTAGAGATTTCCAAGACTTCGTTGTGGAGATTTCGCAGCTGAAGATGTCGGTATCCTGGAATAATGCAGAATTGGGAAAAGATTGTTAGCCATGCACCTCAGAGCTTTGCAAAGAAGGTAACCCAGGGAGGTCAATAAATGGTAGGTGGAAACCAGGCTGTCCAATGGGCAGGGAGTGGCAGTAGGCATGCAACTAGCAGATGCCTTTTCATTGAGACTACTGCTCCTGAGGACAGTTTTGGGTCGCCTTGTGGTAGTTAACTTGTCCAGGTGCTGTTTCTAACTTAGACTCAAGCAGAGTATCTTAAACTCAAACAAAATATAGTAGGAAAATCTGATAATTTTAATATCAAGTCATCTACAGTCACTGTTTTACAAATATTCCCTCCTAGAACAGTATTAGTGATAATGCAGTATTCTAACGACAGGGGGTCGGGAAAGTAAGTTAAGGTGTGACTGTTTGTACCAATATAAGATGGGATAAAATGGAGCCAGTGAAAGTGGTAATGAAGATGCACAACTATCAGCAGAAAAAGTTGCTCACTACAGGGGTGCCTTGGTGGCTCAGTCGGTTAAGCATCCGACTTCAGCCCAGGCCATGATCTCATGGTTCGTGGGTTCAAGCCTTGTATCAGACTCTGCTAACAGCTTGGAATCTGGAGCCTGCTTCAGATTCTGTATCTCCCTCTCTCTCTGCCTCTCCTCACACCCCTCTCAAAAATAAATAAACATTAAAACTATTTTTAAAAAGTTGCTCACTATATACATTAGGAATGAAAACCAGTGAGATGCAAGAAACTAAGATTAGTAGAAAGCCTATTTATTAAAAATATATATTATGTAATATGTATATGTATGTATATTACATATAATATGTAAATACATGGGCAGAGAAATAAAGCCTGCAAAAGAAATACACCAAAAGTGATCATTTTGGAAAGACGGAAAATGGATAATTAAAAAGAACTGTTTTTGCTTCTCTGTGCTTTCTCATATTTCTGTAATCGCTGTTATGAGCAGAATTGTGTCCTTCCCAAATTCTCATGTTGAAGCTCTAACTCTCAGTACTTTGGAATGTGCCTGTATCTGGAAATGGGGCTTTTTATTTTATTATTTATTTTTATTTTTTAAATTCTTCTTTCACTTATTTTTAAAATTTACATCCAGGTTAGTTACCATATAGTGCAACAATGATTTCAGGAGTAGATTACCTAATGACCCTTACCCATTTAGCCCATCCCCCCTCCCACAACCCCTCTGGAAATTGGGCTTTTAAAAAAATTTTTTTGTTTATTTATTTTGAGAGAGAGAAAGAGCATGAGTGGGGGAGGGGCAGAGAGAGAGAGACTGAGAGAGAGAATCTCAAGCAGGTTCCTTGGCTGTACAGAGTTCAATTTGGGACTCGATCCCACGACCCCGGACTCATAACCTGAGCTGAAATCAAGAGCTGGATGCTCAACTGACTGAGTCACCCAGGTGTCCCTGGACATGGGGCTTTTAAAGAGGGTTAGGGCTTTCAATGAAGTTATACTGGGTCAGTAGGGTGAGCCCTAAACTGATATGACCAGTGTCCTTATAAGAAGAGGAGATTAACACAAAGACAGAGAGAGATGCCAGGTGTCTGCACACAGTCTCAGGGACAACCACGTAAGGACATGGCGAGAAGATGGCTGTCTGCCAGCCAGGCAGAGGGGCCTTGGGAGAAACCAATCCTGCCGTCATCTCCATCTCCACAACTGTGAGAAGATACACGTATGCCGTTTAAACCCCTAGTCTGTGGTGTTTTATTTCAGCAACCTGAGCTGACTAGGGCAGTGGCCATGTGCTACTCACACAGTGGAGAAGAAAAACAGGAAAAGAACAAAATGCAGGAGACTGTAATGTGTTTGTGGAAGTCAGAGTTGGGCACTTCGAGTGTGGTGGTAGAAGAAGTATGTACAAGCACCTTGGTACTCAAAGTAGGCCAGCAGGGTCAGCATCCCTGAGAGCTTGTTACAAATGCAGACTCTCAACCCCCTCCACCCCCCCTAAGAAGTACTGTGTCAGAATGTGCATCTTGCTACCACAGTCTCAGGAGACTCTGATGCGCATCAACGTGTGAAGAGCAAGGTGCAGCCGTGCTCACTGGGCAACAAGCAGAAGTTCCATGAGTGCCTCAGCAAAGCCGAACCACATCAGGCCAACAGCTCTGGCCTTTACTCAGGATTCTCCATCTGCCCCTGCTTTTCCCCCAACACCCACCTCCAGCTTCCCACCCTGCACATGGGTGGGGCCGACTCCAACCTCTGCCTGTGTACACCATGAGTGCACCCCAGCCCTCCTTCTCTTGGGCTCCTCTCTTTCTTTTTCTTAAATTAAAAAAAAAAAAATTTAAGTTTCTTTATCTTGAGAGAGAGAGGGAGAGAGGGAGGGAATTTCAAGCAGGCTCTGCATTGTCAGTGTGGAAACCAGCGCAGGGCTTGACATGAACCATGAGCTGAAATCAAGAGTCAGAGGCTTAACCAACTGAGCCAACCAGGAGCCTCGCTTTTAAATTTTTTTAAAGGAGGCTCTATACCACTGTGGGGCCTGAACTCAGGATCCTGAGGTCAAGAGTCACATGCTGTACCGACTGAGCCAGCCAGGCAGCACCTCCCAACTCCAGACCCCTCTCCTAATATCAGTCCCTGCTTTAAACATGCCAGGCAGGGGTGCAGCGGCTGCTACTGGGAAGAGGTGTGCAGGAATAGGAGCATAACCACTCATCCCCACACCAGCGGAGGGAGAGGATGCACTCTTACAGAATGTCGTCAACACCTCTGATTTTAGGACAATGCAAAAATCTCTTTTGAGATGTGATTAAACAGTGTTCAAATTTGTATTATTTGTATTATTTCTTCATGCCTCTTACTGTTATTTTTTTATTTTTGAGAGAGAGAGAGAACAGAGCACAAGTGGGGGAGGGGCAGAGAGAGAGAGACAGAATCTGAAGCAGGCTCCAGGTTCTGAGCTGTCGGCACAGAGCCTGATGTGGGGCTCGAACTCAAGTACTGTGAGATCATGACCTGAGCCGGAATCAGATGCTTAACTGACTGAGCCACCCAGGTGCCCCCTTCATGCCTCTTATTTTAACTCTGTACTATGGAAATTCCAAACATACATGAACTCCAGGGCGTCCATCACTTTGCTATCATAACTATTAGCATTGTGACAATTCTGTGCTACCTCGTTTTAAAGCCTTGAGTGGGATGATTCTCTGAGCAGTTACAGCCGAGCTGTTGTTTTCCACAACGGCAAAACGAAGAAATATGAGATCTTCAAAGTGAACACGGAAGAGAAACTGTTCATTCCACATGGGGTTCAGAGTGTTCCGGTGGATTGGCTTTGTGCGGAAATGGCAGCTGTCCAGGGGCATGCCCAGCACATCGACCTCGATACACGGGCTTCCTGTGCTGCTACTTGGGCACACGTTTTGGCCGGAGACAATCTGAGGTGAGGAAAAAAGGATCAAAGTCACTGAAGATGCAAAAGAAACAAAGCAACCTCTGTCCCTTACTGCTTCCCTCCACCGAGAAAGACAAAGAGCATTCTGGAATGGAAGGGGTACATGGTTACTAAAGTTGCTAAAAAGAAAAAAAAGTAAGTGATTGTAATCAGGTGATCACATGACTGGAGTCATGTGAAAGCCTATTTTGTCAACAGCATTCACCTGACGATCTTCAAAAGATCTTCAAAAGATCTTCAAAAACTAAACCATTAACATGATTAAGTTTCTCAAGGGGGTAAAAGGAAAGGGGACCATATGCAATGTAAATAAGAAATGGTTACTAACATTCTGTTCAAAATGTTTTAGGTGTATATAGTTGATATACCTCAATCTTTTTCTTCAATAGTTTAGTTTTGGATCAAGTCACAGGGGATGCTGTTAAAAATTAATCCACAGTCTTCTGTAAGTAGATGGAACTATACTCGAGTCCAGCTGAAATGGTCAAATAGAAAGGGGCTGCTGCCCTAGTCTTCGAGACAGAGAAAACCCATATGGGAGGTAGGGAAGTCTGTGAGCAGGCTCTCCCAGGGCTCTGAGGTGTCATGAGCAGAGGCTGTTTGGCATTCTTCCTTTGCAGCAAGACAGACCAGATATAAAGATGGAGAGAAGAGGTAACTTTCTCCCTTCCTGTCTTTCCTATCACCACCCAGCGGTTTTGTCTATGAGCTAAGTGGGAGTGAGACAATAGGGAATAAAATTGGGTGATGAGTTATTGGGGCTGAGTTGTTAGGGGAAACCTGTGGAGTTCTGACAATTAGTTAATCAAAGGAATAAAGGAGTAAGGAGAGCCCCAGGGATGATAAAGTTTAAGCTGTAAGGAGGAAAGATATGTAGTTGCTTTGTATATTGATGCCTGTCTATGAGAACTTGTCAGAGTGTAAGATGATCTGGTCTAACCAGGAGCTCGACTTTTATGGGATCCGTACACAGTTATGATTCTTGGGGCCTGGAGGACAGAATTGCCATCATCAGTTTGCAGGTGAAGCAGGGACCTCATAACTCTACCTACTGAGCTCTGGCAAATAGAGGGCATGGTGATAGCCTATCTAAACCATAGCCACTGTTTCCTGAGAGGTTAACAAAATGCTTTTGGGAACTAAATCTGCATGAACAAAATGGTGACATGAGATTTTTGTAATGCCTTGAATTCAAAACCAGTTCGTAATCAGGAAGGCTTACAGTCCTTACTATATTTTGATAACAGGGGCCATACTTACAGTTAAGGAGTAGATGGCAGGCTCCATGTTGTCCAGATCTCTTTCCAAGGGAGAGAACTTCTGATACATAGGACAGTTCTTGTCCCACAGAACTGGGGGTTTCAAAACATAACCACACCCACCATTGGCTTCAAACATGGCAGCATTTAAATGTAAAGGGAGATCTGTAAAATAAAGTCAATATTGCCTGGCTCACATGTCATCTTATACACTTACTTTAAAGTACAAAAGAAATTTGTATCAATTTCCTCTAAGCTGAAGCATGAAGAAGAGATAGCCATCCATTTATTGCATAGACTGATTGAGTACCTACTCTGTGCCAAGTAGTGTTATGCACCTGAGATATAGCTGCTAACAAGACACGAAATCTGTCATCACAGAGCTCATACTCCATCCCATGTTCTGCCACTTGAAAACTCTTGCAAAAAAAAGAAAAAAAAAAAAAAGAAAACTCTTGCAAATAAAAATTCACAACATCCATCCATAAAAATCTTTGAAACACCTCATTTTATACTTAATTTTAGAAAAACAAATAATGGCATTGTCTTATTCCCAAGCACCAAATCATGAAGACAGTTGTGTGAACAATTCTTGCTTTTTCAAATATAAGATAAAATCTTAATAATACAAGAAAGTCTAGGAGAATAGCCAGAAAAACATATCTTGTCTTTGAAATTTCAATTTCAACCCATAAATTGCAATACTTCTACCTCTTTTTTTAAACTTAAACAAATTTTTTATATTTAGTTATTTTTGAGTGACAGAGAGACAGAGCATGAGTTAGGGAGGGGCAGAGAGAGAGGGAAACACAGAATCCCAAGCAGGCTCCAGGCTCTGAGCTGTCAGCACAGAGCCCAATGGTGGGCCAATGTGGGGCTTGAACCATGAACCATGAGATCATGATCTGAGCTGAAGTCAGACTCTTAACCAACTGAGCTACTCAGGCACATCTACCTCTTTTTTTATCCTAGTATTTATCTATTTAAATAAATGTTTATTCATTTTTGAGAGAGCATGAGCTGGGGAGGGGCAGGGAGAGAGGAGGACAGAGGATCTGAAGTGGGCTCTGCACTGACAGCAAAGAGCCCAATGTTGGGCTCAAACTCACCAACCATGAGATCATGACCTTAGCTGGAGTCAGATGCTCAATGACTGAGCCACCCAGGCACCCTTCTACCTCTTTTTTTAAATGATAGTTCAATATGAAACAAATCATTATCACATGTGATTCACATCATATCCACAATCCCCTCAATCACAAACACTGGGAACTTTTACAACAGCTTCCAGTCTTTTGTGGCCAAATTTTATTTGGCATAGATCTTTGGTGAATGATTAGATCCCTGCACAGATTTTGGGCTCTTACACACTCAAATGCTCATCTGATGGCACAAGTCTGAATAAAATTTGCCCAAATGAACAAAAAGTTTATGAGACACACTTGACAAATGTTCACTCTGACAGATTCCTCCCTTGTGCAGAGTAAACTTTGCTACACGGACCAACATCAAGGAAAAGTGTGGCAAGCACCATGGAGCAATGAGAAGTTGGCCTTCACTTGTATGTGGGGAGTTGGCCAGGGTCATGTACAGGAATTCTGGGGGGAGAATGTCTTAGACACATGAGAGCTCCTGGGGCCTCAGCCTGCTTATCTACAAAATTAGCACACGGGCCCCCACCTCTCAGGCCCATCCAGTCCCCATGTGACTGATTGACTGAGGCTACAGGTTGAAGCAAACTAGCCCACGTAGTTGGTAAATGTGAAATGGATAAATATGACTAACAAAATTATAGCAGCTCATTCTTACTGCACCCTTCCCTTGCACCAGCACTTTGGGAGCACCAGTGCCCCCATAGCCCACGAGATGGCTTATTTTAGTATTTTCATTTTTAGAAATGAGAAAACTGAGGCATAAGACATGAAAAAACCCAAGGAAGTGGTAGATCCTGGAGTTCAAACTTGGACAGCCTGACCCATCTTAACTACCGAACCTATAATGTATATTATCTTAACACTGAACCTTAACTGCTGGAGTCATATAATGTATACCTCAGGGGGGTGTCATACAGATAAATGAAATAAGGGGCACCTGGGTGGCTCAGTCGGTTAAGTGTCTGACTGCGGCTCAGATCATTATCTAGTGGTTCATGAGTTTGAGCCCTACAGCGGGCCTGGAACTCAGAGCCTGGAGCCTGCTTGGGATTCTGTGTCTCCCTCTTTATCTGTCCCTACCCTACTCACACTCTCTCTCTTTCTTAAAAATAAATAAAACATTAAAATTTTTTAAAAAAGATAAATGAGGGGCGCTGGGTGGCTTAGTCGGTTAAGCGTCCGACTTTTGCTTGGGTCATGATCTCGCGGTTCGTGGGTTCGGGCCCCGCGTCGGGCTCTGTGCTGACTGCCAGCTCAGAGCCTGGAGCCTGTTTCAGTCTGTGACTCCCTCTCTCTCTGACCCTCCCCTGCTCACGCTGTCTCTCTCTCTCTCCTAGAAATAAATAAAACATTAAAAAAAAAAAAAAAGATAAATGAGATAATGTGTAAAGGTACCCCAGCGCCTGGCACATAGAAGGTGCTCAATAAACAGTAGCTATTAAATTATGATTATGAGGTCAACACCCTTTTGGGTTTGAAGTCTGATTTCATTAGCAATGTGTCATCCTTGTAGCTTTTCAAAACTTGTATTTTCCTTTTTTTTTTTTAAGTAAGCTCCCCACTCAACATGGGGCTCAAACTCACAACCCCAAGAACAAGAGTCACATGTTGACTGAGCCAGCCCAGGCACCCTGCTTTCCCAAACCTTAAAGCACTTTTTCTTAACTAAAACCTCACTTGGTGATCCAATATGTAAAACAGATCCACATGGAGTTGCTCAGTTGGAATATAGGCGGGAAACTCCTGCATCAACTAAGTGAAACAGTGTGCATGGATCTGTGTAACCGCATCACTCTTCTCAGTCAGTGCATGTGATGGCAGATCAAGCACAGCATTATGGTCTTTCATTATTTCAAAAACTCTATAGTAAGTAAACTCCATTCCCATAATATTTGTCCCTATATTTTAGGGCTGGAAAAGTCGTCACAAAGAGTGTGACAATCATTCAAGAAAGCATAATAAAATATTAACAGAAACTTGTCTTTTGACTGGGGTGGCATGTCTATATACTGAGAGGTCCTAGGACATGAGGCAGAAATTGTTCTACCCCAGATGGAAAGAACCTGGGGGAACTGTTGCCAGCAACAGCCAGAGTCTGCAAACCAGGCTCAGGTAAGTTTCCCAACTCAAGGGTTGGTTTTTTGAGGAGACCTGGACTATTCCTGGTTCCACATAACTGCAGACCTTAAACAAGTTGATGGAACCACTAGAAATCTTGGGAAGAGGGGCACCTGGGTGGCTCAGTTGGTTAGAAATCTGATTCTTGATCTCAGCTCAAGTCATGATCTCATGGTTCGTGCAACTAAGCTCCACATAGGGCTTTGTGCTGAACAGGGCAGAGCCTGCTTGGGATTTTCTCTCTCATTCTCTCTCTGCCTCTCCTCTGCTCACTCTCACTCTCTCCTCTCTCAAAATAAATACATATATAAATAACCTAAAAAAAAAAAAAAAAAGAAAGAAATCCGGGGAAGAGATCACCCTCAGTGCACGGACACCCTTTGGGGCATTAGGGTTCCCTGAAATTCAGGAAGTGGTAAGGTAGGTGATCCATAGAACATATCTGGAGGCTAGAGACACACCAGGAGAGGGTTTTGTTATTTGGTTGGGACATTTCATGGAAAATCAAGGACTCCCTAACCTAGAAATTCTTTTAAAAATTAAAAAATAATAATTCTACTGTTGACTCTTATCTTTTTGGACTTGCAATTCACAGAGAAGTACCTAGAAGAGATCTGGACTGAAAATCACAAACCATAAGTTCAGATTGCTGTGGGGTTGATAAGGACAATCTGTTTCAGCTCAATGCAGCATGCCTTTATTGAGCACCTAATGTGTGCAGGATATTGGCCTGGATCTACCCCCAGTTTGAGTAAATGGAGACCATTTTTACAGATAAATACACCGAAACTGCACGTAGCTTGTGCATTGTGCAGTGTGGGGAGATGTTTAATCACTTCTCGCTGTATTGACTTAAGAGAGGATATGTGGCAGTGCTCCCTCCTGGGAGTTGGAAGGTTTTGCAGAGAAACTTGAGGGTAGACCACACAATGCAGCCACCTGCCTCCTCTGAGCGGGTAAGCATGAACGTGCTCTCTGGCTTGATTTGGGAGAGAGGATAAACCTTCAAGGGTGAGTGGAGACCCACCTGCAGCCTCTGTGTGTGTTTCAGAGTACAAGGTGGGTCAAGGAGGGGCGATTCCCTCATCCCCCTCAGCCATGGCTCCCTTTGCCGTCAGTGGAGCCAGTATGTCTGTGGCAGCCTTGGCGCCTCGGGAGGAAGGACACATCCCAAACTAAATGCATTTTCATTTCCTTGAGAAACCACTTTGCTAGTTATTTCAGTTTACTTAAAATATTTCCGTATCACAATAACCGAGGGGACCAGTGGACACAGGGCTAAGGACAGGGCCAGAGATGTGAACCCACAAGCCACTTGGGACAGATTGAAGAGAAATTTTTACAACTCTGTAAATATTTCATTATTATTTCCACTTGTGAGTCCAAATCATACTGTTTTCATAACTTATCAAAAAACACTTACGATGGTTAATGTTCATGGAATGCTTTCTACATGCCAGGCACTGTGTTTGGTATGGTATTTCACTTACACCGACTTACTTAATATCAATTGAAACAAACAAATATTAAAGGGCACAAAATATGACTGATGTCTCTGACCATTCGTCTCCAGGGTCAGCCACAAGTAGACATTACTGGTGCCCGTGCCAGATTGCTAGGTGGTCCCAGAGCTAAGGCTGGGGTTTAACCTTGGTTGGTGAAAAGGCTATGCTTTGGTTGATGGGTCAGCACAGCTAGCTGAGATCTGACTCAGTGCACAGGAAAGGAACAAGAAGGTCGCTCAAAGGAAAGACTAGTTTTCTAATGAGCTTCTAGGAAACATTCTTCCTCTATTTTTTCTTTGTGTTTGGCAGCTCCCTTCCTTCCCCCATAACCAAGTAGAAACAAAACACTTTACCCTCTGAACTTCCAGAGTCCTTGAATCTATTATTATTAGTCATTCTGTAACCTTGAGCAAACTAACCGCTCTGTGCCTTGGTTTGCTCATCTGGGAAATGGAGATCATAAAGGGACCCGCCCCTTAGGGTTGTGGCAGAGATTAAATGAGAAAATAGGGGTCAAGAATGCAGCACGGTGGCTGGTACGCAGTGAGCCTGCCATAAATGGCAGCTGCTGCCTGGAGCTTCAGGCCTCCTCAGTCACCGTTATGAGTCTCATGCACAGTGGAGACACACACACCACTCTCTGATCAGGTGGTTCACGGACTTGTTTTCCCTGTGGTAGCCACACCCAGGATACTGGCCATTATTCCTCATTTCAATCTCAAAGGGAAGAGAAGAGGCTAAATGCTTTTAACTTGCAAAGTGTTTGGAACTACACTACTTTTGACCTGCAAGAATAAGAGCTTAGCAAGAGAACTTACTAAGGGGTGTTAGGAAATCTCTGCCCCAAAGATCTTTAAAAACAAACTGTCAAGAGCAGTCATAAGTTTAAAAAGTGCTTTAAAAATGGGGTGGGGGGCGCCTGGGTGGCTCAATAAGTTAAGCATCCAGCGCTGGGTTTCTGCCCAGGTCATGATCTCATGGTTTCATGAGTTCGAGCCCCACGTTGGGCTCTGCAATGACAGTGTGGAGCCTCCTTGGGATTCTCTGTCTTCTCCCTGTCTCTCTTCCTCTCCCCCACTCATGCTGTCTCTGCCTCTCTCAAAATAAATAAACTTTAAAACTTTTGAAAAAAAAGGAGGGACAGGAACAGAACACCAATAGGGGTCCCCTCATCGTCCTTATCTATTGTCTTTTTTTTCTAAGTTTACTTATTTTGAGAGAGAGAGAGAAAGAAAAAAATGAATGGAGGAGGGCAGAATGGAGGGAGAGAGAGAATCACAAGCAGGCTCCACGCTGTCAGTGCAGAGCCCGACTTCGGGCTTGAACTCACAAACTGTGAGATCACGATTAGAGCTGAAATTAAGGGTGGGACACTTAACCGACTCAGCCATTTGGGCGTCCCTTTATCTGTTGCCTTAATCAAAACATCAAGGGCACAATTTTGTATCAAATTCACTTCTGTTTTTGGTCATCTGTACTTTAACCCTCACATCTGGTATGCCCCAGTCTGGAGCCCTGCCTCTTTAAACAATCTTGTTTGCTGAACTATATTTACTTAGAAGAGGCAGAGGAGAGAGGTGGGGAGGCACCCTTCCGGGTGAAGCTGGCCCATTACCATCAGTCTGGTAGTTGAGTGCCACAAGCTGTATTCCATGGAGCCAGAACATGAGGGGGTTGGGGTTGGAGGAGTCAATGCGAGTGGCAGCCGGGTAGGTCCTCAGCAGCTGACAGGCCGTGTGCTGGATCAGTTTCTGAGAATACCTGCGACACAGACGTTTGGCGGCATTTTCATTCAGCGATGAGATATGGTAACATTTGGGAGTTCTAATGATAGCGCTGAGGGATGTGGTTGGGTTGAGGGGGGAAGAAGATTCCTCCCAGGCCTGTCGCATTCCTTCACAGGAACCTAAACCCCCCCCAAAAGATTAGCCTCAGATTAGTGCAGAAAACTTTAAATATTTTAGAAAGATAAACCTGAATAACATCCCAGTAGGCAATCATAACACATAACATATCAGAACACATCTTGCCTGTTCCTTGTGAGTTAGTCTACAACCTTGAAACAAAATCAGAACTATTGAGTTTTAAGATGACTATGGCCACACCAATTTAAATCAAAAGCCTGAAAGCCCTTGCCTGTGTACCTCATCTATTCTGTGGATAAATTTGCACAAAGATGCAATGTGTGCAAGGGTGTTCACTCTAGCATTGTTGTTTTTTTTTAAATAACAAATCAAAAGCTGAAAACTCCAAAACCACCACCATTACCACCACTGCCACAATCCAGGAAGCAACCGAAATGTTCTACAAGTGAGGTAGTCATTAAATAAAAGACAGTATGTCCACATAATGGAATACCACAGAGGCACTAAGGACAATAAGTTAGATACCTGTATAGAAAGCCATGAAGAAAGCTGCAGCAAGTATAAAAGTTATACAAGTCTCCCTGATTTTATTTATTTATTTATTTATTTAAAAATTTTTTTTAAATTTATTTCTAGGAGAGAGAGAGAGAGAGACAGCATGAGCAGGGGAGGGTCAGAGAGAGAGGGAGATACAGACTCCGAAATAGGCTCCAGGCTCTGAGCTGGCAGTCAGCACAGAGCCCGATGCGGGGCTCGAACCCACGAACCACAAGATCATGACCTAAGTGAAAGTCGGACGCTTAACCGACTAAGCCACTCAGGCGCCCCGAGTCTCCCTGATTTTAAACTATGCTACAAAGTTATAGTAATCAAAACAATATGCTGCTGGCATAAAAACACATAGATCAATGGAGCAGAATAGAGAGCCCAGAAATAAACTCACATATACATGGTCAATTAATTTATGACAAAGGAGCCAAGAATACACAATAGGTAAGGGATCATTTCTTCAATAAATGGTGGTGGGAAAACTGGATGGCCACATGCAAAAGAATGAAACTAGACTATTGTCTTACACCATATACAGAAAATTAACTTGAAATGGATTAAAGACTTGAATGTAAGCATGGAAACCACACAACTCTTAAAAGAAAACAAAGGCACTGAGCTTCCTGACATTAGTTGTGGTGTTGAAATCTTGGATCTGACTCCAGAATTAAAGGCAACAAAAGGAGAGGTAAACAAGTGGGACTACATCAAACTGAAGTGCTTCTGCACAGGAAAGGAAACCATCAATAAAAAGAAAAGGCAACCTACTGAATTGGAGGAAATATTTGCAAATCATGTATCCAAATAACTAAATGTATTATACCTAAAGTGTATATAGAACTCAAAAACGCAAAAGCTAAAGAAACAATTTCATTAACAAATGGGCAGAGGATTTAAGCAGACATTTTTCCAAAGAAGACCTATAGATGGCCAACAAGCACATGAGATGAGCAATGTCAGTAATCACCAGGGAAATACAAATCCAAACCACAGCAAGATACTACCTCACATCTGTCAGAATGGCTAGTATCAAAAAGACAAGAAATAACAACAGTGGGAGAGTAAACAGTGGAGAAAGGGAACCCTCGTGTACTGTTAGTGGGAAGGTAAACTGGTGCAGCCACTTTGGAAAACAGTATGGAACTTCCTCAAAAAATTAAAGATAGAAATACCATATGATCCAGCTATGCTACTTCTGGGTATTTATCTGAAGAAAATAAAAACAGTAATTCAAAAAGATATATATACCCCAATGTTCACTGCACCATTATTTACAATAGCCAAGATACAGAAATAACCTAAATGTCTATTGAAGGATGAATAGATAAGAAAACATGGTGTATATATATATAATGGAATACTACTCAGCCATAAAAATTAAGGAAATCCTGCCATTTGTAACAACATGGATAGATTTTGAAGGTATGATAATGCTTACTGAAATAAGTCAGAGAAAGACAAATACCACATGATTTCACTTACACATGGAATATAACAAAACAAAACAAATGCATAAAACAAAGAAAGCTCCCAGATACAGAGAACTGATTGCTAGTTATCAGAGGGGAAGGGGATTGGGGGCTGGTGAAATGGGTGAAGGGGGTTAAGTGTATGGTGATGGATGGTAACTAGATTTATTGTTGGGATCAATTTGCCGTGTATATTAAAGATTGAATTACTATGTTATACACCTGAAACTAATATAATGTTATATACAAATTTTACCTCAAGAAAAAAAAAATAGTTATCCAAGTATGTTCAGTTATATCCCGTTTGGATTATCTTAAAAAGAGTCTTATTTTTCTTGAACAAAACACAATAAACTTAACAGTGATTACCTCTGGGGAGTAGAACTGGGACATTGAGAGTGGAAAGGAATTTTAATAATGCTCTGAACTGTTTGAGTTTTTAACTATGAGAATTTATAACTTTTATAGTAAAAAGTAATTAGAAATAAAATGGATATATCTTCTGGAGTTATATTATAAGGATAAAGAGGCCAGTTCCAAGAACAACTAGAATGTTCCAAGATGGCTCCAATTTTTACTTTTGAGGCAAACACTGTTAGAACGTCTTTAATGAAACATTATTTTTTACGAAGTTAAGAGTGAAATTCATAATTTTAAATATATTGGTACTACACTTAACCAAACACTTAACATAAACATTCATGAAAATAAAAAAAAAAGAAATTAAAAGTTCAAGGGAAGTGCTTTGACGGTCAAATATCAGAATCATCCGGCATGCAGAATCAGGCCAAAATATTATAAGAAGGTGACTTTACTTTTTCCAGATGCTTTGTTAAATGATGCTGTCTCCCCAGGGCTCATTCTGCCCGGATTGTTGCCAAAAATGGACTTCCTGCTTTTCCTTTCTTTTCCTCTGCTAGAGCCAGATGCATTTAGAGTTGACAGGCCTGTTCCCATAAAATGAAAATAAATAAGCCAAAAACTACAAGCAAGGAACTCAACATTTTCCATCCCTGTTACTGTTTATTTCAAAGTCCTACTACTCCCTGGCAGCCCCAGGACAGGAGACCTGCTAGCATTTTTAGTGCAGTTAATAAGAGCAGGGAATGGTAGCAAAGCTTTTCTCTCTGTAGGCAAATGTGACCAGAACTGCATGATCCTCACAAAATCCCACACAGACCCACTTGGGTATGTACTGGAAAGATTTTGAAAAGCTACATGAACAGAAAGCACTCCAGTCAATATTTATCAGAACCTAATTACTCAACCTGGAGAGATGAAAGGCTGGTTAAAAGCAGGGGCTTCAGTTCTAGGTTCAATTCCTGCCAGTATGAGGTTGCCTAAACATCTACCTTCTCTGTTCCTCAGTTTCCTCATCTACAAAATGGGTGTGATGAAAGGAGCTCGCTCACAAGGTTAATCTGAGGGTTTGATGGGAAATATATTAGGATGATAATGATGTTTCCTGGCTTCTCTTTCTCATTCCCAGCCCTTCCTGCCTGGCACAGTGCCTGGTGTGCAGCAGGAACTTAATAGATATTTGCTGAATGAGGAAATGAGTGCACACCATGCTGCAGTACAGGAAGAGTCATTTAAAAGCACCAATGAAGCCAGAGTTGCCTCCAAACCATTCCTTCAGCTGTAGCAGCATTCAGGAGGTCCTCTTTGAGATGAAAATATACCTTCCAAGAACATCATCAGAGGAGACAGGATAAGGTAGTCCTTAAGAAGAGCGCAGACGGGGTGCCTGGGTGGCTCAGTTGGTTAAGCGTTCAACCATGATCTCACGGTTCAGGGCTTGAACCCTGCGTTGGGCTCTATGCTGACTGCCAGCTCAGAGCCTGGAGCTTATTTCAGATTCTGTATCTCCCTCTCTCTCTGACCCTCCCCTGCTCACGCTGTCTGTCTCTCTCTCAGAAATAAATAAATAAATAAATAAATAAATATTTTAATATATATTTTATTATTTATTTATACACTAAGCCAGCTCAGTCGGTTAAGTGTCTGACTTCAGCTCAGGTCAGGATCTCGTGGTTTGTGAGTTTGAGCCCTGCACTGGGCATTGTACTGACAGCTAGTTCAGAGCCTGGAGCATGTTTCAATTCTGTATCTCCCTCTCTGACCCTGCCCTGCTCACGCTGTCTCTCTCTCGGAAATAAATAAAACATTAAAAAAAAGAAGAAGAGCACAGACTTTGGGGTTGAAAGCTCACACAAATTGTGCATCCTCATAACTTCTTTACATCACTCCATCCTCATCTGTAAAAGGGTCAGGGTTAGGGTTGAATAAGATCATGATATATACATACTTAGTAGAGTGTGTTGGTCAGAGAAAGTGCTCAGTTCATAGCAGCTGTGGGGCTTCTAAATTTTGTTTTCTCTTAAGTATCTGTAACCACAAAGATGCAACACAAACTTGGACTAGGAGGTTCTCATGCTTCATCTTAAAATGTGTAATTTTGCCCTCTGCATCATAATAGAACATGACACTTTGGTATTCTCCCAAGTATAACCAATTCTGGGGGGGTGGTCCTAGAGCGAGAGGCCTGTTCATTCTGGGGTTTTTGTACACATCCTGGCACATACTGAAGGGCCTGATTGTTCTCTTGGGGTGAGGAAGCAAGAAAACTGGGGCTGGGTGATCAAGAAAAGAGAAAGAATCTGGGGAGCCCCAGAGAGCTAAGTGATAGAGCAACAAAGAGCCTTCTCCTGTCCCATTGGCCCATTTCCAATGACAATGACAACAACTTCTTCCAGAAAGCCAGTTCTTTGCTGGATAGTGTGCTAATCCCATTATATACTTTACTGATTTTTACCACCATCCTGCAAGTGAGGACTGAGAAGCCTTTTTTTTTTTTTACAGATAAGGAATTGGAAGTGCAGAGAAATTATGTGACTGTCCCAGTCATGGTGACAGAATTCAGTCCTGCCCTGCTACTGAAGCAGGTTCATGATCTCTCTCTCTCTCTCTCTTTTTAAATGTTTTATTTATTTCTGTGAGAAAGAGAGAGACAACATGAGCAGGGGAGGTCAGAGAGAGAGAGGGAGATACAGAATCTGAAATAGGCTTCAGGCTCTGAGCTGGCTGTCAGCACAGAGCCTGACACGAGGCTTGAACCCACAAACCGTGAGATCATGACCTGAGCTGAAGTTGGACACCTAACTGACTGAGCCACCCAGGCACCCCAGCAGGTTCATGATCTTGGGGAAATTAATTTACTTCATGGAAGGTTACACCACGTGACCTTTGTGGTGCCTCACTGCTCTGAGGATTTGTTTGCATATGGCTCCTTGGAAGGGACTTGGTGAAGGTGAGATGCATTGAAATTGATAATGTAGCAAAAGCAAACAATAATGTAACAAAATAGACATTTTGTGGTATTTCCCCCATGAGCATTGAAATAAATCATAACGCCAGTAAATATTGAGAAGCTATTATAACAATGATTCTGGCAACACAGTGTTGTTAATTTTGTGTTTTTTTTTTTAAATTTTTTTTAATGTTTTATTTATTTCTAGGAGAGAGAGAAACAGCGTGAGCAGGGGAGGGTCAGAGAGAGAGGGAGTCACAGACTCTGAAACAGGCTTCAGGCTCTGAGCTGGCAGTCAGCATAGAGCCCGACGCGGGTCTCGAACCCACAAACCGCGAGATCATGACCTAAGCGGAAGTTGGACGCTTAACTGACTGAGCCACCCAGGCGCCCCACAATGTTGTTAATTTTGAGAAAGGAAATGAATTTGAGGAGAGAAAAATGTAAGAAACTTCACTTACTAAAAAAAAAAATTAAATGTAGTATACCTATAAAAAGAATGTGTGCTATATAAACACTTCTAAAAAAACAGCATTCTTGGAATGTGAAACATAAGCCAAATAACCCCACGCTTAGCCTGTGCCTCAAGTCAGAAGCTGGACCCAATGACCTTCTGGCTCTCCCACAATTCTCTACTGCTACAGAAACTTTCTTTCGCAGTGACCTCAAATATCTTTGGGGATTTGTGCTCTTTAATCAGTGCTTGAGAAGAAAAGATAAAGCCGGTGGAATGGTCTGGGTGTGGTGTCAGCCGACTTTACAAAGAGGAAGAGATGCAGTGATTCTTGAATGTGGGTGTGACTGGTGAATGGAGTGGTCCTCACGCTTGTTCCTGTCAAAAAGGACATGCAGGCCATGAGGGTCCTTGACAGGAAAGGAGTTTTATCCTGTCATGAGAACAGCGTCACCAGCTGCAAATAAGATCCTGTTGTACTTATGTGACGGAAAGTCATGATCTGTGAACTAAAGTGAAGTAGCTAGGTTCTTTCGTTTCTTTGAAATCTTTGCTGCTTATGGATTCACATTCTCCTTAACAGAATTTGCTATCCGATAAGCAGTAGCAGTTGCCACAAGTTTAAGAACAGTACACGGGAGGAAACTTAAAGTTGAGAAAGTTCTATCTGTGATTTTTTCCATGTGTGTGAAAAGACCACTATTATTTAATATTTTTTAAGTTTATTTATTTTGAGAGACAGAGACAGTGCGAGTGGGGAAGGAGCAGAGAGAGAGGAGAGAGAGAATTGCAAGCAGGCTCGGAGCTCTAAGTGTTGAGCTCAACTCAGGGCTCGATCTCACCTGAGCCAAAATCAAGAGTCTGACACTTAACTGATTGAGCCACCCAGGTGCCCCTTACCTAATTTTTTAATAGCCTAATTAATACTTTTGTCCTGTTTGCAGGACAGTGTGAGAAGTGAGGCTTAAGATACACCTCTGGAGGCTGGGATCTGTGTTCATGGGCAACACTGATATTTTAACTCTCCTCTCCAGTAAAGTTTGTATACTCCGTTTCCTAACATTTTAGATGAATCAACCTGCTTTCCTGTCCTTAGAAATTTTGTATGAGGGGATCCTTTTTTCATAGTATAGGGAGACAGATTTTTCTGACTTTCATATGTTTACAGACTCTTCTGTTTGCCCTGCAGCCCCTGATACCCCAATTGTGTGTCCCACAAGTGTGAGCACACTGAAAGCACACCTTAGCCAGAGGAGCAGGGTAGTGCTATGGTTAAGAGCAGGGCTTTGGAGATAGACAGGCTTCAGAATCATAGTTCTACCATGTATTAACTGAAATGCACATTTTGTGTGTGGGGCGAGGCACGATTTATCATCATAAGTTCACTGTACTTCTAGAAATGGCAAGTTGGGGAAACTTTCTCCCACTGAAATCCCATCCTTGGTCCTTGTGGTTTGAGTGAAGCCTCACTACCCATCTTCAAAGATGAACAACGTGCCATAGGACCTAGACTGTCAGAGCACTGCATTCCCTCGGCCACAGTGACCGACTGGTTCAGGGATGGGCAGAGGGCTTGAAGGAAAGCAATGAAACTGGTGCTCAAAGTTCTGGAAGAGACTCTCAGACTGAAGCTAATCTGGAAACATGTGGTGCTAGTGTGTTGCAGCTGCCTTGCAAGCACAAAGGGAACACAGAGGAGGCAGAATGAGAAATAGGAAGAGAGAAGCCCCGGATCAAGCTGTACCTGAAACTTGCATATCCCTTCATTTTTTTAATACATGAGCCAGTAAGTTTCTTTTTTGCTTAAGTCAATTTCTACCACTTTCAAACAAAAGAGTCTTACTGATACACTTGGCAACCTTGGGGCAATTACTTCATATCTCTCAGATTTTGTTTTATTTAAAAATGGGGACAAACCCCTCTACCTCACAGAATTATTATGAAGTCAATACCACGACATATATAAACTACTTAGCACACTTCCTGGTACTGAAGGGCTTAATAAATTTTAGCTATTAGATGTCATGAGTATTATTATCATTAACTATTATGAAAAGACATGATATCTGTAAAAGAAACACTTTATGGTATTTTCCTTACCAACATCAAAGCTAATATTTAGAAAGTAGTATAACAATGATTTGGTAACACAATTTAGTTATTTTGAAAGCATTCACAATGTCCAATTAAATAAACAGCATATTTTTATCTTTTGGTATCTTTAAATGTTATAGAAGATACTGCCTACTCTTACCTGGAAATTTTACCGCTTGGCAATAGATGACAAGGTCAGATAGCTCTGGTGCAATCTGTCTGCTTTCCTTTTTATTCTGAGGGAGATAAAATTCTTCTCCTAGTTCCATGTCATAAACCTATCAAGGGAAACATAATGCCAGTTTACATGGAAAGTATATGCCACCCACCTCTGAATCCCCAAAGCTTTATCTGTTCCTTTCGCACGTCATCAGTGCATTTCACATTGCTGTGTATCATTCCATATACAGGTCCTAACACCCTTCCTGGAGTAAAAGCCTTCCGGGAGTAGGCGATGACTCTACTCCTCCTTCTCTTCCCTTGGGGCATAGTCCAGTGTCTTCAATGTGGGACAGTCAATGCATTTTTGTTGAATGACCAGGTGACTGAGGATGCATCTTCTATGGCTCAAATTTCTGACACACTTTATTATCTGGCTCTCCAACAGTGTCCCTGCAGCTGTGTCTGTACATCTGCTCAGAGTCTATATAGTGTAAGGCACTGGAAGGCAGGGACTGGGTATCCCATTTACATTTCTATTCTCTGCGTCATTCCTCTGTGGACACTTCACAGTCTGGGCCCTGTTTATCTGCTTGATTATTCCAAACTCTTTAAAAATTCTAGAAATTCCTTGAATGTAACCAGGCTGTCCTCCTGGCCTAAATGTCCTGATTTTGTTTGCCTGGCCAAATCTTCTCTAACATTATCCTCCCTGATGCTCTGATAACAGTGTAATCACTGGTCTTTGTACTTATCTGTAAGCACTGTTTACCTACTTGCCTCCATCACTAAAGCACCTCCAGTGTCATCTCAGTTCCTGCCACACTGCACACCTTCCACAGGTATTGGTTGGATGAACCAGTGACTAACCTTCTAAAAATGGCAGGTGGGTGTCCCATAGCATCCCTGTGTGGGCTTTGGCATCTAAGAGAAAGTGAGGGGAAAAGTGAAGGGAGGGGACAGGGAGGGAGTGAAATATACCTGATACTGACAAGAGCACCCTGGTCCAAGTGTAACTTAACAGAGGACATTCACCCACCTTTCCTTTGTTGCAAGCAGAGTTATCTGCTTTCTTTATCCTCTTGGGGATTTCTTCATTATACTCAAACTGAAGCTTGTCATTACATGATTTATTTTCAGGTCTGTCCTCTAGAATGTTATCTGAAAATAAGTTGGCAGGCTTCAGCAAACAAAAACCACATGTTTCACTTAAGGGCTACGTCGACATCATTATAAAGATATCCAGCCACTTGGTGCTTATCTGTTAAGACTGAGGATCTGGCTACTCTGTTACCAAGATGATGGCTTGGGGTATAATTTAAAAAATTTGTTAGATTTGGTATATGATGTGTTTATTTTTAATTGAATGGACTCGTTTACCAGTAGTTTTGGTACCATACAGACATCACCTAAATGAGAAGCCTCATGTCCATAAAGACGATGAAGATTGTGCAAACCTTATGGAAGACACCCTGTGTCAGAAGTTCTCGATGCACAAGTTAGGGGAGGACTTAGTGGTGGATGCACTTCTAGATGGTGCATACGTGAGTTAATCACTCTCATTTTAAAATAAGCTATTAGCTTCTTTTACCTCTAGAAATGTCAAAACCTGCGGGAAAATGATAGTGTTATTTGCAATGCAGTTTTCACAATTCTACTTAATCAGGAAGTAAAGTTTCCATAATTGTTTATGAATTTATTAAGCAAGACTCTTGAGGATAGGAATTAAAAAATGTCTAAAAATATCTAAACATGACGTATAATTTTATACTTTGCTCTTGTTGTGGTATTTCTATTCAAAATGACTTTAAGGGCTCCTGGGTGGCTCAGTCGGCTGAGTGTCCGACTTTGGCTCAGGTCATAATCTCATGGTTCATGAGTTTGAGCCTCTCATCGAGCTCTGTGCTGAGAACCCTCAGATCCTCTGTCTCCCTCTCTCTGCCCCTCCCTCGCTTGGACGTGTGCTCTCTCTCTCAAAAATAAACAAACATTGAAAAAAATGACTTTAAAGGTGTTAGACAATTATGCTAAAACCTTTTTCAAAAATGAAAAATGAGAAAGCTCTCATTTCTCACCCAACGTTCATTATCTCATCAGACCATATATGTTGAGACCAAAATATTCTTATACCAAATAAGGGCCATGCAGGCTGCCAAGAAGTAAACGAGATAAATCATTTTATTACATTTTTACTTATATCAGTGTCACTATGTCATGCTAATTCAGGCTTCAGAAATTGGAGACAGAAAGCCAACATTCATGCAGTTAAAATGCCCAGTTCAAATGGCTTTACCTTCCTGACTGTTAGGAGCAGGAGAAGCGGTAAGGACATCTGCTATATAAAAACAGAATCAGAAAGGGAATAAAAGTAAGGAAAATTAAGACAAAAAGCCAGATAAATTGAACTAAGGTATGAAGCAAAGCATAAATAACAATAGCTTAGATTATAAGACAAATGAAACAAGAAATCTCTTGATTCAGTATTTTGACTGTTAGGGATATAAGGTCTAGCAATAAAAAAAAAGGCAAACATTGTTAATATTAATCATGCTGCAATAGTCACATTACATATTTTCAGTTCCTGACTATTGTAACCTTCACAATAATGCATTATGTCAAATGTATAGAAATGGATTAATTTGTTAGAGTCATGCAGTCACCATCACAGAATGTCTGTATTAAGTTGCAGATTCAAATCTGTACCCTAGGGCCTGTTCAGAGCTAGTCAAGATAAACAGCAAGGTCAGGTGAAAATTAATCTATATTTATTTAATGAAATTTGATTACATAAATATTCATGAAGGACCTATTGGCCAAAAGGCAGAGCGGGAGTTTCTGAAACATAAGGGCCTCATTTGTAACTTCCTTTAGATCTTCTGGAATTACTTTGTGGTTAGGAATCATCACATTTTTATGGCCCAAAGAGGCTTTCGACTAATTCTCTCATGTTATAGACATGAAAACTGAGGACCAGAGCTGTCATAGAGATAAGCTGGGCCACCCAAATTCTGCAGATGAGCTCTTCATACGGGACACTTCTGAAGGCAACACTCCCACAACTGTATGTGGAATTTTGAGAGCACACTTATTTCTCTGAGAGGACTGGTCACAGCTTCTAATCTCCTTCTCAAAGAGACTCATCATTACAAGAAGCTGAAAAACATTTGAGGCCCCCATCTGAAGCTCCACGGCAGGCAGACAGGTTTCCGCTGCCTCCTCATCTCAACTGGAAGATGCGAAGATGGTAGAGGCAAGTGCATGAGGTACAGAGGTGAGTGAGGCTACAACCAAGAATGCAGGATGGACAGGGCATTTAACCGTGGCATAGGAGAGCCTCAACATGACAAGCTTAAACTAGTCATGGCATAACTACAAGGCCAGTTTGGGAATCTGCCAGTTGGAGGAATTTTTGAATGAAATGGGAAATGCCCAGGTGGTGGCAGTAGCCTTCATAGATCATAGATGTTGGTGCTAGAAGAAGGGAGAACATCACCCAATACTGAACAGAACTTGTTTGTTACATATCTGTGGTACCTAAGGCCTAGAGTGGAAATAGGACATTGACCCAGTGTCGCATAGTTTACTGAGGCAGAACCTGGTGGGGCCACCTTTCCACTTGTATCCTACCTCAGCACATGTAGGTTTTAACAAAGCATGAAACTATCTTAGAAATTCAGTCGTATAAATTTTCTTCTCCTAACTGAAATAAATAAATAACAGATCATTTTGTTATGTGTTTTATCAAAAATTCCTATAATAATACTAATAATTAAGAAAAGCCTTTCCTGGAGAGTCTGAGTGGCTGAGTCAATTGAGCATCTGACTCTTGATTTTGGCTTAGGTCATGATCTCAGGTCAGTTTCGTGGGTTTACACCCTACGTCAGGCTCTGTGCTAGCAGTGCAGAGACTGCTGGGAATTTTCTCCTGACTCTCTCTCTGCTCCTTCCCTGCTTGTGCTCTCTCTCAAAATAAACTTAAAAAAATATATGTATATATATATATAAAGGAATATATATAGATTTATATTTTTATTATATAAAACATATTTATAAATATTTATATATTTTTATATATGTAAAGGAAAAGTCTTTTTTTTTGGTTCCAAAAAGTACAAAAAAACATAGGAGTAATTTATAATAAAGAGTAAATTTATCTTCCAGCAAATTAACCTCTCACAGGGCATTTGACATTTGGATTGGTTGATTTCTAACGTGTGGTTTTCGTTTCTCATATGAATAAATTTGTTCTTCTGAGACAACATCACCATAATTATAATAGAGATCCATGGGGAAGAATAAGTCAATATAAGAATATTCATATTCCCACAACTATTCAAGAATACGATACAAGAAATCATTTTGACTCCTTTTCATCTTCCCCCTCTTTCTACCTCCCCATGAGAGTATATGCCCCTCACATTAACTGATGGGATTTCAGTCAAGTAAATTTGGCTTTTAGTTGATGGTATGAAGTGATCAACTATTAGTAGGACAAATATTAAATAGACATAGACTAGTATTGTATTTGGGAGGCAAAAACAGGCTGGGCTGTAACTGCTGGCCATGATGGAAGCTCATGGAATGAGATATCCTTAGGGGGCAATCCTGGAGCATAAGCAACAGATATTTGGAGGAGGGTAGGTTGGCTGTCTTAATGCCAGGGACAATTGGTTGCTGGTCTGGGCACATCTACTTGTGAACAAAACAACTGTCCTCCATAGAAGTCATATATTCTACATATATAATGTTATTTATATAAGTAGGAACTTTGGCATTTTTTCATTATTACATTGCTTTTCACAAGTTGCTAAAATGCAACAGTCTACCATCAACCTAGAAAATATTAAAAAAATATTTTTTTAATGTCTTATTTATTTCTGAGGTAGAGAGAGGCGGTGTGAGCAGGGGAAGGTCAAAGAGAGGGAGACACAGAATCTGAAACAGGCTCCAGGGTCTGAGCTAGCTGTCAGCACAGAGCCTGATGCGAGGCTCCAACCCACGAACCGTGAGATCATGACCTGAACTGAAGTCAGAGGCCCAACTGACTGAGCCACCCAGGCACCCCTAGAAAATATTTTTTAATCTATAATTAATTTGGTACAAATGAGACATGCCTGAAACGAATTCTCATATAAGAGGAATCCTTCACCTATAATCTGTGGGTGACTTCATTCATGTGACTTTTTTGTATTATGCCATTAGCCTTCACCTATGTTTTGTTCCTTTGGTGGAGCAAGAAGGAAATATCTTGTTGGTTTAGTAATGTGAGAACTAGGAAGAGGGAAAAGGGAAATGCTTTTTTCCTTATACGCTTTACAAAGCAGGAGTGAAGGCCATGAGAGGAAGGAGTGGGGAACACAGAACTGTGATGCTGCCCCCTGCAGGTGGCGAGGAGCGACAACAGCCAGCGGCCACAATGCCTGCCAAGAGTATGAGCCGCACCAGAAACTGAAAGGGTGAGAATGAGGTCTCTCTGCTACAATTCCACCGTTTCCTCCAGAAGCCCACTCAGGAATGACCCCTGTGTTGCTCCTCACACCCTCCTCTTCTTTCCTTGAATGATGGCTTAGTCGTGACTAAGAGAATCCCCATCCTTCCTTGGTCCTCCTCACTGAGCCATGGGATTCAGAAATTCTTAGACAGTTATTACAACAATCTGTTATTCCTGGTCTATGGAATGCCAGACTCATTTTTTGGTGTAAGAAAAAAAAAGACACACACAAACTCACAACAGAAAATCATCCTGGCATTTCCCTGCACACAGCATAGGTTTGTGTCTCTCTTACCGTCAGACAGGGATTCATAGTCATAATCATATTCGTCCTCTTCATCCTCCCATTCTTCGTTATTAGCCGGTGGGGGGTTGGCATTCCCACCGTTGTAAGCCTGAGCTTGCATGGATGCTAACTGATGAGCCTGTAAGATATCAGTAATTAAAGACTGCAGATGCTAAGCTCCTGAGGTTTCATTTATAGCCTTCAAAATGACCACTTAATGCTTGTCACAGCCACAAAAAGTGGCTTAAGCTATTTTGATTCATTTGAGAGAGAGAAAAAAAATCTGAATTCACCTAAAGTACAATGTCAATACTTGGGCAAATGTTAACATCCCTACAATCCACGAGCTTTTAGAAACAATCACAAGGAATCATGTGTCCCCGGGGCAGCCCTCCAGGACAAGCCTGCTGCTTTGGAGAACTGCCGTCTCTCCCAAATGATGAAGTAGTGAATCAGCCCCTCAGACTTGGAAAAGCAAATCTCTGCTAAGAAACTGTTGTTAATTCTATTTTTTTCCCTTAAAATAATATCTAAAAGCCTTTGACCTGGAGAAAAAGATTAGAATCCCTATGGATAATGAGACTGAACAAACAGTTGTGTGTTTAAATAAAGTTTTTTCCAAGAGACTTTATATGAACCATCAATCAGATTAACAAAGTAGGCTCAGAAACTTCTGGAAACTTGATGCTATGAGGGAGATCATGTGTCTTACTTCTATTTGAATCATCTGTGAGGTTACTGTACAGGACACAAGGTTAATATAGGTCTGGGAACTTAGCACAGGAAATAAGCAGAAATGGAGGAAAAGATACTTGCATGAATTAAAAATAAAAAACCAACACAAAATCCAATAGTAGAAGAATGAGATCAGTAAACTATGGTGGTGTATCTACTTGAAAAAAATTAGACTTGAAAAAATAATTGTGATATATATTTGAACAGGATATAGAATTGTGTATATAAATATAAATATAAATGTAAATATATATACAATGCAATATCATTTGTTTCATATCTATATATCTCTGTCTATAGATAATGATTATAATTATATAAAATGACATGCATAATACACCAAGGACTCTTGACCTGTTGTTGTGGCACAAACCCCTTAGGTCATTCGCTGAGGTAGGATTCCTTCTCAGAATGATACTTTATTCTATTTTTTCAAAGTTTATTTATTTATTTTGAGAGAGAGAGAGAGAGAGAGAGAGAATCGTAAGCAGACTCCATGCTACCAGCACAGAGCCTGATGCAGGGCTTGAACTTATGAACTGTGGGATCATGACTTGAGCCGAGATAGAGTTGGATGCTTAACCGACTGATCCGTCCAGAAAACTTCCCTCCCCCAGAATGACGTTTTAAAGTTTATTTATTTTCATTTTTATTTTGAGAGACAGAAAGAGAGCATGAGTGGGGGAGAGAGGTAAAGAAATTGGGAGAGAGAGAATCCCAGAGAGAGAGCGGAAATCAAGAGTTGGACGCTTAACCAACTGAGTCATCCAGGTGCCTTTTCAGAAAGACATTTTAAATGCATAAAACCAAATATAAAAGATTACCAAAAAATGTTGAATACAGTATCAAATTAAAAGAAACAAATTTGCAGTATAGGAATATACGTTTAGTAACATAGATAAAAATGTATAATGGTAAGTCAAGTAACATTTTTGGAATAGTGATTAGCATAAATAATTCTTGGAGATATTAGCAACAACTGTGATGTAATACAAAAACTATAATTTCAGGGTCCCTGGGTGGCTCAATTGGTTAAGCGTTTGACTTCAGCTCAGGTCATGATCTCACAGTTTGTGAGTTAGAGCCCTGTGTTGGGCTCTGCTCTGACAGTGCAGAGCCTGCTTGGGGTTCTCTCTCTCCCCCTCTCTCTCCCTCTTTCCCTCTCTCTCTCTGCTACTTGCGCTCTCTCTCTCAAAATAAATTAATTAATTTAAAAAAACCCTATAATTTCTATTTCTTTTTTTAAAAAGGTTTATTGTTTTTATTTTTATATTCCTTTCAGAGCCAGAGCCCACCCCAGTTGGCTCAGAACCACAGCTTCATTTGTTTACAATTGCCAGCTATCATATTACATTCCTCAGGGTCCTTTCTAGGTAATCTGAAAAAGAAATGTATGTCAATGCTTAATAACATCTCAGTATGTTCCTTCCCCCATGTAATAGGGACATGACAAAGTTTATTTATCCTGGAAAGGTAATACAGGCATTTGGTACAAAATTCAAAGAGCAGAGAAGGGATTGAGGTAAAAATTAAGTCTTCCTCCTTCCCCAGGTCCTCAGTATAATTTCTATTTCTGATGAAGACCTAAGTACTACCAACGTTACTGTGGTTTGTTCCCTATGTTTATTATCAGAGGAAATGCTAAATTTTAGCTAGAGTTTAGTGCAAAGGGAGATGTAATTTTTTTTCTTCTAAATTCATGGACCCTTGATTTCTGTCTGTTGATATAATACCAAGGTTAAGAACCCCTGTAATAAGGGTGTATTTGGCATTGGAATTATGTATGTTTTAAAATAAAATGATTCTCTACTCCCTAAATTTTCTGAAATGTGGTTATATTACTTTTATAATAAAAATGTATACATAAGGAAGAAACAATTTAGGCTGTGTCTATATCCACATAAAATATTTTACAATATAGCCCACTTTAGACAACTGAACATTGTTTCAGCTGGGATTTCTCAAAGTGGGTTTTATGGAACACTAGCTCCATGGGTATTAATTACTTTAGGTAAAAACTGACAATTACAGTAACCACAAAACAAAGTGGAAGGTTGGGAACAGCACTTTAACACACTGAGACACATTCTTGCTACAGGGTTTCACATTGCCTTCATTTAATATGCTAGAGGGCATCGTGATTCTTCAAAGATCTCCAGTACAGCATTTCCCACGCTTTTTTAACCAGGATTTTTTTTTTCCTCCGCTTTTCTCAGCGTGTCTCATAGGATTGGTGTTCTTCAAAACTTTGGGAAAGCTACTAGGCACAAGGGAGCCACAAAAGCAAGTCTATTTGTCACGGATGAGAGAAGGGCCTTGATGCAGCAAGCATTCAAGGTAGAGCCAAAGGGCTGGGAATGATAATGCAAACAGCCTGGTAGACCCGCTGGAGGAAAAGTGTGAGAACCATGTGACAGGAGAGGTGCCACACAAAGATCCCAGGCCAGGCAATATCAGAAAGCAGTGTGCCAAGATCCCTTAAATTCTTAAACACTTCCACCAGCACAGGAAGTATGGAGATGTGTCCAAAAGGATAACTAGGAGCTGACATCCTTATTCTTTGCAATATCCAACTTACTCTGAGGCAGAAAAACAGGATCTTAGTCCTTGAATAAAACAATTTAGGGGCGCCTAGGTGGCTCAGTCAGCAGAGCATCTGACTTCAGCTTAGGTCATTATCTCATGGTTCATGAGTTCAAGCCCCACGTCAGATTCCCTGCTGTTAGTGCAGAGTCCGTTTCAGATCCTCTACCCCTCTCTCTTTCAGCTCCTCCCCTGTTCTCTCTCTCTCCCAAAAATAAATAAACATTAAAAACAAACAGTTCAGATATAGGTCAGGTGGTTGGAGCTAGGGATCAGACGAGGAGACTGGGTCACTGGTCTAGGTGGGGTCATTTCTTACTCTGCTCTGTCCCCTGGTATCTAGCACAGTCCCTGTCACCTATTGGGAATTGCTCAGGTCTGGCAGGTTAGAGCATGAGAGATCAAGGTGAGAAAGCTGGGGATCTGGTGGGATGTAGTTAGGGGGTCTTCTTAAAAGCCTAAGCATGAGTCTAAGGCAGATGGAAGACTTCAGAAATTCCCCCTTGCTCTGAGTCAATCCACTCTTGCTAAAGCTGAGTTCCTTGTGTGGCAATGACCCAGGTAAGTCAGGGGTTGGTCTGAACATACTGGAACTCTAGGCACTCACTCATCCGGTCTTGTGTGAGCTCCAATCACCTGGTCCAGACCCACAACCTACCAGACTGAAAGACCTTTCAGGTGTGATTGTCCGTATTCCCTGGGAGATCATAGATGCTAGAAGTGGTCTTAGAAAACTAGAAGTGGGATTACACTGTCCTGTTTTTCCAACAGGAGGAAGAAGCAAATTGTGGAAATTATATAGTGGGGAATATCAAGGTGCTAGCTGACAAAATCAGAATGGATTATTAATTTGTTGGTTGTGAGAACACAGAAAATAAAGAGGTGATTAGCAAGAGTTAGTATGGGTTTACTAAGAACAAATCTCGAGGACATTAAATTCTTTAGACTTTTTGGATAAGGGAACTCACTTTGTGGGAAATAACAGATAAGTTGTGTTTCCAAATTTCCAGGATGATAAGAATTATTTTTAAGTAAACAGATTACCCAGATTACCCAATTTTACCCAGAATTACTAAATTCTGATTTAGTTGGGCAGATTTGGGACCTAAGAATCTATGTTTTAATAGTGCCCCAATTATCCTTATCAATGTAATCTGATTTCTATATTACCTTTGAAATGGTCTTTCCTAAAGACCTGAATCTGAATCCTAGCTCTGCCATTAAGAGCTGGGTGGCTGTAAGAAAGCCACATAAGTGGATGGGACTCAGTTTTCTGGTCTATAAATGAAGAAGCTGAAGCAGATTCTGGAGAAATATGGGCTGCACTAGACAGAAGTAATAGTCACCTAAACTCCAGAAAGGTTCTGTAAGAAGGACCACAGGGCTCTCTGCTTGGTCATATGGCTCAAGGGCAACTTGGAAAGAAGGCACCATTTGAAAAACTGCTAATAAATACATTCGATATCAGAAAGTCCAAATCCACAAAGAACCTTGTACACTGTGATGACATGCCAAAACCAAGAAGAGCAAATTTAACAGAGATAAATGTGAGACTCCTGCCCATGAAAGATTAAAATCAACTGTCAAGCTGGAAAAATGGGGAGACCAGCCAAGGAACAGTCCATGTAAAAATCACTGAACTCTTTTTGTTTTCCACAAACTCAACACAAGCCCAGTGTGCGCTACAGAATCTTAAAAGCAAGAACAGTCCTACGCTGCATGAACTGAGGTATGAAGTCCAAGTTAAGAGCGGTGATGGCTTCACTGTCCTTGTGCTGTCAGACCCTATCTGGAGTATGGACTTGTTCTGGAAATCACATTTTAAGATCATCAAATTTAAGAATATCCAAAACATTCTTAATGAAAAGTGAAGAGTCTTAGCAACCATATCCTATGAGAAACAGTTGACACAACAAGAATGTTTAGTTTGGAGAAGAGAAAAGCTTGTGGGGAGACACATGCTAGCTCTCTAGATCTGGAATTAGTCTGTGCAGCTGCAGAAGGAAGAAGTAGTGCCAAGGAGTAGGAGGAACAGGAAGGAAGGCTGGGCTCAACATAAAGAAGACTTCTGAAATAGCACAATGTATTCATTTGTGAATTGGAGGCTGTATAAGTAACTGCAAGTGACTGCAGAGAATGGGAAAGGCAACAGCTACAACATTCAAACACATCTTGAAGACCACGGAGGTATGCACAGGGCAGCTGTGTCTACCTGGCAGTCAGAAGCAGGCAGTAGTTGCTGAATAAAGAAAACAACATGGAGGAACAGCGTTGTAGAAGAAAAAGCACCCTGTGTTGGGTAGTGAGTTACTGATGCAGCATCTGAGGAGGGCCAGGCATTAGGGAACACATGCTAATGTTTTAGGTGAACCACTTCTTAGCAAAGCCCATCAGCATAGATCCTGTGGCCTCTGGAACCCACATAAATGGCAGGCTTTCTGGAGCAGCTTTGAGAGCACAGACCTGACACAGGGAAACCTAGCAGAGGGCTCAAACTGGTGGCCCTCAGGGCTGACTTCACCTCCAGACCAGACTGGTTTGGCTGGTGCAGTGTTCTGAAAAGAATTTAATTAGAGCTGCTCATTTTTGAGGGCGTGCATGCTCCACTCCCGTCCTGGCTGCTTCCAACCGTCATACAGCCACCTGGCCCCTCATATTTATGTTTCTGCTTGACTCCTGAAGGTGGCGGGTTTTGCAACTCTTGGCCTACAGCCATGTGCCATCTTCAAACTGTGTGCCTCCAGGGAACACAAGGACTTCTAGGGATGTGTAGCTTCATACACTTTTAAAGGAATCAATTTCTAGATTCAGTATCTTCAACTTCCATGTGTACTTTTCAAAAAATGGGGCTGCCTGGAAAGAAGTTTATGGTCAGCTGGTTCTCCCTTCCCCAGCTCTTGTCCTAACTGTTCTTCCCTGTCTTTACAAAAAGAAAGTATTACTTTCATTTACCAATAAAAAAATCTGTGATGCATGAGATGAGATGAAAACCACCTATGGCAGCCAAGGATCACTGGACAATGCAGAGCTCCTGAGAGTCTTGAGAAGGGAAGGAGGGGGGCCATTTTATTCCATCTAGGCAACAAGAATGTTCAAGGCTATGTGCCTTTCTCGTTCTCTCTCTCTTTCCTAACTTCCTTTCTCTTCCTTTTGTCTGTCCACCTATCCATCTATCTTAGAATTAATATTCAAAAGTGTGATGGTTATCTTAGGGATAATACAATGTTTACTTGAATTAAAAAAAAAAATAAAGTCAGACTTTTTCTGACCAAACATCATCCGGCTGACTGGGCTGATTTCTTTGATAATGGGGACTGTTTTGTACATTATATTGGTATATAATCAATGTCATCTGTATTTACATATAATAAATATTATGTTTGAAAACATATCCTTTGTAACTATTTACACTTGTGATAAAATTTCTAATGTCAACTTAAAAATGTATGAAAGGGGGTAAACGTGTGAGAGATATAGCTTCTTTTCTTTTTTCCTTCAAAATTTTATTTAACTTCCGGTTAGTTAACATATAGTACTACATGGGTTTCGGGAGAGGAAAGTTTTTCAAAAATCTTTTAAGGGGTACTTGAGCCAAAAAAAGTTTTGATGAGCATAGTTCTAGAGGATCCATGGTAATCCTGAGCCTCTCCAATCAGGACAAACTTGATCAGCATGGATCTCTGGGATGGATTGGTTTGGGGCACTTTCTGTAAATATCTGTTTTTCTGTTCAGAAGGGTAAGTCTAAAGATGATACAGCCTCCAGCCTCACAGTTTCCTCTCCTGCCCTCAGGGCATCTGGAGTAACTGGGCATACCACGAACCACTGACTTTACTAGGTGATATAACATAAGCTCCTAACTCAGCCTGGACTTTGGGCCCTCTGGAATCACACTGCAGGTGAGCTGGACAGCCTGGGGACTGCCTGGTACTTACTCAGCAGATGACAAGATTCTTGAAGGGCCCCTCAGGGAAGCAGTAATGTTCTAGAATGGCAAGAAATACTGGAAACATGGCCCGAGATGTGGGACAATGAGTTTCCAGAGTGTTCTGCAATTCTGGCAGGGGTCCCATGATTCACTTTAGGAAAGATTTTGTGAGATTTTAGTGTTAGAAGAATCCTGTGTTCTCGTTACTTTCACATTCCCATATTATAGAGGAAGAAATGGAGGCCCAGAAGACTGACTGACCCATGGTCCCGTGGCTGGTCTGTGACAGAGCCAGTGACTAAACACTGATATCTCAGCTCCATATCTAACACTCTTTCTCTAGTTTCATTCTATATATCACTTGGCTTTAAACTCAGGCCCTTCCCTGTGAGTTCTACAAATTAGGGTTTTTAGAAGGCTTGATGAATGTCCCAAATGGACTACTCAACTAGGTCAAACTGGATACTTGCCTCAGTTTGACTTGGCATTTTTTATTAATGACTTTGGACAAAGTCTCCAAACGTGCTGGACTCACAGAACCCTTCTGCTGACTTTTCTGCTCTCTGGAAGCTTCTGAAGCAGGATTGTAACAGGGTCTGGAGGCTTGGAGGTGATGGCACAGACAGAAATTAAGAGCCATTGGCCACTACCTAGGGTGAGCTCTGGATCGTCCCCGCTGCTGAAACGGCACCACTGTACTGAGCTTCGTGCAGCAACTCCTGGTTGTTAAGTTTCAAAAGTGGTGTTTCAGGGTCAATAATAAAGACAGAGGCCTAAATAGGACAGAGAGCTTTGGCAGCTGTCATTCTGTGTGATAAGTGCAACCTGGCTGTGGAGCAACACAGAATTCTTCATGGATCCTTGGTCTGAAGGCTCTGGACACAAGCAGGTCTGTGATACTTGGGGAGGATGTCTCTGTGGGTGAGGCAGGTATGGGAGTGCCCTGGAGTCCACAAGCCACAGCAATACATTGTGCCAACTTCCATGCTGAAACCACAGGGCTTCTAGTATTGGGATTCCACTGCTGACTTCAGAAGTCATAGCCCCTGGTCCAAGTGCTCTCCCTACAGGGCAGGGGGCTCTCCCTAAAGGTGGGGGGTTCTCCATACAGGGGTGCTTTACCTACAGGGAACTGTAGCAACTACTTTGGGATTGACAGCAATGAAGTCCAGGTCTAGAGACAAGAGTCATACATTGTCCCACTCACAGTAATTTAAGTAATGAGGTACATTCTACATGAGAAATTAATTTCATGACTTAAAATTCTAGGTGAGTAGGAGGGCAGTATTTATTAGTCTAGTAAAGAGAAAGTCAAAATTCAAATGTATCATTCCAGGAAACTCAATTGTCAAAGAACTGGTTACCCTGCAGTTCATCTGAAAGGTCAGAATAACATTGATTTCTTTGTTCTGGGCACACAGCATACCCATAGCCTCTATAATAAGAGGAGAATACCTTTTGCTTTAAGATATCCACTGGCGTCTGGTGGGCTTTCAGCTTCTTATTTTTAAGAAGCACTTTCTTCCTAAGTTGGTCGGGTGAGGGAAGCATTGGGTCATCTGAGAAATCGCTCTCAAACAGGAACTTAGACACCAGTTTTTCTCCAAACACACTCTGAAATGAATAACGGAAAACACATGATCAGTGCCTCTTACCTACGCTTGGATTATTCAACTAGATATTTCAGCTCAGTTGAATTGTTCTGCAAATCTTAGGAAGAGAAAGTAGGAAAGAAGTGGTGTCCCTCCTCCCCGCCAACAGTTTCTTACTGGTAGGAAGAGAGGTGGTTAGAAGATCAGGGAGGAGAGGTCTAGGCCATTCCCCAGGTGGGACGAGCTCCAACTATTTAGGAAGGTCTTCTAGGGTCTGATATACTGAGAAAGAAAAGGAGATTCAATTCGAGGCCATGGTTTGTAGAATATGATCTGTTCCAGATGTGGGTTAGATGTTAAAAGGATAGAAACCTTGAGGTAGGTAGGGAGTGGGCACGAAGTTGAGAGATAATGGGGAGAATGTGCTGCACTGTCTTCTCACAAAGATTTTATGAGCATTGGCCTCTGAAGGGGAATGTGTATCCTCAAGGAGGTGGGCGGTGGGAGTAGGCGCAAGACGATCCACTGGGGTGAGGGTAGAAGATAGGGCAGTTTCTAATTCTAGTAAACTTTTAACTAAAAAAGAACAAAAATGGAAGCTTATTAGTGTTTGATGTACCTCTGCCTCATTAATGGAATTGAAAAATGAGTACCATCATTTGGCAAGAACACCTCTTCCATCTGCTCACATGTTTCTTTGTGAGGTGTCTTTATCAGCTACTATAGCCATTAAAATCAAATACCGAAATAACAGACTAAACTTAAAACCAGACATACAAGTCACAGATCATAAAAATTTTTTAAATAATGAATGTCTTCAATCACATTACTCCCACTGAAAACAGTAATAAATTTACTGTTAAAATTTTTATGAGAGTAAAAAGGGATTTTGTACCATTAATAAAACACAGTATAAGAATTATTTTTACTTCATCATTTTAATGTAATTTCCTTTCATATTCTACGTTGACATGTTTTATTAATGTGTAAAATATGTTAATGAGTAGGATATGTATACATTTTATGAATAAGTCAATAAACATACAATAGGAATACATACTACAGTATTTTACTGATGGAGTATACAATTAAAAAAATTGAGGGGATGCCTGAGTGGCTCACTAGGTTAAGTGTCTGACTCTTGTTTTTGATTCAGGTCATGATCTCAGGGTCGTGAAACTGAGCTCTGTGTAGGGCTCTGCACTGGGTGTGGAGCCTGCTTAAGATTCTGATTCTCTCTCCCTCTCTCCCCGCCCCCAAACCCTCCCTACCACTCACACACAGGCACACACTCTCCTCCCTTTCTTAAAAAAAAAAAAAAAAGTTGAGACCATTATTCTAAATGATGGCCAAAAAAAAAAAAAAAAAGCTAATTAGTTTTGTTGGCATAAGTATTGGGGGACATTTTCCTCTGTCCAAACCCCTTCCTCCTCCTGAGAGCCATATTTCCAGAAATGCCTCACCCAGTGGAGGAAGGGAAAAGTATAATGGAATATCTGCCCCTAAATCTGTCTGCATGATAGTTTGCCTGTATAAGGAAGAACCAAGTAGTAACACAGCAACTGTTCTGGTTGGTCTAAGCTCTTTGCCAACTTGGATCCTTCTATCTGTAGTATTAGACACTGGAAAATTTTATTTATTTGCCTTGAGATATTTTCAGTTTTCCACATACAACTGATAGGTGACATCCTAGCATTCCTGATTTGTGGTACCAGAAGCACTGGAGAGCTGGTCTCTCCTTACCTCCTAAGAATTTCTGGAAATGGTCAGAAGACCATAGAACAATGCTTCTATTACTTCAGGTGAAAAGATGGACTGTTCAAGAGAAAGTCCAAGTTCCCATGGCACCTGCATTTCTTAGGTCTGAGGGACCCTAATTGTATGTGCTTCATGGCTGAGGTTCAGCTATGATATGGTCCATGTGGCTCCACATAAAAGCAACAGTTACAAGACAAAGGCCAAGACACCGTCCTGCCTCTTAGCTAATAGCTTACCTTGAAAATTTCTGCCATTTTTCGTTGCTGAGGCAATGAGCAGTGGTTCTCAATCGATATGATGATGGGCAGGTCAGAGTTGACAAAGGCACTACGATCAATGGCTTCAACCACCTCCTACGGAAGCCAGAACAGGTCATTAGAGTCCAGACATCTTCCAAGGTATCAGAAGGGGCCAGTTACTTACAGCCACAGAGAGCATCTAAATTGTTGTATTGGAAGATTCTAGCCAAAATGGTTTTATCTTTTCAAATGTATTTTCAAATTAAGCAAGATGATAGGCTGTTTTCTATGAACCCATTAAACTGTTCATATTGAGTTTTGTTCACATACTTTATAAGGAAGAGCTATTAGTATGCCAAATCTAACAAATCAGTATGTATACTGATTACATTATAGGTAAAAGGCATTGTGTTGGTTACAGCATCAAAAATGATAAGGCTTAAGATACTTTCCTGTTTTCAAGGAATTTGTAGTAAATCTACCTGGGGCAGTAAGACATATATACATATACTTATGTGTGCATGTAAACACAGTTATCAAATCCTTCTTCTGTGAATATAGAGTACAAAAGTTTCAGGAGAGATTAATAGGAAGATGAGCTAAAGAGAAAATGCATTTTAGCTATCCTCTCTACATATAAGACAGAAATAATAGTATTCCATCCCAGTCTGGCCACAGTTCAGAGAAAAATGATTTTACACAGCCCAAAACATCTGAATGAGGATAGTGATTGCACAATTCGAAACAGTGATCCAATGAGACTAGTCTTCCTGGGTGACCGACCTCCCCAAGTGGAACCAATTCTCATTACTTTATAATATCATTTAATAATCTCTCAACACATTATGCTGGTCTTTGTCAGCAGGACACCAGGATAAAAACACTTTTAACTCCTGTAGCAAGAGAAAAGCCCCGGCCTTTTACATATCATTTTATGATATAAAATTTGCAACAATAATTGCAAGGTAATTCATTTAAGGTCCTGGCTGTTAAGCTCTGGTTGAGTGAGAACTTAATGGGAGTTCTAGATCAACTCCTAGAAGGAAGAACATGTGTACGTCCCATACAGTCTCAGGAAGTCTACAGACTTGGGACAAGGACCCCCAGCGTAAGGCGTGATTTGGAGAGCCACTCACTGGAAAGGTGCACAAAGACAGTGACTCTGCAATCGGGTTTAGGGAGTGCTAGGAAACATTACCTTGAAGGGGATCTTGGTTGTCAGCGTGTGTCCGTGATAGATGATGGGCAATCCATCGTCTCCGTCCCAACAATCCAGCTCTATGCTCCTACAGCCTTGCAGGAGGACCTGTGTGATCAATGAATGCATCCACCCCACGTGAGCAAAAGGACACAGAGCCTCAGATGCAACCCAGCACATGCTTCTACCTATCAGTGTTCACATTCAGAACTAAAGCAGGAGGGTGTTAAGATCTAAAATAAATCTTGCATTTGGGCCAAAAGCTGCAATTCATTAGGGGAGACAACAGATGATGGTGGAAAACATGTTTTCCAAAGCTGAATACTATCAGAAGGTAAAATTTGATAGCAAAACCATAGGACTATTTCCCCAGAGACTTTAGTCCCTTGAGGGACCTACATAAGGTACATCCTGAAATGAGAGCGTCAGGCCAGTGCTCTACCAGGGCAAATATCGGTGAAGATGAAGGGGCTGATGTTGCAGCCCAAAGGAAATGAGGCCACTGATTCCTTAATGACCTGGCTAAATTTTGCACAAATCCAATCAGAATAAAATCCCCTCCATTTAGACCCAAATTCTTCTACCAGCTAATGCCTTCACTAGGAACACATAGCATGCTAAGACTAGAAGCAAGCAGTCCTCAAGGATTTGCCTTGCTGTCTGATCCTAGAAGAGAGGCAAATAATGCACAAACTGCCCTTTCCCATACGCACAGCATCATTCAGTAACCAATCACAACACCCTTGCCCCTTAAGCTTTGATATGTTTATCTCATAACCTCTTCTGGGAAGTGCTCCAGGAAATTAGATGAGAATTAGACGAGATGACACCTATTTGATATCCCGGATGTAGAGCTGGAAGCAGAGCTCCTGACATGTGCTCGGGCTGCAACTCTGTAATATTTGCTTGGAGCAACCTCTTCCTCTATAGTCTCTATTGTGAACTATCTTAAAAGATTTCCATGTATTGGAAGGGCAAAGTACACCCAGAGGTGGATGTATCTGCGAATGGGCCAACTCACTGATTTAAAACTCCATATAATTATTTCCATGTGGTAAGGATCCATCCAATACTGGGGTGAGTGGCCACTAGAGTTGTTGCAAGAAAACTCAGATAGTGGAATCCTTCGTATTTTAATATTTTTTATGACGTCTTTGCTAGATTCTTCCATCCCACAGCATGTAGCACCAATCTTCCCAGATGACCTATCTCCCAGGTGGAACCAATTCTGCAGCCCCCCAAGGCTGTCAGCTTCTTCCAACACCTGAAGTATCTAGAGGCATGTTGCTTTGGGCTAAGGATGGCTGTATCATGACAGCAGGAGCAGGAGGCTGCTTCCTGTCTGTGGTGAGTCATGCTGGGAAGAACACTCACTGACTGGCAGCAGATGAGACGGTTTTTCAGCAGGCAGAGACTAAAGGTCTTTATGAAAGTCTATATGATATTAAGACCTCCACATACAGCTAGAAAAAGAAAACCAGGGCTTGAAATTCCAGGTGGGAATAGGGTTTTTTCTCACTTCCGATCTGTCCCAGGGAGTAAGGCGAGGAGACAGCTAGGAGGCTGAGGGAGAGCAGAGTGCTAAGAAATAAAGGACAAGGGATCTTCACACTAGGTTTAACCACGTCTCTGAGTCTAGTTGAGGGGCTCTTGTGTCTCATTCGAAGTCTGTAACTATCTCTTATTGAGGTGGAATGTTAAGGAGTTAGAAAAAAACCTCTTTGAGGTCAAATAGGGAATTAAATCAAATAGGGAATTCCTATTTGACCTCAAATAGGAATTAAAGCTAGGACATTGGCTCCGGCTCCTGCTCATTCATTTTCCTGGGAGAAATACACACACACACACACACACACACACACACACACGCACACTTCATTTCTTTCCCTTATAACTAGAACAATAGATTTCAAACTCCTTTTAACCTTGGAATTCTCTGTGCAAATGGAGGGTCATAGGTAAACACATAAAAAGAACAGGACTTTAGCTGCAGTGGGGGTAGGAGGTGCAGCTTTCCTACTCTGCTGCTTTCTTATCTCAGTGTCCTCAGCCGAGGTCCCTGGACAGAGCACCTAGTTTGAAAATCACTACTCTAGGGACACATCTTCATTTCATAAGAAAAGTACTTTAGGGGCACCTGGGTGTCTCAGTCGGTTAAGTGTCTGACTTTGGCTCAGGTCATGATCTCACGGTTTGTGAGTTTGAGCCCCACATCAGGCTGTCTGCTGTCAGCACAGAGCCTCCTTCTGACCCTCTGTTACTGTCTCTCTCTGCCCCTCCCCTGCTTGCTCATGTGCACACACTCTCAAAAATAAATAAACAGTTAAAGTACTTTAGATTTTTAGAGTTTAAAATACATATTCCTTAGTAGATAGGCTTTGGGGCAGAAGTTTGACCCATGCTTGAGGAATATCTGGACTAATCAGGAGAACGATCAGCTCTGCTGGGTTTCTGGAAACAATGATAATTTTCACACTTGAACATCCTCCCACCACCACACATTTCTATTCGCTGAGCCTAGGTTAGCTTCCTCCTGATGAACTCTTCTAGTAGGAGGTCAGAAAACAAGCAGCATAGATGAGAAGTTGCAGAAAATTTATCAGACAACTGACATGCAGATCATTGAGAGCTTGTGTTTAGGTCAAACGGATGTGCTTTTTCTAGTCCAGAGACCCTTCTAAGTTTCCAAGAACATTCCCATGAATTTAAGTGTGTAGGGACAGTGTCCACAGTCTTTGCAGATTTTTGTTCCTTAAGTTGGTTACCATAGGGATGGATTGATTGTCTAACAAACTGCAAATGAAAATAAACAATATTTTGGGAATAACTTCATAGACAGTTGCATTTTCTATTATGCTTTCCCACTATAATGTATTGATTTATTTAGCATTTAGTGAAACGATCAGATAATTTTCCCATGGGAAAATCTAATTATAGTAGGAGTAGGTCAGACTAACTAGGATTTAAAAGCTATGAGTCTCAAACAAATACTTTTTTTGTGTGCCTAGGATAAAGGTTAAGTATAGATAGGAGGAAGAAAGAAAACAAAAAGAAATAGACAAAACTACAGTGTGTATAGGCAGTTTTCCCACACATCATGTTTCCTCACATTTCACACATAATAGTTTGTAAGTTCTTCAAAGGAGTGAAAAATTAGGTTTTTTGTGAATTACAGTAATGAAGTTTAATGGAAACCCCACCCCACGTGGAGTTCTGTACCTGGCTGTAGAGTTCTACTGAGGACTCTCCTTTGAGCTGGTGGCCTGTGAGGTAGGTATTGTGTGAAGATTCAATGTAATAGTAGGAGAGAGGCAGCTGCAGTTCTTTTACGTTTTCCTGTGACTCATCATTTTTGGAGGCGAAATTATCTTTATCCATCAGAAACCTAGAGAAAACCAAATTTTCTTAGGACTGCGTGGGTAAAATATGTACTCTTAAATGATGGGCAATAGGTATTTTAAAGGTTACCTTGCAAATCCTTCAAATGACAGTAGACCCTGATGACACATGCTAACGCTAGGCTCAAACTTCTGCAAGGGACACAAAAAGAGTGTTATTTAGGTAAAGGAAACTAAGGGAAAAAAACCCCAGCACATCATTTTTTAAAGCTGTTCTGTTTTCATCAGGAAGCATCTAAACCAAATATTTGAACTAATTTAGTTATGTAATGGTAAGAGGTAGTTTTTTAGTCCCAAAGAAAACATTTATTATATGTGCGTTTATTATATGAAGCATATTTATTTAAGAGAAAAAGGGAGCGTGAGGGGGAAGAATACAGTTCACATGAAAACAAATGGTTACTGGAATATCCAGGTGAAAATGTAGATAATAATAGCAGCTCCTGGCAGAGCTAGTGAGAGGCAAAATGATGATTCATAGAGAACACTTAGGACAATGCTCGTACTCAACAACAGTGTAGTGAGAACCCAATCATGTGACCATCATCTTATGTCACTAGCATTTCCGGTAATCAACTGCTGGATAGAGAATCCACTGATTCCCCCATCAGTTGATGAGGGAGGTTGAAAACCTAGACTGACCCTGCAGCATGTGACGTGGCCATCATGAGTGTGCTACTCCATGTCCTACCACCCTCTAGTGGAAGCTATCATCATATCTTGCCTGGGTTACTGTGACAGCTTCCCACCTGGTCTCTCTGCTTCCACTCCATCCCCAGCACAGTTCATTTTCCAATGGGGCCAGAGTGACCTCTTGAAAACATATATCAAACTATGTTACTCCCCTGCTCAAAAATTCCCAATAGCTTCCCATGTCACACAGACTAAAGTCAAACTCCTCACCATGGCCTAAAATGCCCAGGCCCTGCCTACCTGTCTGGTGTCATGTCTACCATTGTGCCTCTGGCTTATGTGGCTCCCACTACACTAGCCTTTTAGTTGTCTCGCTCCGGCCTTGGTCTTTGAGCTTGCTCCTCTTGGTCTGGAATTCTCTTTCTGCAGACTTTCACGTAGCTTATTGATTCAGGGCTCATCCCCACTGTCACCTCCTCAGGGTGGCCTGTGCTTACCACTCTCAGCCTTCCACATCACTACATCCCCTTACTCTGCTTTATTTTTTCAGAACCCATGAATATCTGAAATTACATTCTCTCTGTATTTGTCTATTGTCTGCCTCACCCACTAGGTGAAGGCCAGAATGTGATCTTATTTACTACTATATTCTAGGTCCTGGAACAGAGTCATAGAAGGAGTTAATAAATACTCATTAAATGTTCACAGTTGAAAACCTAGACTACTAGTTTTATTACGTGCCAGAACAACAAGAAGGAATCATCTACTGATTCCTTATAATAGTCACTAAGAGAAGGCTTGAGATCTATGATACTTATATGTTCAATAAGAACACTTATTTGATATTAAACAAAGCCCCTCTGTTTCTGTCCCAGACTAGAAGGTTTTGGAAAGAAGTATAGACACAGTGTGTTTAGCAGAAAATTATTAGAATAGTCAGAGGCTCTGCACAGACGTGCATATGAAATGGGTACAAACCTGGATGATGCTGAGGATCTCATCATAAGTGCAGTGCTCTCCTTGGCAGTTCACTAGGAAGTCATTGAGCTGGAGGATGCCAACCCCAAACACGCCCAAGGATGTACTCTCAACCCCAGTGCCATTTGTGACGATGCTTGCAGCAGCAATGGCATCAGATATCTGCCGCTGGTTGTCTGACAGCTGCTGTTTACTCTTAATGAATAACCCCAAATCCGAGACATTTCTGGTCAATAAATCTGAAACAGAACCACCCACAGAACATGAACAAGCTAGCCAGAATCTTTCACGAAGTTCATTTTGGAGATAATGGCTGTGGAATTGGTAGGCTGTAGAAGATCTTCACTGATCTGTCTAAACAAGCGATCCAACTCTGTGCTTACTCATGGATTCACATAGTTGAAGGAACAAAAAACGAATCAATGAATAAGAAAAAGACACTAAGAGAGAATGAGGTCAATAATCTTGAAAGCCTATGAGCTCAGGGTATTAGATGAGAACTAAATGTACATTCAGTTGGGGACTTGAGGCTGAATTTGAACTTTGGTTTTTGAGGATTACATTTTTGCTTTTAGAGACAATGAAGGTGTACCCTTAAAATTACAGTTTTTTTGAACTTCAAGAGTGTAATTATAAGCATTTGTGTGCAGGCTTCAGGGTGAAAATAAGTTTTCAACTTATTTGGGTAAATATCAAGGAATAAAATTGCTGGATTGTATGGTAAGAGTGTATTAAGTTTTGTAAGAAACTGCCAAACTCTTTTCCAAAGTGGCTGTGCCACTTTACCTTTTGACCAGCAATGCTTCGCATTGGCACCACATTTATGGCCATTTATTTTGATTCTTGCCACTTTGGAAGAGAAACTGGCAGTTTCTTACGGGGTTAAACACAGGCTTACCCATACGATTTAGCAACTGCATTCCCAGGCGTTTACCCAAAGGAGTCGAAAACTTATGTCCACACAAAAACGTGCATATAGATATTTATAGTAGTTTCATTCATAAAACTACTAAAAAGTTTCATTACTAAAACTCTGAAGCAACCAAGATGTCCTTCAAAAAGTGAATGGATAAACAGCAGTACATATACACAATGGAGTATTATTCAGTGACAAAAAGAAATGAGCTACTGAGCTGTGAAAAAACATAGGGGAACCTTAAACACATACAGCTAAGAGAAAGAAGCCAATCTGAAAAGACTATATACAAACTATGATTCCATCCATATGACATTCTTGGAAAGAAAGAACTATGGGGACAGTAAAAAGGGATTCAGAGGAAGATGGGAAGAATGGAAACATGGGGAACAGGGGATTTTTAAGACATTGAAAGTATTTTGTATGATATTGTAATGGTAGATCCATGTCATTATGCTTATGTCAAAGCCCATAGCATGTACAACACACACAGTGAACACTGAACTATGGACTTCAGTTATTAATACTATGTCAGTATCAGTTCAACTGTCACATACCACACTAATGCAAGATATTAATAATAGGAAAAATAGTGTATGTTGGGGAAAGGAGGATATGGTTGACTCTTAAACAGCATGGGTTTGAACTGTGTGGATCCACGGATGCAGATCTTTTCTATAAACAGTGTAATACCATAAGTGTATTTTCTCTTCCTTATAGTTTTCTTAATGTCTTTTCTCTATCTTCCTTTATTATAACAATATAGTGTATAACACATATAATATACACACAAAATATGGATTGATCAACTGTTATTGTTATGTTATCATTAAGGGTTTTGGCCAAGAGCAGGCTATTAGTAGTTAAGTTTGGGGGAGCCAAAAATTAACCCTTTGGATATTTGACTGCATGGGGGATTGGAATCCCTAACCCTTGCCTTGTTCCAGGGTGAACTATATATGGGAACTCTCTGTACTTTCCAATAATTTTTTGTAAACCTAAAACTGCTCCAAAAATTAATGTCTATTAATTTTTTAAGCACTTGTGTGGCTCAGTCGGTTAAGTATTTGACTATGGTTCAGGTCATGATCTTGTGGTGTGGGTTTGAGCCCCACGTCAGGCTCTGTGCTGACATCTCAGAGTCTGGAGCCTGCTTCCGATTCTGTCTCCCTCTCTCTTTGCTCTTCCTCCACTTACATTGTCTCTCTCTCTCTGTCTCTCAAAAATAAATAAACATTAAAAAAATTTTAACAAGTACAGCTACTTGACTAATCCGTAGTTATGTACATTTTATGACTAAAGTTGAAAAGGTGAATTTTCTTAGTTGAGGACAATATAAGTTTTTAAGTAATAAAAAAGCAATGGTAAGAGGACAGTTTCTTTTGCTTTTACTTTTTTGTGTTTCTAGTTGTCAGCAAGAATGGAAGAGAAATATAATAGGCTGACAATGCATTAGTGATTATGACAGAATAGAATTTTTGATGTGGTTGGTGATGGTGGTAGCGGTGAGGCGACAAAGGAGGCAGACATCCTGGTTTACCTACTGCCCTGGAGTGCTCTGCTCAGGTAACTAAGGAGTCTCTTAGTCAAAGGACAGACAACTTCCACCCTGGGGTTGAGCACCTGTTGGCCTGCAGTCAGGGAGGAGATGGGTAGTGTACCACGCACCTAGTGGACATGTGGACACAGGTGGGAGGTTTTCAGTTGACAGAATGATTGGGAGGCTCTATTGATTAAATATTCTGGAATGCATACAGACACAGGCCATGATGCATTTCCTTGCCGAAAATGCCAGCAGCTCCTACCCCCGACACACCGTGAAACAATCCTCAAAGTGTTTCATCACTCTGCAGAGAACAGCATGCCACGTGGGACGGGCTGAGGGTTTGTGTGACTGGATCTCTCATCTTCGTTTTTAGAAAAAAAGGTCCTAACAGGAAATATGAACTTGTTACACAAACCTAGGTCAGGCTGAAGATCGCTGGTGTTTTCGTCAATTGTTAGGTTGGTGTAGAGTGGCACTGACTCAGAGCCGGCTCGGTTGCAGGGCACAGCGTAGACATCGAAGAGATCCTTCAGGTCTTTGCGGCTCCTCACACTGGGCGAGGAGTGGAAAACACTCATGTTTACTATTGTTACAAAGATGGGGGGCTGAGAAAGGGCAGGAAGAAAGCATGCCGTACCTGAATGATTTGAACAGCTCAACAAATTCAACAAAGCTCATGTTACTATCTGAGACCATGAAGCTCTGGAAACCCTTCATTCCGCCTTTGATCCGCCCGTGCCAGCTGCTGCTGCTCCAAGCACTGCAACAAAGACATGGCCTTAACAGACATTGTCATTGTGCCTTGGATACGTCCTCTGATGGCCATATGAGCAAAGAGATCGACTGCAGGTCATTCAGGAGTTAGACTATCCTCCAGACTTTCTTTTCAGTTCTCTCAAAATTAATCTATAGTGTGTCAGAGCAAACATATCCTACAGTGAAACCTCTTCATGTTTACAGCCTACTCAATAGGGCCATGAGGGTAATGTTCCTCTACTAATTAACACAGTTCTTCAGAATCACAGGTCTATGGGGGAAAGATAACTTAAATTCAATGTTTCTGAAGAAAACCCCTTTTTTTCCCCAAAACTGTCCCAAATTACTCAAGCATAACCTATGGAAGATTATGCATGTTCTTTCCTATATTCTAAAGTATAGAAACACATTGGAGAAGAAAATCCATATCAATGTTTTCTCTTTTTCCTTTCTTCACCAGTTATTAGATGAAAACAAGGAAGGACTTTTTATATTAACGGAAAATGTGAGTCACAAAAATATTAAGAATGGAAGGAAGCCAACTCTGCCTAGAATATATCTGCACCTGCCAAGGCTGTGTATTCAATATAAAAATACCAGACAACTCGGTCAAAAACTCATTCTAGCTGTTTCACAACATTTTTATTTTCCATCCTGGTTCCCTGACAAGATAGTATATGAAATGTTTTGACTGGTTTTTAGTTAAATCAATAAACAGGATCTTCCTTTTTTTTCCCCTTTTGTTTTTTGTGCTTTATTTTATTGTTTTGACTTTTGAAATGCTTCAAATATATAAGAAGTATAGAGAATGTTGTTATGAATAGCCAGTTTATCCTCAATCTTGCTAATAGTGTTTATTCATGGAAAATTACTTTGCGTTGACATCTGAAGGTCACCTCTATACATGGACGAAAAGTACAAAAGGATGGATTTACAGTTCTTTTGTAGGCATGGGTTGTTGATCCCCCGTGGTGTTGGAAACAGAGGGTGGAGGTTCAGGAAGATGAAAAAGTCAGACGAGTGGCTTATCACTTGCACTTAAGCAAATACATTCCCTGTCTTCCTCCTGTCTACTTCCAGGTCAGCCGCTGTCTGCAGGAACCTTTAGGAAACTCGGTCCACTCTCTCCCTTTCTAGGGCTTAGCCTTGCCTTTTCCTTGAACAGCATTCAGGGTGATTTTTCTTCCTTGCCTTGTCTTTTCTTTCTGTTGTAGTTTACTCAGTGGGCACTGATTTCTGTCTTCCTGGGGGAGGACCCTGTGATCCTACATCTGGCATGTTAGTTCTGCCTCTTGGAGAAGATTTTCCTCCCTTCCTCTGTCCTTCTCTTTCCTGCTCCTGAGTGATGTAAATAAAGCGAAAGCCACTTAATCTAAGTTCTCCGGCTCTTTTATTTACTCAGGACACTGAACAGGCTGAAATATCACGTAAAGAATTCTGATTCTTTGTAGCTCTTAATTTTGTTACAAACCTAAGCTTATGGAAAAGTTGGAAGAGTAGTACAAAGAATTCCCATGTACCTTTGACCCAGTTTCACCGAGTATAGAAATCTGAATGTATAAGGCATAAATTATGTTTATTATTCATATTGTAAAAGAATGCTTCCCTTTAAAAGATGATTTACTGTAGGGTTCTTATCAGTAGCAAACTTCCTTCAGAGAGTCAGAAAGTGTGTATGTGTAATTAACGTTTCCAAAGCCAGTGTCTGCACAGACCCATTTCTTCCTCCAATCCCTCTGATAAAGTAAAGAATGCCTGTTTTATCTTGGTTCTGTGTGAACCTCTGCATTTCTTAAACTTTTTGAGGGGTCGAGGGAGATGGTGTGGCATTCTAATTCCTTTGGAAAGCTTTCATGTTAATATTATTTCTTCTCAGGGGGTAGATGTTGTTTCAAATCTGTAATTTACATGGCCTTTATAAATAATTTACTATAATACCACCTTTAGAATTACACCGAACATGCCTAACTTGCTATAATACATTCATCTTTATAGACAAGTATTTTGCCTTATATATGAGATGATATGGAATATATTTCCCTGTCAGCAAAGGGTAAAGTAGCTTCTATTCAAACTTAATTTATTCCTCAGAACAGTGCTATCCAATAGAAGTTTTGGCAATGATAGAAGTGCTCTATATCTGCACTGTTCAGCATAGTGGCCACTGGCCACTTGTAGCTATGAAACACTTTTAATGTGCATAGTGTGACTGAGGAACTGAATTTTAAGTTTTCTTTAATTTTAATAGATTTAAAATTGAATTTAAATAGCCATTATTATTCCCCTAAGCCCCACCCCACCGCTATTATATTTGACAAAGCAACTTTAGAAAATCATAGATTGGGTAATGTTAGTGCTACTGACCTTTGAAGGATTAGTCTGTCAAATAGTTAGGAATAATTATAGTCATATGAGAAGGTAGGAGTGTAAAATCAGGAAAATTGGAAGCATTAAAAAATTTTGGGGTTTTCAGTTTTCAATGTAATTGTTAACTCAAAATCAGAGTCTTTCCACAGAGCACTGGAAGATGCCCTTCTAACACAACTTGAATGATATGAAGGGTCCTTCTGTTTTATCATGTTAAGGCCCCACCTGGACGGGCTCTTGTTTGAAGAAGACAGCACAGGGGAAGACACTGGCCTGTTGGGGGATGATGTGCCGGTGGACAAGTTAGGGGACCCAGCCGTGGTCAAAGAGTGGGCTCTTCTGGAAGGCAGAGTGTTAGGAGGGCTCATGATGGCATTTGCCTCTGGAAGAGAGAGAGACAGAAATGAGACAATGACGCCACATTATCCTTTCCCTAGAGTTCAAAGAAAAGCCAAAGATGCTTTTGAATGTCTGAGCAAATCAATTTATGCAGGCAATCTCTATACAAGAAACCTCAAAATAGGCTGATGAATGAACTAATGTGGGTTCTCAACCTTGGTTGCATTACTGGAATCATTTGGGGAACTTAAAAATATAGAGATATTAGGGTCCTAGTCAGAGGATGTTGGAATCAGTTAGGTTGGGGTGTGGCCAGGAGATCCAGATATTTACTTTATTTATTTATTTATTTATTTTTAACGTTTATTTATTTTTGAAAGAGAGAGACAAAGCATGAGTGGGGGAGGGGTAGCAAGAGGGGGAGACACAGAATCCAAAACAGGCTCTGGGCTCTGAGCTGTCAGCACAGAGCCCAACACAGGGCTTGTACCCACAAACCATGAGATCCTGACCTGAACCAAAGTCAGATACCTAACTGACTGAGCCACCCAGGCACCCCCCAGATCATTTATTTATTTATTTATTTAACATTATTATTTTTTAATTTAAATCCAAGTTAGTTAACATATAGTGTAATAATGATTTCAGAAATAGAATTTAGTGATTCATCACTTACATATAACACCCAGTGCTCATCCCAACAAGTGGCCTCCTTAATGCCTCTTGCCCATTTAGGCCATCCCCCACTAACACCCCTCCAGCAACCCTCAGTTTGTTCTCTGTATTTAAGAGTCTCTTATGGTTTGTCTCCCTCTCTGTTCTTATATTATTTTTGCTTCCCTTCCCTTATGTTTATTTTTATTGTATCTTAAATTCCACATATGAGTGAAATCATATGATATTTGCCTTTTTCTGACTGAATCATTTCACTTAGCATAATACACTCTAGTTCTATCCATGTTGTTGCAATGGCAAGAATTCATTCTTTTTAACTGCCAAGTAATATTCCATTGTTTATCTATATCTATCTATATCTATCTATCTATATCTATCTATCTATCTATCTATCTGTCTATATCTATCTATCTATCTATCTATTTATCTATCTATACCATATCTTCTTTTTTTTTTTTTTTTAAATGTTTTATTTATTTCTAGGAGAGAGAGAGAGAGAGAGACAGCGCGAGCTGGGGAGGGTCAGAGAGAGAGGGAGTCACAGATTGAAACAGGCTCCAGGCTCTGAGCTGGCAGTCAGCACAGAGCCCGACGCGGGGCTCGAACCCACGAACTGCGAGATCATGACCTAAGCGAAAGTCGGACGCTCAACCGATTAAGCCACCCAGGCGCCCTATACCATATCTTCTTTATCCATTCTTCAGTTGATAGACATTTGAGCTCTTTCCATACTTTGGCTATTGTCAATAGTGCTGCTATAAACATTGGGGTGCATGTGCCCCTTTGAAACAGCACACATGTATCCCTTGGATAAATACCTAGTAGTGCTGTTGCTGGGTCATAGAGTAATTCTATTTTTAACTTTTTGAGGAACTTCCATACTGTTTTCCAGAGTGGCTATATCAGTTTGCATTCCCACCAGCAGTGCAAAAGTGTTCCTCTTTCTCCGCATCCTTGCCAACATCTGTCACTGCCTGAGTTGTTAATTTTAGCCATTCTGACAAGTGTGAGGTGATATTTCATTGTGGTTTTGATTGTATTTCTCTGATGATGAGTGATGTTAAGCATCTTTTCATGTGTCTGTTAGCCATCGGGATCTCTTCTTTGAAAAAGTGTCTATTCATGTCTTTTGCCCATTTCTTCACTGGATTATTTGTTTTTTGGGTGTTGAGTTTGATAAGTTCTTTAGAGATTTTGGAAACTAACCCCTTATCTGATACATCATTTGTAAATATCTTTTCCCATTCTGTTGGTTGTTTTTTAGTTTTGTTGATTGTTTCCTTTGCTGTGCAGAAGCCTTTGTCTTGATGAGATCCCAATAGTTCACTTTTGCTTTGTTTCCCTTACCTCTGGAGATATGTTGCCTCCAGAGAAGTTGCTGCAGCTGAGGTCAAGAGGTTGTTGCCTGTTTTCTCCTCTGGGATTTTGATGGCTTCCTGTCTTACATTGAGGTCTTTCATCCATTTTGAGTTTGTTTTTGTGTATGGTGTAAGAAAGTAGTCCAGGTTCATTCTTCTGCATGTCACCATCCAATCTCCCCAACAGCATTTACTAAAGAGACTGCCTTTATTCCATTAGATATTCTATCCTGCTTCGTCAGGATTAGTTGACCATAAGTTTGTGGGTCCATTTCTGGGTTCTCTATTCTGTTCCATTGATATGAGGGTCTGTTTTTGTGCCAGTACCATACTGTCTTGATGATTACAGCCTTGTAATACAGCTTGAAGGGATTGTGATGCCTCTTGCTTTGGTTTTCCTTTTCAGGATTGCTTTGGCTGTACGGGCTCTTTTCTGGATCCATACAAATTTTAGGTTTATTTGTTCTAGCTCTGCGAAGAATGCTGGTGTTATTTTGATAGGGATTGCATTGAATGTGTAGACAGCTTTGCGTACTATTGACATTTTAACAATATTTATTCTTCCAATCCATGAGGATGGAATATTTTTCTATTTTCTTGTGTGTGTCTTCTTCAATTTCTTTTGTAAACTTTCTATAGTTTTCAGTGTATAGATTTTTTTTTCCCTCTTTGGTTAAGTTTATTCCTAGGTATTTTATGGTTTGTCTCCCAGGTATTTAAAAAAAATGAATCTCAGCCATGGTTGAGAATCACTGGTCTAATTCTCTGCCTTGTATTTTGTATATCTCATATCCCCTGTCTATAAGGCCAAGTTAATCAAAGAGAATCTTCTTCCAAGCATACTATGCTTGCAGAAACAACCCTTGGGTTCCATCATTTAGTTAAATACAAAGGTTAAGTATATTTAACAAGACAAAAAGTTTTGTTAAGAATGCCCACAAGACTTAAACCATAATTGAAAACCAAATGCATTATTTTTCCCTATAAAATAAAATAAAACATCCCTGATGTCAATATGTGGCTTTACCTGATTCTTCTTGCTCATTCATGTCTTGAGGGTCAGAACCACTCCGGCTGCGACACTCCCTGTGCATTTTGGCTTTTCGAGTGGCCATCTCATCATCGGCTGCCTCTCCGCTCTCACCCTGGGAACACACACATGCCAATACCTTTCATTCTGTGTTTCTCTCCCTCCTGGCACTGCTTTAGCTCGGGCAGTTCCCTATTTTATGACTTCCCCACCTTCAATATCCCTGACCCCAAACCAGTATAGATCCCTGTGAAGGCTGACCAAGTATTCTCACATTACACTGTCCCACTAGTTTTGTGCTATACAGCAACACTCAGAGGTGTGTGTGTGTGGGGGGGGGGGCGGTGCAGGGAGGGCTGATAAAAGCAGGCTAAGGAGCCCTGGAATCATAGAGACCAAATTATGAAGCAGACAAAGCTTGGCTTAGGCATCAGTATGCAGAGTGGGACTTTTTCTAGATAACCATGGAAAAAATATATTATTCTGTTATAGTGATAACATATATATATAGTGTGATCTATAATATATAGCAGTAACTAACCAAATATTTTCTGCCATGGTAAAAACCATAAGGTCTACCAACTTTTTTTTTTTTTTTTAAAGCTTTTGGGGAAGCTAAAGATTTGTTCCTTTCTGATAGTCATGGTTGTATATTGTTTATAAGACCAATACTTTTTTTTATTAAGGTTTGTTTATTTATTTATTTATTTATTTATTTATTTATTTATTTATTCATTTAGAGAGCAGGGGAGAGGCAGAGAGGGAGAAAAAGAGAATCCCAAGCAGGCTCGGCACCATCAGTGTAGAACCTGATATGGGGCTCAAACCCATGAACCGTGAGATCATGACCTGAGCCAAAATCAAGAGTCAGACACTTAACTGGCTAAGTCACCCAGGTACCCCCATAAAGTCTACTATCTTAACCATTTTTAAGTGTACAGTAGAGTAGTGCTAACTCCATGTGCCTCTAGAACTTTTTCCTCTTACACAACTGAAACTGTATATGTAATCAAAAAGAACTCCCCCTCTACCCCCATCCCCTGCCCTAGCCCCTGGCAACCACCTTCCTACTTTCTGTTTCTAAGAGTTTGACCACTCTAGTTACCTCATAGAAGTGGAATCATGCAGCATTTGTCCTTCTGTGACTGGCTTATTTCACTTAGAATAATATCCTCAAGGTTCATCCACATTGTAGTATGACAGGATTTTCTTCTTGTTTAAAAACCTGAACACTATATTCCATTATATGTATACATTACCTTTTCATTATCTTTCATTCGTGGATGGACATTCAGGTTGCTTATCCTGATAATATATTTTAAGTTAGGTTCTACATTTAGCATTTTGGCCCTCTAAGACCTTCATAACCTGATCCCTGGTCTCTTTAGCCTTTGCTTACCCACAACAGAGCATTTGTTCCAGCTTGGAGCAGGAACCCAGAACTACATGTGCTTCCCCGAACAAGCCAAGTCTTTCATGCCTCCCTGCTGCCTCCTCTGCCAGAAATGCTTTCCCCTATGTTGTCTGTCTAATAAATCCTATACACCCTTCAAGACCCATCTGTCCCCTTGCCTATGAAGCCTCTTCTGCCTGCCTCCTAGCCCTAGATCTTCCTTTCTCCTCCCAGAGCACTTTGTAGATAGCTTGATAATGACTCTTATTGAATACTCATTGTTTGTGGCCCATCACTTTTTCCTGGTGTTGACTCAATTACTAACACTGGGCCTGACACCAGGAGATGCTTGGTAAGCCCTGGTATTCCATTTGTTTCATCTTGTCCCCAACCCAAATGTCCTAAGGTAGTTTCTGGTGATGTAGACCATAAATGGTCCTGGATGACTGGGTTTGGTGCTTAATAAACAAGTAACACTCTACCCTTATAAGGATTTTCTTCTTTTTCTTGGTAGTGCTTATGCCCAAGGTGTTGTTTCTCTGCACATTGGGCTTTTCGGTACTCTTTGCTGATGTCCCAGGGCTGGGGTTTCGTGTACTCCATCGCCTGCCACCAAACAACTCCACGGCGTGAGCCAAAGTTGGGCCTTCATACCGTCCATCTTCCTGTAAAAGAATCACATTCTGAACACATGAGGGAACAGCAAACAATGGGGGAGTAAATATATGAATGGCTTCTAGTAAAGTCCCAGAGGTGGAGGAGCACAGGCAGTTACTGAAGACTAGTGATCTGGCCACCCAAGTGGCCGTCAGGACTCTCTGTTGGGAGTTTCATCATATCCTCTGTTGTCCTGGTCACATCCCTGCTGAGTTCCAGTAAGTGATGTGCTTCAAGGGGGCCGTGTCCAAGTGGGATTAAAAAAATTTTTCCTTCACAGTTTCAGAGGTTACATTCCAAAATTACCACTGTAGGAAGATTCATGAAGATGCACTTTGCATATTAGGGCTCTGGAGGACTTAAGGGGTGTGTGTGTTTATCTGTGTGTGAATCTACTTAGATAAAACCAAGTTCTATTTGTATTGCATCATTCTAGGTTTTTTTCCCCCTAGTTTGATGCTTGGGACAGTCTAATTTGAGATATAGAGTATATGCATATGTGAAATTTACTTTGGAGGGCTCCGGGGAGATAACCACAGAGAAACTGTATTATTAATTAGTTATATTATTAACTAATAGTTAACTAATAGTTGGTGCACTTGAAAGGATTGCAACAGTGTATCAATTATTATACTTCAGTAAAATAAATATCAATAAATAACTAAAATACTTGGGCTGCTGTCCTCTTGAGTGACTGATAGCCAAGAACAGAGAGCCCAGGGGACTCAACACCATGCATATTATGATGCTGTGAGCAGTGAAAAGATACTTAAGGGGCTTGTAATGCTTTACAATAGCTCTTTCTCATAAGATAACTCTATGTAACATGAGCTGAGTAGCAACAGAGATTAATTAATTAAATAATGGTCAATAATTCCCTCTGTAAGTTGGGAAGGGCAGTTAATACAACTACAAAAAGTCACATGTGAATTAAAGACAAGATAGATGACATTTCACAGGTTGTATAAAATGGACATTTCAGAATTAACTTCCATTTACTGTTTTTTTTTTCTTTCTACAAACTTTTAAGGCCAGCCCTCCTTTGCAATTCCAAAGAAGTGCTTGTGAATAGGTTTTGCTTTGTTGTAGACACTATGTAAATAATAAAGTCTTTGTGTGTATGCTTGCTTCTTCACCCTAACTATTTGCTTCTTCAATTAACTATTTGACTTTATGACCTGAGTCATGACCTCCCATTTCCTGCATCCTGTTATGGATCCCAGGATGCTGAGTAACTCGGATGCTTAATGGGGGATACCTTTTGGTGATCTCTCATGGTGGATATCTGAGATTTATGTTTGCCCATTGATCATTTCTCTTTTCTCTGACCATACCCCAGTTTTACCTTATCCCCCTGGATACAGTCTTGATTCTATCAAAAGGTGAAACATCCTCCCTTGACCAATGGTTGGCATAAGATTCAAATAAGCCAATCAAGATCTTCCTCCCTGGAAAATGAATCTTGAATACAGTGATACTGAGAATGAAAACGGTTGGAGATCATTCCTTCCTGTTGCAGGCCTGCTCAAGATCGGTCCTGCAAACAAGTCACTACAACTAACTTCAAAGTGGAATAAACATTTCGTGACACAATTTCATAAATAAATTTTACCTAAATTATTGAATTAACTACCTAATCCTTTGTGGAAATTTCATGAACATTTTATCTATGGGTTTTAACTAATGCATCTTTAAAAATTTAATAGACCCCTTCCTAAAATTTAAAGCTTCTGCTCTGGGAAAGACATTGTCAAGAGAATTAGAAGGCAAGCCATAGATTGGGAGAAAATGTTTACAAAAGAAATATCTGATAAAAAATGGTTATCCAGGGGTGCTTGGGTGGCTCAGTAGGTTAAGCATCCAACTCTTGACTTTGGTTCAGGTCATGATCTCATGTTTTCTGGGCCTGAGCCCCACATCGGGCTCTGGGCTGACACTGTGGAGCCTGCTTGAGATTCTCTCTCTCTTCCTCTTTCTCTGCTCCTCCCCACTTGTGCTCTCTCTCGGTCTCAAAATAAATAAATAAATTTTAAAAAATGGCTATCCAAAATACACCATGAAAACTTAAAACTCAACAATAAGAAAACAAAGAACTCAATGAAAAAATGGTCCAAAGACCTGAACAGACACCTCACCAAAGAAGAGATATAGATGGCAAATAAACACATGAAAAGATGTTCCACATCATGTATTATCAGAAAGCTGCAAATTAAAATGAGACACCGCTATACACCTGGCCAAAATCCAGAACACTGACCACACCAAATGCTGGTGGGGATGTGGAATAACATGAACAAGAATTCATTCTAGTGGGAATGCAACATGGTACAGCCACTTTGGAAGGCAGTGCAGCCATTTCTTACAAAAGTAAACATTCTCTTACCATATGATCAAGCAATCACGTTCCTTGGTATTTACCCAGATAGTCGAGAAGTCCACACAAAAACCTGAACATGAATATTTACAGCAGCTTTATTCATAATGCCACAACTTGGAAGCAACTAAGATGTCCTTCAGTAGTAAACGAATAAATAAAGTGTGGTACATCTACACAATGGAGTATTATTCAGTAGTTAAAAGAAGTGACCTATCAAGCCATGGGAAGACATGCAAGAATCTTTTTTATAATAATTCTTTAAAAGTTTATTTTCAGATAGACAGAGAAAGTGATAGCAGGGGAGTTTATTTTGAGAGAGAGAGAGAGAGAGAGAGAATCCCAAGCAGGCTTTGCAGGGTCAGTGCAGAGCTTGATGTGGGGCTTGAACTTGATGTGGGGATCTCACAGAAAACTGTGAGATCATGACCTGAGCAGAAATCAAGAGTCGGATGCTTAACTGACTGAGCCACCCAGGAGCCCTGACATGCAAGAATCTTAAATGCATATTACTAAGTTGAAAGAAGCTAATTTGAGAAGGCTACATATTGTATGTTTCCAACTATATGACATTCGGGAAAGGCAAAACTATGGAGACAATAAAAAGAAAGGTGGTTGTAGGGGCAGGGGGGAGGGTGAGGTAGAGTGGGAGGAAGAGGTGAATAGTCAGAGCACAGAGAATACTTAGGGTAGTTAAAATGCTCCATGTGACATTATAATGAATGAATATATGCCATTATATATTTGTACAAACCTATACAATGAACTCTAAGGTAAACTGTGGCTTTTGGGTGATTATATCAATGTGGATTCATCTTTTATAAAAAAAAATGTACCATTCTGGTGAGTGATGCTGGCAATGGGACATGGGGGGCAGGAGGTTTATGGGAAATCTCTGTACATTCCTCTCAATTTTATTGTAAACTTAATTTACAGTTGTAAACACTGCCCTAAAAAAAGAAAATCTTTAGTAAAAAAATTTAATAGACCCATACCATATATATATTAAAGAATCAGCCTCTAATGCTTTGGTATTTCTAAATTCAGAACATCCTAACATGGGTCAAATTTTACTCTTAACAGAAATATTTTAGGTCTGGAAAAGGCAGATGCCTTTGTTTAATCTTTAAAGCAGACTTTCTGGGAACTAAAATACAGTTTTAAGCTATAGGAGACTTTTAAACTAAAAGGAGACTTTTAGTTTCTGGGAACTAAAATATAGTTTGACTCTTTTGTTTCATACAAAACAATAAACTTGATTGGGATGGATGAAGGATGTAGCTTCTCTTTTTAATTTGGAAGAAGAGCTATTGTTACTGAAGACACATTCTCAGTTTTAGAAAATAGTTACTTTCAAGTACGAGTATTCTAATACTAGTAAATGTAAATTGATCTAATGGAAATCTTAACAGGAGGTAAAGCAAAAGACAAGAAATAGTGATACTTGTAACGAAGCCTTAGGAATATAGGAAAATAAAGGAAGTTCGTGTGGATATTAGGATTAGGAGGCTGATTCCTTAAAAATTATTCATGCACTTTTACCTCTTTTCATTATCTTTGTATATGATATTTTAAGTACTGTTAAACTAATCTAATCCTTTGATAAATCCTACCCCCCACCGCCACAGAAGATAGCCAGAATCTGTTTCTGTTGCTTACAACCAAACTGTACCTGATAACCCTGTTTTTACTTTCTCGGCTTCCCAGAGATCTTTCCAAAAACCCAAGATTATGGGTTCTCAGCTCTGCCTGCATAACCTCAGGCCAAACCCATAACACCAGTGTTCTCTTACACCTAACATCAAATCTCTGAAGCTTACTTTCTTTAATTTTCCTGTATTTCTAGGCTGTATTATAAATGTTATTATTTCTTCTTGGGTTTTTTTTTTTTTTTTTTTGCTTTATCTCTTGTTACTATTTCCATTTGATCAAATGCATTTACTAGTACTAAAATACTTCTATTTGAAAGCAGCTTCACATACATTTATCACACAAGAAGACTCTGATGTCAGAAAGATTATTTTCTATATAAGCCCTTTCCGAACTGGGGAGAAAGAAATACTCTTACAGGGCTGTTAATAGAAGTTTGGAAGAACCCAAGACTGTTCATAAATTTCTTTAACTTATAGGTACCTTTAAACTCGTTTCTTTTGTTTTTTTTTTTTAATTTTTTTAATGTTTTATTTATTTCTAGGAGAGAGAGAGACAGCGTGAGCAGGGGAGGGTCAGAGAGAGAGGGAGTCACAGACTGAAACAGGCTCCAGGCTCTGAGCTGGCAGTCAGCATAGAGCCCGACGCGGGGCTCGAACCCACAAACCGCGAGATCATGACCTAAGCGAAAGTCGGACGCTTAACCGACTAAGCCACCCAGGCGCCCCTAAACTCGTTTCTTTTGTACCTTAGGACTTCTCAAGAGCCTTAAGTGTGCTATGAGGTATTATAAATCACCAAGAGGGACATTTAACATGATGCCTATTTGACCTTTTGTTCTTAAAGTACCAAATTGGATCTTTTTGATGTTCTCTGAGACAATTTAGGAACTGGTCTACAAGATGGGAAAATAATCAGTCACTGACTTTTTTTTTTCCACTTAAAAAAAAAATCCTGAGTGTCTCTTTCTGAGAAATGTTGCCTTATCTTTCTGCAGCTCATGCAGAACAATGTTTTGAGGAAGACAGTCGCCTGTACAAAGACTATAGCCTGTTTTCAGAAGTGACTGAAATATATGGAGCTGTTTTGCTGTTACACTGTAACGGCTTGTTTCCGTGCAGTGGTGGAGGTGTGGGGGCTGGGGGAGAAGGGAGGGGTGTAGTTATGTGTGCAACTGGGAAGGGCTGAGTTGGCTCCTGGTCACTTCCTCTGTCTCTGCTCCAGCCGTGCCTCTTACCTCTTCTGCTGTTTCTGGTCTCAGCTGGTGCCTCCTTCAGCAAAAACTGAAGGCCGCCAGGGTGAATGGGAGACCAAGTACACCTTAGCTGGTCATTCAGCTACTTAATGCTATAGGATCGGAAAGGAAACAAATGAAGCAAGTAAACCACATCATCAGCTGCTTTGTGACAGTGACTGTAACTGAGCTCAGAGACTTTGGTTTGTGTCCAGGTTGAATAGATTTGCATGATTCTGGAAAGCTGAGGAATGATTATAATTAAAAATTAACATTTAGGGGTGCCTGGGTGGCTCGGTTGAGTGTCCAAATTTGGCTCAGGTCATGATCTCACAGCTCATGAGTTTAAGTCCTGTGTCTGGCTTTGTGCTGACAGCTCAGAGCCTGGAGCTTGTTTCAGATTCTGTGTCTCCCTTTCTCTCTGTCCTTCCCCCACTTGCTCTCTCTCTCTCTCTCTCAAAAATAAATAAACACTTAAAAAATTTTAAAAATCAACATTTACAATAGCTCCTGAAGACCTTTTCTCTAAGCAGCTGACTGCACTGGACTCTCCCTGCCGAGTGGACAGGAAGCAGATATCTTGGTTTCCATTTTAAAATGAGTTAACTTAACCAGCTTATAAGATGAGTTAACTGAAGCCTATATGCTTATTAATCAATTAATCAATCAGTTATTCAGGATATGGTCTCCACTCATCAGTATTGCATGAATGTGGGGAAAGGGGAAAGAGGGGGCATTATATAGATACACACACACATACACATATATTTGTTGTCTCTACCAGCAGCGCAGGGGGAAAATGTCTCTACTTGTCAGAAACATGTCAGGACTGTGAAAAGTACATGATATCAGTCATGTGAGTAATTTCAGCCATAGTTCTATTTGTTCTGCGACACTAGATGATTTTTTTGCCAAAAAGGATGGAAAAGCATAACAAAGAGAAGCTGAATGCTTTGATACAATTCATTTGGAAATGCCATCAACAGTGTCTCCTTGCGGAGGGGTTTTCCCAAGCAATCTGCCCTCCCTCGTCCACAAGCATCTTATTCTGGTCCTTCTGGAGTCTCTTCTCTCACCTCAGCCCTGCTCTGCCACAACCTTTGGCTGTAGTGTTGAAGTACCTGATAATTTTAGGGTTAGTGAGAAACACACTCACTTTAAGCAGCTGACTGTGAGAAGCTGCCTCCTCAGGGCTGTGCCAGTATAAACCTGTTGAGGAAGAACTTCTTTGAACCTTAGAGGTTCTACAGTGAGGCAGCAATACACAGAGAATTAATGCTCTGAGAGTCACCTAGCGTATTAGGTGATGGAGCAGGGTTTCAATTTTCAAAGTGAAGGTTTCCAATGTATCAGCTTGTTCATAATTAATAACAAAAGCATCACACTATAATGCTTTCAATGAAAACTCTGAGTAAGTGAAAACGCTTATATTAACTGGTTTCTTTCTGATGTGAGAAGTACAATGACCGTAGTTGCTGTTTTCATACAAAATGATAACCGGACCTACAATGAGCCAGACACTATTCTTTATACACAGGAACTGGCATTACGACTTGACACATATTAACTCAGTTAAACCACACAGCCACTCTAACAATGGGTATTGTTATCATTCCCATTTTATAGGTAAGAAACTGAGGCACAGAAAGGTAAAGTCAAAGGTGCCCTGTATCACTGAGGTAGTAAGTGACAGAGTGTGAGAATGAACCCTGGCGGTGCAAGTGTGGCTTTGCAAGATTAATATCTTGAGAATTAGGGTAGTGAGGAGAGACGGAAAGCTGCGTACGCCCCTACCTGATAGAGGCTGACATACTGTTTCCGCAGCCACTGCTGTCTCTGATCAGGGAACTTCCTCATCTTCCTCACGGCTCTTGTGAGCTCCAGCAATCCACTGAAGAGCATCTTAGCTGTGTGCTTAGGTGCCACGAAGTGCAATAGTCTATTGTCCGTGGTCTGGAGTCCATAGAGCAGCGTCACGCCAGTCTCTGAGAGAAACATGCTACCCAGTTTGTTCTGAACACACACAGTGTGTATATCGATGCTAGGGTGTCCCATGTACACAGCTTTTGCTGAGAACAGATCCAAGACCCCCTCAGCCAGGCCACTTAGTCCAGCATTGCCCAGTAATGGGAATTTGCCAGGTTCAGACGTGTTACTAAGCACACCAAGTTTTGCTTTAGCACTGGCTGGGGAGGCAGTGGTGGGCTTTATCCAGGTCAAGGTGCTATTGTCAGGCTGAAGCTGGAGGAAGCAGCGGGCAGAGAGGTGTGTGTCCTGATCATAGTGGATGACAGTGGCCCCCTGCAGCAGGAACTGGTGCACATCAGCTCGGATGGACAGCACATACCATGGGATTAGCTCTGTCCCATGGTCAAAGGCCTTCTGTGGCTCTTCCGATGCATGAGCATCCCATTCTTTGGATTTCTCAAAGATGTCATTTTCAGAATCCAACAGGTCTCCAATGATAAACCTAATGGAAAAAGATACAAGTTTGATCTGTCTTGTAATCAGAAGTGAGAACAACACAAAGCCTTTCACTGACACTGGACATCATTTTTCACCCCACTAGAAGTCCAAATTAGCATAGGAAACATAGAATGCTGAAGGTCAGAGTATATTTTCTATAGCTGCATTCTAAAACTATGTATTTAGCAATATATCTGACTGTAGGCATAAGGAAAGGAACTAGTAGATAAGTTCTTATATTTTTAATATCAACAATAATCTTCATTATGTATTAGTTTCCCCTTTTGTGTCAGGAACTGTTAAATGCGTTACATATTTTTTTTAAGAGAGAGAGGAGATGGGGTGAAGGGGAGAGGAAGAGGGAGAGGGAGAGAGAGAGAGAAAGAATCTTAAGCAGTCTCCACGATCAGTGTGGAACTTGATGTAGGACTTAATCCCATGACCCTGGCTGGAAACATGGCCTGAGCTGAAATCAAGTCCGACACTCAACTGACTGAGTTACCCAGGTGCACTGTTACATACATTTTTGTACTTAATTTGACCTACTTGTGAAGTAAGGTTTTTTTCTCTTCCTTTTTTTTTTTAACCTATGAGGAAACTGAGGTTCAGAGGGGTGAAATAACTCCCTCCGGGTCATCCAGTTCAGAAGAGGCTGACCCAAAGCATGGATTCTGCCCTGATTCATCAGCCTGGGACCTTCATCACTAACTTTGACTGCCTTCTACTTGATCAGAACCAAAAGTAGTGACCTGAACACAATGGGGCTAAAATAGGCAGAACAAGACTTAATAAGCTGGCCTGAGGAATGCCTCTGTTAAAAAATAAAATACCAATAGTTCAAAGACACTTGTTGGAAAATACAGCCATGGTGGCTAAATGAACAAGAACCATTCTTGATTCAACCTTAGATTTGTGTGTGTGTGTGTGTGTGTGTGTGTGTGTGCGTGTGCATGCACACACAAGTATGTACACATCTGCACACAAAGGACTTGTCTGCTTGGAAGATTTAGAAAGTTGTATTTCCAGAGCTGGGAATCTGGATTGTTAGGACCAGGAGGATCTGGGGGGAAGGCAAGGGAGACCTTATTGCCTCCTTTCTTTATGGCCACCTTTGTAGGAATGTGCCCAAGAGAAACTCATTGTTTTCCAAAGCATGAAGAATTGTTATTAAGATCAAAGTTTCTGGGCACCTGGGTGGCTCAGTTGGTTAAGTGATTGACTCTTGATTTCAGCTGAGGTCATGATCGCATGGTTCTCGGGATCGAGCCCCACATCAGGCTCTGTGCTGACAGCATGGAGCCTGCTTGAGACTCTCTATCTCCCTCTCTCCCTGCCCCTCCCCTGTTCACACTTTCTCTGTCTCTCAAAATAAATAGAATTTTAAAAAAAAGAGTAGAGATCTTAAAGAAAATAAAGATGAAGGTTTCTGCTTTTTGATCCATAGACATCACTTGCAAAGTGGTGGATAAAATTGAGAAAGAGCTGGCCCATACATCTCTGGGAAGGAATGTTCCCACTGACTTGAGGAATTTGGGCAGCATACTGACTCCTGGCAAGGCATGAGCAGCAGCACTGGACTTCCTGGACTCTTGGTCTAGATCCCGGTCCCTGAGCAAGATCTCACTCCTGCTTTCAAATGGCAGGGTCTTCCTCCTTGCCTCCCATAAGTAGATATTGTTAAAAAAAAGAAAAGAAATCTACAAGAGATCTCACAAATCTGATAATCAGAATATCCCTTTCAGATAACTCACACTGGAAACACTCCAAATGTCCAGGAACAATAAAATGTAAAATTAAAATTTGGTGTATTCATACAGCGTAATGAATTGGGCAGCAATGAAAATGAACAGGTAGTAACTAGTGCATTGCAACAACAGGGACGTATCTTAAGCAAGACACACAAGAATATATACTGTATGGTTACTTGTGTTTAAATGTAAATTTCAAAACCTGGCAAAACTATACTATGTTATTTAGAAATGCACAAGAGGGGTATAATTATAAAGAAAAGCAGGAAGTCGTAGTGAATTTTAGTCTAGGGGAAAGGTGGTGGCAAAATTGAGAAGGGAAACACACGGTTTCTGGATGCTGGCAATGTTTTTCTGTGGGCAGTAGTTATGTATGCATTGATTTGATGATTATCCAAATACATTAATTTTTGTTTTGTTTTGTTTTGAGAGAGAGAAAGAGAGAGAATGAGTGGGGGAGGTGCAGAGAGAGATGGGGACAGAGGATCCAAAAAGGGCTTCATGCTAACAACTGTGTGCCTGATGCGAGCCTCAAACTCACAAACCCTGAGATCATGACCCGAGCCAAAGCTGGATGCTCAAAGGACTGAGCCACCCAGGCATCCCCAAAATACATTAGCTTTTTTTTTTTATTTTAACTTTAGAATAATTTTAGATTTATGAAGAAATTTCAAAAACTGTAGATCTCACATTCAGTTTTTTCCCTGTTAGTATCATCTTACTGGTATGGTATGTTTGACACAAATCATAAACCAATAGTAAGTAATACATTATTATTAATTAAAGTCCATACTGTATAGAGTTCTGTAGTTTCTTTACCCCCATGTCCTTTTTCTTTTCCAAGATTCTATTCAGAATGCCATATTACATTTGTTATATTTGAGAAGTCCGCAAGCACATGTAAGGGGTAGAAAGTTATTTTCTATCTCCTTGAGGGCAGAGTATCTATATAAGTTATTTGGAATTCTTCTGCATGGGAGATTTGTCTCTTCTTTCCCATCTGTTTATTTATCATTTATGTATATGGATTCATGAATATTTATTTAATATTTTGGTTTATAATCTAATTCTACTTCATTTTGTAGCTCAAACTGTTACAGCTTTGGCCATGGGAAGCTTTCTTTGGCTCTTGTATTCCTTTGATGTTTATTGTAGTTTGTTTGTTTTTAGCACTTCTTTACTTTCCCATACCACAAAATGCCCCAGGCTCACCTTTCGTATATCCTGCCCGAGCTCTAAGATCAGCCATTTCTCCAAGGAATTTTGCTTTCTTTTATTGAAGAATGTTAGTAGAAATCAAGATCTAGGTGCTAGGTGCAAATACATCCTATTTTATGTACTTAAAAATATTTTTACTAAAAAATTTTAAATATTTATTTATTTAATATAACTTATTGTCACATTGGCTAATATACAGTGTATACAGTTTTGGGGATAGATTTATTCCCATGATTCATCACTTACATACAACACCCAGTGCTCATCCCAACAAGTGCCCCCCTCCTCAATGCCCATCACCTATTTTCCCCTCTCCCTTATCCCCATCAACCCTCAGTTTGTTCTATGTATTTAAGAGTCTCTTATGGTTTGTTTCCCTCCCTCTCTGTAACTATTTAAAATTTTTTTAATGTTTATTTTTGAGAAGAGAGAGAGAGAGAGAGATTGACAGTGTGAGCAGGGGAGGGGCAGAGAGAGAGGGAGACACAGGATCTGAAGCAGGCTCCAGGCTCAAAGCTGTCAGAGCCCAATATGGGGCTCAAACTTACGAATTTCAAGATCATGACCTGAGCCGAAGTTGGACGTTTAACCAACTGAGCCACCCAGGCACCCCTTATGTACTTTTCTTCATGTTACATTTAATGACAAAAAGTAAAGAAACAAAAAGCAAATCCTTTGTGTCTAGCTTAGCTTGATTCCTCTGCAACTGCAGTGAGGAACAATGGAAAACCAATACTTATGTATATCCTCTTCTATAATACTATGTTCGTGCTTCATACATATAGCATGGTAGCTAGGAACATATGGTCTATAGTCCCCATGGGTTTAATGTTTAGCTCTGCTACCTATTTGCTCTGTGACCTAGTCAAATCATTCAGCCTCTCTGAGCCTCACTTTACTTGTCTGTTAATGGCAAAATGACAATGCTCATTTCACAGAGCAAGTGAAGTTCAAATAAGATAATACTTGCAAAGCACTTAGCACCATGTCTGGCTCAGTAAAGTGCACTGCTATAATTAAATATAGGAAGACCAAGATTTCATTCTTCCAGCTTCTCCTTCCCCCACCTTCCTTTTCCCTATACTTGGGAATTGGCCCAACTATTGCTCTTGAGGGGTTTTCTTTAGAGCCACATGCAAGGTCTTTTATTTTTTTATTTCCTTTCTCTGGGATCATTTCCACATTCTCCAGGTCACACTTCTGGGTTTTGTTTTGTTTTTTGTTTGTTTGTTTGTTTGTTTGTTTGTTTTTTAAGAGCAGAAAGAATTCAATTTGTGTCTGTACCTATAAAGTACAATATATGTTAATTTAGACTTACAACTTCTGATTTTAATTGAGCAAAAGAAATAGTGTTTCCCATATTCCATTTAATTTGAGTTCTGAGCTAAACCAAGTATTTTCCAGTGAAAAACTACAAGTATTATTAAAAACGGTGTCTGAGGTGTTTGGTTAGGTATCCAACTTCAGCTCAGGTCATGATCTCACGGTTCGTGAGTTCAAACCCTGCATTGGGCTCTGTGCTGACAGCTCAGAGCCTAGAGAACGCTTCGGATTCTATGTCTCCCTCTTTGTCTGCCCCTCCCTGGGTCACACTCTCTCTCTCTCTCTCTCTCAAAAATAAATAAATATTTTTAAAAATCCACAAAAAAAAAACAGTGTCTGGAAAGAAAAATTGTAAGGCTTTTCTGGAGACTGTTTCTGCTGCTCATGTAAACTGGGAGAGAGACACTGTCTTTCTTAGCATCAGTTTCTATTTTTGAACACAAAAGGAACTGATGCTAGGTGCTAACAATTCCATTGAAAAGGATTCTTCCTGGAACTAATGCCTAAGATAAAAATGACAATTGTTTTGGTAATGAAACAAGTTCATTTCAAGAAGGAAACTAGTAGCTTTGTCTCTTAGATCATATGGTGAATGTTCTGCACAGATTCTCTCAGGAGACAAGTCTCTGTGGGTTTACAAGGAGGAGTACAGTGGCATTTAAAGGACTGTTTAGGGACCAAATAACATAATCAAAAATCAAAGATGTGATTTACC